GAGGAGATGGCTGGGCAAGAGTCTGGCCAACTCCATGGTCATCTCCTGTTCTGGGGGGCAAGTTCTCATCTGCACCATCTGGCTGGGCTCTTCTCCCCCATTCCCAGAGTCCGACATGCGCTCCCAGGTGGAAGAGATCATCCTGCAATGCAACGAAGGGTCTGTGGCCATGTTCTACGTTGCCCTCGGCTACCTGGGCTTCTTGGCTGCCATCTGCTTCACGGTGGCTTTCCTAGCCAGGAAGCTGCCTGGCTCCTTCAACGAAGCCAAGCTGATCACCTTCAGCATGCTGGTCTTCTGCAGTGTTTGGGTGTCTTTTGTGCCCACCTACCTGAGCACCAAGGGCAAGTACATGGTGGCCGTGCAGATCTTCTCTATGTTGGCCTCCAGTGCTGGGCTTCTGGGCTGCATCTTCCTTCCCAAGTGCTACATTATTGTGCTGAGGCCTGATCTGAACACAAAGGAGCACCTGACACCAAGGACGTTAAGGGGACATCTGATTCTTAAAACATTCCATGTTCCTGATGTCCAGAAGCGAATAAAGGAAACACACTTGCTCATCCACGTTGCTCATTCTTCATCTGTGAAAGAGATTATGTTCTTTACAAATGTATATTTTAACATCTTTTTCATTTCGTTATAGATCATCTCCCAGAAGCCCTTCACTTTCTTACATTCCCACCACATATGATAAAACGGGGAACTGTAATGGTTCTAGGGGTTGCTCGTGCGTAAGGCGGTGCAAACACCTGGCTGGGTTGCCTGAGTGAACCTTTCCTGTCCGGACAGCCACTCACCCTTGGCTGTCTCAATCGCTGGCAGAATCCGTCAGTGGGCGTTTCTTAAACTTCTTCCAGCAAAGAAGTTCTTTGACGCCCAGTCTCCTCCTACTCTCCCTGCGCGGAAGCCTTCTGCGCAAGGAGGGCGTAGGCAGCGGAGGACCCTTCCTCTCCCCGCTGGTCTCTGGCAAGGAGTCATGTGACCGCCTTTCTGATTCCCCCATCTGCCCCCTTCTCCACTGGAGCTAAGCTGATTCCCTTCCCCAGAAGATGGGCTGCCTCTCCCAATCCCGGGACGCTCTCTGGGATCCCTCTGGAGCTTGCTCTCTCCCTCCGGCACTGATGGCAGTTCCCTAACAGGAACTTATATTTATCTCACAACGAGATAGTCTAGAGGGAGATAGGAGTTAGGTTTTTTAGTCTGTTTGCTTTATTATAACTATCTATTACCCATATCAATTCTGATATTCAACAATACTTTCTAGTTATGTCATTTCTAGATATTCAAATGCCTGTGCTCCATTTTCTACAAGTATGCTGTATCATTTAGAAGTTCACTTCACATCATTCCATTCTCCTAAACTTTGTATATTAATAAATTGAGAAATTCATTTAAGTTCTCTTCTGTCATTTGTTGGTTTAATTTCTGTATTCTGTAAGCTCTGCTCCCTGTTCCAAAGAGTAGCAACTGACCTTAGCGAAGCCTTGACTGGAGTACAATGGATTTTATTGCATTGTCCAGGATATGACACATTGTTGAGTGGATCACCAGATTACGAATGAGCCAGCAACAAGTTTAGCATTGGAGGAAAGCAATGAGACGATGCCAAATAGTTGTATTCCCTGCATCCTGCACTCTTCAGGATGTCTGGCTCAAGGTCAGCAACCACACTACCTGGGGTGTACGAGACATCCATATCTTTCTGGTATAATTCCTCTGTGTATTCTTGCCACTTCTTCTTGATGTCTTCTGCTTCTGTTAGGTCCTTTCCACTTTTGTCTTTTATTATGGTAATCTTTGTACGAAATGTTCCTTTCATATCTCCAATTTTCTTGAACAGATCTCTGGTTTTCCCCATTCTATTGTTTTCCTCTGTTTCTTTGCATTGCTCGTTTAAGAAGGCCTTCTTGTCTCTCCTTGCTATTTTTTGGAAATCTGCATTCCATTTCCTGTATCTTTCACTATCTCCCTCGCATTTTGCTTGCCTTCTCTCCCCCGCTATTTGTAAGGCTTCGTTGGACAGCCACTTTGCTTTCTTGCATTTCCTTTTCATTGGGATGGTTTTAGTTGCTGCCTCCTGTATAATGTTATGAGCCTCCATCCATAGTTCTTCAGGCACTCTGTCCACCAAATCTAAATCCTTAAACCTGTTCCTCACTTCCACTGTGTATTCATAAGGGATTTGACTTAGATTGTATCTTACTGTCCCAGTGGTTTTTCCTACTTTCTTCAGTTTAAGCTTGAATTTTGCTATAAGAAGCCGATGATCTGAGCCACAGTCAGCTCCAGGTCTTGTTTTTGCTGACTGTATAGAGCTTCTCCATCTTTGGCTGCAGAGAATATAATCAATCTGATTTCGATACTGCCCATCTGGTGATGTCCATGTGTAGAGTCGTCTCTTGTGTTGTTGGAAAAGCGTGTTTGTGATGACCAGCTTGTTCTCTTGGCAGAACTCTATTAGCCTTTGCCCTGCTTCGTTTTGAACTCCAAGGCCAAACTTGCCAGTTGTTCCTTTTATCTCTTGACTCCCTACTTTAGCATTCCAATCCCTTTAATGAGAAGAACATCCTTCTTTGGTGTCATTTCTAGAAGGTGTTGTAAGTCTTCATAGAATTGGTCAATTTCAGTTTCTTCAGCACCAGTGGTTGGTGCATAAACTTGGATTACTGTGATATTAAAAGGTCTGCCTTGGATTCATATCGAGATCATTCTATCATTTTTGAGATTGCATCCCAGTACAGATTTCGCCACTCTTTTGTTGACTATGAGGGCCACTCCATTTCTTTTACGGGATTCTTGCCCACAGTAGTAGATATGATGGTCATCCGAACTGAATTCGCCCATTCCCGTCCATTTTAGTTCACTGATGCCCAGGATGTCAATATTTATTCTTGTCATCTCATTTTTGACCACATCCAACTTACCAAGGTTCATGGTTCTTACATTCCAGGTTCCTATGCAATATTTTTCTTTACAGCATTGGACTTTCCTTTCGCTTCCAGGCATATCCGCAACTGAGCGTCCTTTCGGCTTTGGCCCAGCCGCTTCATCAGCTCTGAATCTACTTGTACTTGTCCTCCGCTCTTCCTCAGTAGCATGTTGGACGCCTTCCGACCTGAGGGGCTCATCTTCCAGCGTCATAACTTTTATATGCCTGTTGCCTTTGTCCATGGAGTTTTCTTGGCAGGGATACTGGAGTGGCTTGCCGGTTCCTGCTCCAGGTGGATCACATTTGGTCAAAACTCTCCACTATGACCTGTCCATCTTGGGTGGCCCTGCACGGCATAGCAAATAGCTTCTCTGAGTTATTCAAGCCCCTTCGCCACGGCAAGGCAGTGATCCATGAAGGGGACTATCATCCATACATGAAGTCAAAGGCAGGATTTGAAATATAAGCAGCGCATTACTGAAATACGACATTGGGGCTTTGATAATAAAAACAGGTTTTTTAAAATATCTGATAAAAACCAACATAGAGAAGGGAGGGTGGGGAGTCAAGAAGAAATTGTGTGGGGTTTTTGTTTGTTTTTTTAAACTGTATACGAAGACAAGTGATTGGAATATCTCTGGAGACCTAATAATTTTTTTTTATTTTTTTTAATGTAATAAAGACAGCATCCACCCAGATTCTTAGGAAGTTGAGGTAATTTGATTCTGTTTTATTATTTTAACTTTTGGAATGCTCTAAAGTAAGACGGTAAACTTTGTTATGATCGTCCTGACTTATCTTGACGTAAAGCGCTCTAGGGGTGATTGCCCAAAATAGTGCATGGATTTTATGAAAAATTAAATAATTAAGTAAGAAAGTAAATAAATATTAATAAATAAATTCATAAAGAATAATAAAGCTGCTAGAATGCTAGCCTGGCTTCTGCGCAGACAATTTGTTTATGAGTAGAGATGTTTCTGCTCAAAGACGAGGAGCAAGTTGGCTCCATGTGCAACAGAAGCTCTCCTTCCGCAGAACATGTAGAAGGGGAAGGAAGAGCCTAAGGCTCAGAGCAAACTTTCTCCCCTCATCCAACCCCAGAGAGCTTCCCTCTGTTGGAGAAGCCTTTCAAAGATGGGGTGGAAATTCACCTGAAGTGGCTTCAAAACCACCAACACGCTACTTCCCTTCAGGGGGAGAACCAGAAGGGATCGGCAGGAATCAAATCCACCCAAAGTGGCCAACTAGAAGAAGAAGAGTTTGGATTTCATATCCCGCTTTATAACTACCCTAAGGAGTCTCAAAGGGGCTCACAATCTCCTTTCCCTTCCTTCCCCACCACAAACACCTCTGTGAGGTGAGTGAGGCTGAGAGACTTCAGAGAAGGGTGACTGGCCCAAGGTCACCCAGCAGCTGCATGTGGAGGAGCGGGGAAGTTATCCCAGTTCACCAGATTACGAGTCCACCGCTCTTAACCACTACACCACACTGGCTCTCTAAAGCATCCCTAACAGATAGCCATCCCACCTCTGCTTCAAAACCTCCAAGGAAGGAGAGTCCATGGTCGGATCCAGCTCCTTCTTTGGTCCTTGGGAGCAAAGTTCAGGCCAAACTTCCAATTCCCAAAAACACCTTTTGACTTTTCTCCATCATGTTTTTCTCCAGCTCTGCACCTGCTGCCTGAGCCATTCAAGACTTCGGAAAGTTAGTGTGATGAAACTTATTCCACTTGGAATAATCAAAATTATAGTCATCTCCTCTTCTAAATGCTCAGGAGATATTTCTGGAGGTTACATCAGCCTCAGAAAGTAGCATGACAATATTAATTGCACTGTGTCTGGGAATGAAAAAGTTGGTGCAGAGAATATTTCCTGTGTTGGAGACAGACTGAGACAAGATGCAGAGCTGGCGAAAGAGGGGTGTGCCTGCCTTGTGCTTCCTAGCTCTGAAGATATAGATGAAAACCACCCAGATTGGGGAAAGCCCAGGCAGTTTGGTCTTGCAAGAGTCTTTGGGTTCTTCTGCTTTGCCTCCTGGGCAGGTAAGAGGAGGAGGAGGAGGCAGAGCCAGAATGAGATCCCTGCTCCTTCTGTTGCTGCTTCTGCTGCTCATGATGCCCTTTGGAGTCTGCGGGAACTACAAGGCGAAATGCCCCTTGAATCTGGTCAGGGATCAAACGGATGCTCGCAATTACTTCCGGCCTGGACACTTTCTCATCAGTGGGATCATCTCTCCAAAATCCTTTTATAAGGAAACTCCATACGTCTTTTCTCAGACACCCTTGGCTAGGGATGAGGGGTATGTAAAATCATATGTGGGTGGGTTTCATGGTCCTCCAGTCCTTGTAATGGTTCCTATTTATCAAGGAAAGAGCGCCTTTCTCAGGGCTGGGGAGCCAAGGCTGTCCTCATGTTGCAGGTCTACCCTGCCCTGACCATTGGTCTTGCTGGCTGGGCTGATGGGAGCTGGGGGGTCCACTAAAAGATTCCACCCAAACCTCTCCCATTTCCTTGTTCCCTGGGTCTTCCTTAGTGAAACACTCTCCTACCTATGGATGCACTGAATTTCCCCACCTGCAGGATGCCATGAAACTCAAGCAATTCAACCTTTGAGCTCTGGAAATTGTCTGAGTTTCATGGCATCCTGCAGGTGGGGACCTTCAGTGCAAACTTTGAACCCTGACCAGGTTCATTGGCATTCTTGCATTCTTCTATTATATCCTTATACTGATATAATATTATAAATGACCATCAACAAACTGTCGTTAAAGAATGCTATAGTTTTAAAAATGGATTTTTTAAATCCTACAGATTAACATTTGGTGGATGGAGAGCAGGAAATATGTGCTTTAACTGAAATGATAAATAAAATAATATGAGTCAGGAGACTTCCTTGTTAGTGGAGTCTAAAATGTGAAAAGGAATTATTCCTTTTCTTCACACACACACACACACACACACACACACACAACTGGTCTCATTTCTAACTAGAGATCTCCAAATTTTTATTCTATACTAGGCTGTAAATGGTTTGATATTAATGCAATAGGATTAATCAATACATACTAATCTTTTTGGATCATATAATGTCCCCACCCCAATTCATATGAATGCCAGTTTCACTCTTTTTAAAGAATTCATTTATTGCAGGGACGAAACTAGGATCTGCTGGTACATGTTGTCTTTCCTGTTCACCATCCTAGAGATCAACCAGGATCTCAGTCTCTTACCCAACATTACTCTGGGCTACAACCTCTATGAGAACTATTTCAATGCAAGGATGACTTCGGACGCCATGCTAGAGCTGCTTGCAGGCAGTGGATGCAATATTCCCAATTATCACTGTGGAGAACAGAATCACCTGCTGGCTGTTCTTGAAAGAAGCAAGACTTTCATCTCAAGAGTGATTTCAGCCTTGTCAGGCATCTACAAAATCCCTCAGGTAAGCAGTGGGAGAGCATGGAGGGACAGAGAATTTCAACTGCGTAAAATTCTATTTTCTCTTTGGAGGGTCAAGTGGGGATATTTTTCAAAATGGGAATATCCTGAGCTATGGATTCAACATCCCTTATTCAAAACTGAGCCTTCACCAACTTGACAGCTCCAGATGTTTCCGACTAAAACTCCCATCAGCCTCAGCCAGCAGAGATTTAGATAGATATCAGTCATTTAATATGATTAAATACCCGTTATGCTGAAAGTAAAATAAACTGGTGATCTTTTGCTTTCAATGCTAGATCAGTTATGGCTTCACTGCCCAGGTTCTCGAAGGTAAAAGCCTGTTCCCTTTTGTCTACCGGATGACTCCCAAAGAGGAAAGTCAATACCAAGGGATTGTTGAATTGCTCCTGCATTTTGGATGGACGTGGATTGGCCTCTTCACTCCAGACAATGACAGTGGAGAAAGATTTGTGAGCACTATGAAACCTCTGCTGCTCAGCAAAGGGATCTGCATTGCTTTATCAAAAAAAGTACCAGAAAATGATCTAAATCAATTTATCAGGCCTGGGGAACCTTTTTTCCTATGGAGACAAGTTGGGGTATTTTTTTACTATGCAACCAATGCAATGGGCATCATTCTACTCCTGGCAATAAACAGGGTATATGAGAAGGAAATAGGGGCAAAAGTCTGGATCACAACAGCTTTCCTAGAAATCAGAACTGGCTTTAACATACCTCCAAATATATTCCAGTGCCTCCATGGTTCTCTGTCCTTTGCAATTCAGACCAGAATAAGGAGCAGCAAAGGTGACAACTATAAATCGCCGTCCAATCTTGTGGATTTTTTGGATGAAGCATTTCAGTGTTCATATTCAAAGCATTTGTTGTCCGTGAAAGGCAGGATAAGATGCAAAGAGGAGGAGAAACTGGAGTTGTTGCCCCAAGAGGAGCGTGAGAGAGTCCTGTCTTTTGACAGCTATGGCACTTACATCAATGTTCAAGCTGTGGCTCAGGCCTTGCATGCTTCGCTTTCATCTAGATCCCAGAGGAGGCTGATGGGGGAGGAAGGAGAGCAATGGGGACACGCAAGGCTACAGCCGTGGCAGGTATTTCCTTCCCCTTTTTGCAACCTGCAGTCCACACAGATGCTGATCTTGACTGGGGATAGACCTGCAAAATATCATAGTTACTATTAGTACTAGTAATAGTAGCATACCGCCCAACATTTCTCTGTTGAAAATAGAGACGGCGCATTCCATAATGATAATCTTACTGCTTATACCCAGGGCTTTCTTTTCAGAGGGGAACTCGCTGGAACTCAGTTTTGACACCTTTCAGGTGGGTGCCATTGCCATTCTCAGAGGGAGGTGTTCATGGTGAGTTCCGGCACCATCTTTTCTACAATAATAGCACTGTTTATACATCTTCTTCAGTTGCCTCAGCACTCTGGGCAGCTCCCAAAATAAAGAAATTCATACTAAAATATTAAACATTTAAAAATTCCCTATATAGGATTGGACAGCTTGTGGGTTGGATAACTCCACATCCGCCAACATTTCTCCAATGTACATAGGGACATTCTAAGGAAAAGTGGGAAATTCCAGGATCAAATGGAAAACTGTCTCTAATTCAGGGATGTCCCTGGAAAATTGGGGCACCTGCAGGCTCTGTAGTAATAAAAATGGCTGAATAGGAATTCCAGTCTACATGAGATACACGCAGCCCCAAATCATAAGAGGTTGAAGTGAGTAGGACTGAGATATCCATCTTGGCTTCAAGCTTTCTCAGTGCTGGTGCTTTCCCCTGTCATTCCAGCTTCACCCTTTCTTAAGAGAAATCCGGTGTCTGAATACTTCCAGAGGCAGGCTGTGCTTGGATGAGAACTGGGAGCTACCAGGAGACTTCGATATTATGAACTGGGTGATGTCTCCCAATAAGTCTCATGTCGTTGTGAAAATTGGGAATATAAGGAGAGAGACATCTGCTGGCATAAAGTTCACCATTAACCCAGAAGCTATTGAGTGGCCCAAGAAATTCAACAAGGTAAGGGGAATCACAGAGAGGGGAGGCTAGGAGATCCCAGCTTTCCTTGATCAACTGCTGCAAAATGGCTATATCAGGTTGACCAATGATGTCTTGACCGTCCAATAACAGCTGCAACCGCCACTCCTTCTTTCCACAGCAGCTGAGATAGGAGGGCAATTTGGGATGCTTAGAGAAAAGATAGAGCCCAGAGGTCCTTAGAAAAGACACCATCTATTTCCAAGCCAGACAGAGAATTTAAAAATTCTGGACAGAATCTTCGACAGAAAGGACTACGTAGATAAGAAGAAAAGGGAAAACACCTAGGGAAAAGGGGAAATACCTAGTAAAAGTGAACTATTGGGTTTTCATACATGCAGAAGGATGGAAAGTAATTTATTTTAGAAATGATAATTACTGATTTATTGTGATTGAAACTATTGTACGTGCAGGAACCTTTACCTTTAATGGGACCACTGACCATTAGGTCCAGTCGTGGCCGACTCTGGGGTTGCGGTGCTCATCTTGCTTTATTGGCCGAGGGAGCCGGCGTACAACTTCTGGGTCATGTGGGCAGCATGACTGGTGAACCAGAGCAGTGCACGGAAACGCCGTTTACCTTCCCGACGGAGCGGTACCTATTTATCTACTTGCACTTTTGACGTGCTTTTGAACTGCTAGGTTGGCAAGAGCAGGGACCGAGCAACGGGAGCTCACCCCATTGTGGGGATTCAAACCTCCGACCTTCTGATCAGCAAGTCCTAGGCTCTGTGGTTTAAGCCACAGCGCCACCCGCGTCCCTATGAGTGAATTACATACCCACAAATACTCCTAACTGTTCCTCTTTCTTGCACCTTCTTGTCTTTCTGGTTAGGCCGTGCCTCGTTCCAGGTGTACAGAAAGATGTCAGCCTGGATATGCCAAGGTGGTTCTAGAAGGACAGCCCGTTTGCTGCTATGCTTGTGCTCGGTGTGTGGAAGGGACCTTCTCCGCCCAGGAAGGTGCGTGACTCCAAGGGGGAAGGAGAGTAAACACAGGGCAGAAATCCAGTCTCACCCACTTTTTGTGAGAATTCTGCAGACATTGTGGAATGTGGCTCCTTCCTCAACTTCTTTAGGATAAATCGCCTTCATTACATCCTGGAAGAGAGTTGAAAGGAATGATCATAAGGAAGAAATCTCTAGGATTTCTTCAAAACATAATAGAGTTCTTCAAAACGTAATAGAGCATAGATCATTAGGGATGTAAGTGATGCTGCAGCCACTCTTTTTCTCTTCCCCAGATGCAGAACATTGCACCAAATGCTCAGAAGATCAGTATCCAAACAAGGACAGAGATCAATGTGTCCCCAAGATTAACATCTTCCTGGCTTATGAAGAATATTTGGGAATGGTGTTAGCTTCCGTTGCCCTCTTCTTTTCTATAACAGCAGGCATTGTGTTGGGAATCTTCATTAAATACAAGGACACTCCCATAGTCAAAGCCAACAACCGGGACCTCTCCTACATCCTCCTCGTCTCGCTCCTGCTTTCCTTTTTGTCCTCCTTCCTCTTCATCGGGCGCCCAAGGAAAGAGACCTGCCTTCTCCGACAAACGGCCTTCAGCATCATCTTCTCAGTTGCTGTTTCTTCTGTCTTGGCAAAGACCATCACGGTGGTGCTGGCCTTCCTGGCCACAAAGCCCGGGAACAGGGTGAGGAGATGGCTGGGCAAGAGTCTGGCCAACTCCATGGTCATCTCCTGTTCTGGGGGGCAAGTTCTCATCTGCACCATCTGGCTGGGCTCTTCTCCCCCATTCCCAGAGTCCGACATGCGCTCCCAGGTGGAAGAGATCATCCTGCAATGCAACGAAGGGTCTGTGGCCATGTTCTACGTTGCCCTCGGCTACCTGGGCTTCTTGGCTGCCATCTGCTTCACGGTGGCTTTCCTAGCCAGGAAGCTGCCTGGCTCCTTCAACGAAGCCAAGCTGATCACCTTCAGCATGCTGGTCTTCTGCAGTGTTTGGGTGTCTTTTGTGCCCACCTACCTGAGCACCAAGGGCAAGTACATGGTGGCCGTGCAGATCTTCTCTATGTTGGCCTCCAGTGCTGGGCTTCTGGGCTGCATCTTCCTTCCCAAGTGCTACGTTATTGTGCTGAGGCCTGATCTGAACACAAAGGAGCACCTGACAACAAGGAATTAAGGGGGCATCTGATTCTTAAAACATTCCATGTTCCTGATGTCCAGAAGTGAATAAAGGAAACACACTTGCTCATCCATGTTGCTCATTCTTCATCTGTGAAAGAGATTATGTTCTTTACAAATGTATATTTTAACATCTTTTTCATTTCGTTATAGATCATCTCCCAGAAGCCCTTCACTTTCTTACATTCCCACCACATATGATAAAACGGGGAACTGTAATGGTTCTAGGGGTTGCTCGTGCGTAAGCCTGTGCAAACACCTGGCTGGCTTGCCTGAGTGAACCTTTCCTGTCCGGACAGCCACTCACCCGTGGCTGTCTCAATCGCTGGCAGAATCCGTCAGTGGGCGTTTCTTAAACTTCTTCCAGCAAAGTTCTTTGACGCCCAGTCTCCTCCTACTCTCCCTGCGCGGAAGCCTTCTGCGCAAGGAGGGCGTAGGCAGCGGAGGACCCTTCCTCTCCCCGCTGGTCTCCGGCAAGGAGTCATGTGACCGCCTCTCTGATTCCCCCATCTGCCCCCCTTCTCCACTGGAGCTAAGCTGATTCCCTTCCCCAGAAGATGGGCTGCCTCTCCCAATCCCGGGACGCTCTCTGGGATCCCTCTGGAGCTTGCTCTCTCCCTCCGGCACTGATGGCAGTTCCCTAACAGGAACTTCTATTTATCTCACAACAAGATAGTCGAGAGGGAGATAGGAGTTAGGTTTTTTAGTCTGTTTGCTTTATTATAACTATCTATTACCCATATCAATTCTGATATTCAACAATACTTTCTAGTTATGTCATTTCTAGATATTCAAATGCCTGTGCTCCATTTTCTACAGGTTGGATGTATCATTCAGAAGTTCACTTCACATCATTCCATTCTCCTAAACTTTGTATATTAATAAATTGAGAAATTCATATAAGTTCTCTTCTGTCATTTGTTGGTTTAATTTCTGTATTCTGTAAGCTCTGCTCCCTGTTCCAAAGAGTAGCAACTGACCTTAGCGAAGCCTTGACTGGAGTACAATGGATTTTATTGCATTGTCCAGGATATGACACATTGTTGAGTGGATCACCAGATTACAAATGAGCCAGCAACAAGTTTAGCATTGGAGGAAAGCAATGAGACGATGCCAAATAGTTGTATTCCCTGCATCCTGCACTCTTCAGGATGTCTGGCTCAAGGTCAGCAACCACACTACCTGGGGTGTACGAGACATCCATATCTTTCTGGTATAATTCCTCTGTGTATTCTTGCCACTTCTTCTTGATGTCTTCTGCTTCTGTTAGGTCCTTTCCACTTTTGTCTTTTATTATGGTAATCTTTGTACGAAATGTTCCTTTCATATCTCCAGTTTTCTTGAACAGATCTCTGGTTTTCCCCATTCTATTGTTTTCCTCTATTTCTTTGCATTGCTCGTTTAAGAAGGCCTTCTTGTCTCTCCTTGCTATTTTTTGGAAATCTGCATTCCATTTCCTGTATCTTTCACTATCTCCCTCGCATTTTGCTTGCCTTCTCTCCCCTGCTATTTGTAAGGCTTTGTTGGACAGCCACTTTGCTTTCTTGCATTTCCTTTTCATTGGGATGGTTTTAGTTGCTGCCTCCTGTATAATGTTATGAGCCTCCATCCATAGTTCTTCAGGCACTCTGTCCACCAAATCTAAATCCTTAAACCTGTACCTCACTTCCACTGTGTATTCATAAGGGATTTGACTTAGATTGTATCTTACTGGCCCAGTGGTTTTTCCTACTTTCTTCAGTTTAAGCTTGAATTTTGCTATAAGAAGCCGATGATCTGAGCCACAGTCAGCTCCAGGTCTTGTTTTTGCTGACTGTATAGAGCTTCTCCATCTTTGGCTGCAGAGAATATAATCAATCTGATTTCGATACTGCCCATCTGGTGATGTCCATGTGTAGAGTCGTCTCTTGTGTTGTTGGAAAAGCGTGTTTGTGATGACCAGCTTGTTCTCTTGGCAGAACTCTATTAGCCTTTGCCCTGCTTCGTTTTGAACTCCAAGGCCAAACTTGCCAGTTGTTCCTTTTATCTCTTGACTCCCTACTTTAGCATTCCAATCCCCTATAATGAGAAGAACATCCTTCTTTGGTGTCATTTCTAGAAGGTGTTGTAAGTCTTCATAGAATTGGTCAATTTCAGTTTCTTCAGCACCAGTGGTTGGTGCATAAACTTGGATTACTGTGATATTAAAAGGTCTGCCTTGGATTCATATCGAGATCATTCTATCATTTTGGAGATTGCATCCCAGTACAGATTTCGCCACTCTTTTGTTGACTATGAGGGCCACTCCATTTCTTTTACGGGTTTCTTGCCCACAGTAGTAGATATGATGGTCATCCGAACTGAATTCGCCCATTCCTGTCCATTTTAGTTCACTGATGCCCAGGATGTCAATATTTATTCTTGTCATCTCATTTTTGACCACATCCAACTTACCAAGGTTCATGGTTCTTACATTCCAGGTTCCTATGCAATATTTTTCTTTACAGCATTGGACTTTCCTTTCGCTTCCAGGCATATCCGCAACTGAGCGTCCTTTCGGCTTTGGCCCAGCCGCTTCATCAGCTCTGAATCTACTTGTACTTGTCCTTCGCTCTTCCTCAGTAGCATGTTGGACGCCTTCCGACCTGAGGGGCTCATCTTCCAGCGTCATAACTTTTATATGCCTGTTGCCTTTGTCCATGGAGTTTTCTTGGCAGGGATACTGGAGTGGCTTGCCGGTTCCTGCTCCAGGTGGATCACGTTTGGTCAAAACTCTCCACTATGACCTGTCCATCTTGGGTGGCCCTGCACGGCATAGCAAATAGCTTCTCTGAGTTATTCAAGCCCCTTCGCCACGGCAAGGCAGTGATCCATGAAGGGGACTATCATCCATACATGAAGTCAAAGGCAGGATTTGAAATATAAGCAGCGCATTACTGAAATACGACATTGGGGCTTTGATAATAAAAACAGGTTTTTTAAAATATCTGATACAAACCAACATAGAGATGGGAATTGTGTGGGGTTTTTGTTTGTTTTTTTAAACTGTATACGAAGACAAGTGATTGGAATATCTCTGGAGACCTAATAAATTTTTTTTATTTTTTTTTAATGTAATAAAGACAGCATCCACCCAGATTCTTAGGAAGTTGAGGTAATTTGATTCTGTTTTATTATTTTAACTTTTGGAATGCTCTAAAGTAAGACTGTAAACTTTGTTATGATCGTCCTGACTTATCTTGACGTAAAGCGCTCTAGGGGTGATTGGCCAAAATAGTGCATGGATTTTATGAAAAATTAAATAATTAAGTAAGAAAGTAAATAAATATTAATAAATAAATTCATAAAGAATAATAAAGCTGCTAGAATGCTAGCCTGGCTTCTGCGCCGACAATTTGTTTATGAGTAGAGATGTTTCTGCTCAAAGACGAGGAGCAAGCTGGCTCCATGAGCAACAGAAGCTCTCCTTCCGCAGAACATGTTGAAGGGGAAGGAAGAGCCTAAGGCTCAGAGCAAACTTTCTCCCCTCATCCAACCCCAGAGAGCTTCCCTCTGTTGGAGAAGCCTTTCAAAGATGGGGTGGAAATTCACCTGAAGTGGCTTCAAAACCACCAACACGCTACTTCCCTTCAGGGGGAGAACCAGAAGGGATCGGCAGGAATCAAATCCACCCAAAGTGGCCAACTAGAAGAAGAAGAGTTTGGATTTCATATCCCGCTTTATAACTACCCTAAGGAGTCTCAAAGGGGCTCACAATCTCCTTTCCCTTCCTCCCCCACCACAAACACTCTGTGAGGTGAGTGAGGCTGAGAGACTTCAGAGAAGGGTGACTGGCCCAAGGTCACCCAGCAGCTGCATGTGGAGGAGCGGGGAAGTTATCCCAGTTCACCAGATTACGAGTCCACCGCTCTTAACCACTACACCACTACACCACACTGGTTCTCTAAAGCATCCCTAACCTCTGCTTCAAAACCTCCAAGGAAGGAGAGTCCATGGTTGGATCCAGCTCCTTCTTTGGTCCTTGGGAGCAAAGTTCAGGCCAAACTTCCAATTCCCAAAAACACCTTTTGACTTTTCTCCATCATGTTTTTCTCCAGCTCTGCACCTGCTGCCTGAGCCATTCAAGACTTCGGAAAGTTAGTGTGATGAAACTTATTCCACTTGGAATAATCAAAATTATAGTCATCTCCTCTTCTAAATGCTCAGGAGATATTTCTGGAGGTTACATCAGCCTCAGAAAGTAGCATGACAATATTAATTGCACTGTGTCTGGGAATGAAAAAGTTGGTGCAGAGAATATTTCCTGTGTTGGAGACAGACTGAGACAAGATGCAGAGCTGGCGAAAGAGGGGTGTGCCTGCCTTGTGCTTCCTAGCTCTGAAGATATAGATGAAAACCACCCAGATTGGGGAAAGCCCAGGCAGTTTGGTCTTGCAAGAGTCTTTGGGTTCTTCTGCTTTGCCTCCTGGGCAGGTAAGAGGAGGAGGAGGAGGCAGAGCCAGAATGAGATCCCTGCTCCTTCTGTTGCTGCTTCTGCTGCTCATGATGCCCTTTGGAGTCTGCGGGAACTACAAGGCGAAATGCCCCTTGAATCTGGTCAGGGATCAAACGGATGCTCGCAATTACTTCCGGCCGGGACACTTTCTCATCAGTGGGATCATCTCTCCAAAACGCTTATATAAGGAAATTCCATACGTCTTTTCTCAGACACCCTTGGCCAGGGATGAGGCGTATGTAAAATCATATGTGGGTGGGTTTCATGGTCCTCCAGTCCTTGTAATGGTTCCTATTTCTCAAGGAAAGAGCGCCTTTCTCAGGGCTGGGGAGCCAAGGCTGTCCTCATGTTGCAGGTCTACCCTGCCCTGACCATTGGTCTTGCTGGCTGGGCTGATGGGCGCTGGGGGGTCCACTAAAAGATTCCACCCAAACCTCTCCCATTTCCTTGTTCCCTGGGTCTTCCTTAGTGAAACACTCTCCTACCTTTGATTCTGTGTTGCTTTCAGTAGAATGCAAGGATGCCAATGAATCTGGTCAGGAGTCAAAAGGATGCACTGAATTTTCCCACCTGCAGGATGCCATGAAACTCAGGCAATTTCCAAGGCTCAAGGGTTTTATTCAATATTATTCCATTTGGACAATTCAGAAACTGTCGTTAGGGAATGCTACAGTTTTACAAATGGAATTTAAGATCCTCTGGGTGACGTTTGGTGGCTGAAGAGCAGAAAAGATGTACTTTAATTGAAATAATGAATAAAATAATATGAATCAGGAGACTTCCTTGTTCGTGGAGTCAGGTCTCTAAAATGTGAAAATTATTCCTTTTTTCACATACACAACTGGCCTCATTTCTAAGTAGTGAGATGTTTGATATTTCTTCACGTGGAATCCATAGGTACCTGTTTCCTATCCCAGAGGGAGGCATGAAACAAGCAATTTCCAAGCTGCCAAAATTATTTTATGTTTATTCTATTTGGATCATTTGTGAACAACCTTAGCACAGTTCTCTTGACACAATACCACAGGAGACCTACAGCCCACATGGGCTACATTAAAGGTTTCCTCCTCCAATCTCAGCACTTTTTCCTTTCTGTCACTATCTTTTTAAAAATAATTAGAAGCGCTTTAAGAAACTCCTGAAAATGGGTGGATTTTTATGGGTAAAAGCAGGAACGATATGCTTCAAATAAAATGATTATATAAAATAATACAGACCAGGGGGTGTCCCCATTGGTGGGAGTCACTGATCCAAACATGGGCAAAATTATAGATTTTACCACACACTCAAACCTGAAAGCCACCAGGCCTCATTTGTAACTAAAAGGGGACTGAGGTATTTGGTGCTTCTCCTCCTTCAATCAAATGGTCTCTCACCTACCTATAGTCTAGCCCCTTGGAAGAAGCCGAAGACCACTGCAGCAAAAGCAGCCCTTGCAGCAACTTCCCAGTATATCACACATTTTGAGGGGCGCCTTCATTTCTTACTCATAAAACCATAGTAGAATAGAATCATAGAGTTGTAGAGATGGAAGGGACCCGGAGGAATCTCACCTGAAGCATCCATGACACATGGTCACCTTCGGAGGGAGTCTCTTCCACTGTTGAACCGCTCTGTGTGCTGTTTGCATCAAAGCTCCTGTCATGGAGCAGAGATCTGCAAATTTTTGTTTTATGCTAGACAGGAAAAGGTTTGATATTAATGCAAAAGGATAAATAAATACTAATCTGTGTGGATTATATAATGTTTCCTCCGTCCCATTCATATGAATATCAGTTTCACTCTTTTTAAAGAATTCATTTATTGCAGGGAGGCACCTAGGATCTACCAGTACATGTTGTCTTTCCTGTTCACCATCCAAGAGATCAACCAGGATCTCAGTCTCTTACCCAATATCACCCTGGGCTACAACCTCTATGAGAACCTTTTCGATGCAAGGATGACTTCGGACGCCATGCTAGAGCTGCTTGCAGGCAGTGGATGCAATATTCCCAATTATCACTGTGGAGAACAGAATCACCTGCTGGCTGTTCTTGAAAGAGGCAATACTGTCATCTCAAAAGTGATTTCAGCCTTGTCAGGCATCTACAAAATCCCACAGGTAAGCAGTGGGAGAGCATGGAGGGAAAGAGAATTTCAACTGCGTAGAATTCTACTTTCTCTTTGGATAGGTCAAGCAGGGATATTTTTAAAAATGGGAAAATCCTGAGCTATGGATTCAACATCCTTTTTTTAAAACTGAGCCTTCACCAACTTGACACCTCCAGATGTTTCCGACTAAAACTCCCATCAGCCTCAGCCAGCAGAGATTTAGATATCAGTCATTTCAGATAATTAAAAATCTTATGCTGAAAGTAAAATAAATTGGTGATCTTTGCTTTGCTTGCTAGATCAGTTATGGCTTCACTGCCCAGGTTCCCGAAGGTAAAACCCTGTTCCCTTTTGTCTACCGGATGACTCCCAAAGTGGAAAGTCAGTACCAGGGGATTGTTGAATTGCTCCTGCATTTTGGATGGACGTGGATTGGCCTCTTCATTTCAGACAATGACAATGGAGAAAGAATTGTGAGCGCTGTGAAACCTCTGATGCTCAGCAAAGGGATCTGCATTGCTTTCTCAAAAAGAGTACCAGAAAGTGATATGGATCAATTTATCAGGCCTGGGGAACCTTTTTTCCTATGGAGACAAGTTGGGGTATTTGTTTCCTATACAACCAATGCACTGAGTATCATAATAATCATGGCAATACACGATATCCATGAGAAGGAAACAGGGGCGAAAGTCTGGATCACAACAGCTTTGCTAGAAATCAGAATTGGCATTTACACCCCTCCAGATTACTTCCAGCACCTCCATGGTTCTCTGTCCTTTGCAATTCAGACTGGAATAAGGAGCAGCAAAGGTGACAAATATAAATCGTCGTCCAATCTTGTGGATTATTTCAATCAAGCATTTCAGTGTTCATATTCAAGGCATCTGTTGTCCGTGAAAGGCAGGGTAAGATGCAGAGAGGAGGAGAAACTGCAGCCAATGCCCCAAGAGGAGCGTGAGAGAGCCCTGTTTCTAGAAAGCTATGGCACTTACATCCATGTTCAAGCTGTGGCTCAGGCCTTGCATGCTTCGCTTTCATCTAGATCCCAGAGGAGGCTGATGGTGGAGGAAGGAGAGCAATGGGGACACGCAAGGCTACAGCCGTGGCAGGTATTTCCTTCCCCTTTTTGCAACCTGCAGTCCACACAGATGCTGATCTTGACTGGGGATAGACCTGCAAAATAACATAGTTACTATTAGTACTAGTAATAGTAGCATACAGCCCAACATTTCTCTGATGAAAATAGAGACGTCCCATTCCATAACGATAATCACTGGGCAACAATTTTTTACTTTTTGAATGTTGTCTAGATTTCTACAACTGCTTTAGGGTATTTTTGCACTGCTGAATCAGGAAATGGCATCCGTTTATCTCCATCAGGTCAGGTTTTTGTGCTATGTTGATTTGAAAAAAATCAGATCTTGTGACAAAATCGATTACATTTTTGTGGCATTATCGGCTCATTTTTGTCAACACATATCATCCTAAATATGTTTTTAAGAGAAAAAAATGTTTTTCCAACAACATATATTGATTACCTGATAGAAACACCGATTACTGTAAACTGAATGGTGGGCATTGATAAAGGTAAGTACACGTAAATTGCATGTTGCTTCACCATTTTTCAAACTTCAGGGCTTGAACTTCTTGGAATTCCTGGAATGCTCAGCGGCAAGGAGGTCTCTCTTCAGAGTCCAACAGTAGTCAGGCATCATGACTGGGTCCCAGCGACCCTGATACCTGGTCTCCATCTCTTTCATGTCCTGATGGAATCTCTCCCCCTGCTCGTCACTCATTGAACCCAGGTTCTCAGGAAACCGGTCCATATGTGAAAATAGGTAGTGCATCTTGACGCTCATGTTGCAGCCCAGGTTTCTGAAAGCAGTCAGCATGTTGTTGACAAGTTCTGCGTAGTTTCTGGCCTTATTGTTGCCAAGAAAGTTATTCATTACCAGAACAAATGCCTTCCACGCTTCCAGTTCCACTTCGTTCATTGAGTTTCCAAACTCTGGATCTCTGATGAGCTGACGGATCAGAGATGCCAGCTTTCAACTTCTCCATGGTCAATCCTGGAAAAGCCTGGCACAAGTAAGTGAGTCAGTCACCATCCTTGTCCAGAGCCTTGGTGAACTGCTTGATTAAGCCGAGCTTGATGTGCAGCGGTGGGAAGAGTATTCTGTCTCTGTCCACCAGAGGGTCGTTGAAGACGTTCCTTTCTTTGCAAGGCACCAATTCCTCCCGCACAGGCCAGTCCTTCTTCGTGTAATGCTGAGCACGGTCCCTACTATCCCACATGCACAGAAAACATCGGTACTGGTTGCCGTTGTTTAGCAGAACACATTTCAGTGATCGCTTGCTGCTGTCAATGAACAGTCTCCAATCTTTGGGTTCGTACTGTGGCACTTCAAGCTTGAGCAGAAGCTGCGCAATATCTGCACAGTACACCAAGTCCTTCTCTTCCGAGAAAAAACGGAGGTACTCTTGATGCCTGTTGCGGAAGAATCTGATGCGAGCACTGTCAGAGAGGTTTTTTTCCTTCAGTCTGGATGCCAACAGTTCGGCAGAGTCCTTTGACAAGCTGAGGTTGCGAACTAGATCATTCAACTCCTTTTGGGAAAATGGATGTGGAGCATCATCTTCAAGAACCACTTCTTCTTCATGTCCTTCAACACTGGAGGCATCTTCATCACTAATGTCAGGAAGTTCTCCGAAGATAGGCACTGGAATTTCATCACAATGAGCTACAGGACGATGTGCTGATTGAAGATCAGGATACTTGAGGCTGCTCCAGTTCTTTCTGTTGATCCCAGTCACATCAACAGCGCAGAAGTAGCAGTCAGTGACATGGTTTGTCGGCTCCCTCCAAACCATGGGAATTCCAAAGTTCAGACTCCTCTTGCCATTGGTCCACCCACGTAGAGTCTCGGTGCATGCCTTGCACACTATGTGTGGTGCCCAAGCTTTATCCTGGTCACCAAGTTTAATACCAAAATAACTTTATGCTTTGCCGCACCAATTTATGGAAGATTTCAAGGTTTTATGACTTCAAACTGATCCCTTTTCGACATAATCACCCAGAACTATTGGACCTGAATACTTCTTGTCATTAAAATAATCATTTCCAATCAAAACAATTATTTGACATGGCATTTTACCCCCACCAACTTCTTCTAAAATGCTCCACACAAGCGTACATGTGAACAAAAACGTAAAAAAATGACATGTGGCCATAGCTCAAAAACTTGACCTGATTGAACAAAACCAATGTGATTTTTGGATTCAGTGCATCAGATTCGTTCTAAATCAACTGAAAAAACGCAGACAACAAATTTGTTGTTGACCAGTGTTTACTGTTGATATCCAGAGCTTTTTAACGGCGGAACTTATTGAAACTCAGTTTTGGCACCTCTCAGGTGGGTGCCATTGCCATTCTCAGAGGGAGGTGTTCATGGTGAGTTCCGGCACCTTTTTTACCTAGAAAAATAGCACTGTTTATACCCCACACGTCTTTTTGGGTTGCCTCAGCACTCTGGGCAGCTCCCAACATAAAGAAATTCATACTAAAATATTAAACATAATAAAGATTCCCGATATAGGATTGGACGCCTTGTGGGTTGGATAACTCCACATCTGCCAACATTTCTCCAATGAAAATAGGGACATTCTAAGCAAAGTTGGGAAATTCCAGGATCAAATGGAAAACTGTCTCTAATTCAGGGACATCCCTGGAAAATTGGAGCACTTGCAGGGTCTGTAGTAATAAAAATGGCTGAATAGGAATTCCAGTCTACATGAGATACACGCAGCCCCAAATCATAAGAGGTTGAAGTGAGTAGGACTGATATATCCATCTTGGCTTCCCGTTTTCTTAATGCTGGTGTTTTCCCCTGCCATTCCAGCTTCACCCTTTCTTAAGAGAAATCCGGTGTCTGAATACTTCCAGAGGCAGGCTGTGCTTGGATGAGAACTGGGAGCTACCAGCAGACTTTGATATTGTGAACTGGGTGATGTCTCCCAATAAGTCTCGTGACATTGTGAAAATTGGAAATATAAGGAGAGAGACGTCTGCTGGCATAAAGTTCACCATTAACCCAGAAGCCATTGAGTGGCCCAAGAAATTCAATAAGGTAGGGTAAATCACAAAGGGAGAAGGCTAGGAGATGATTACTATGTTTTTCCTTAAACAACCGCCGAAAAATGACCATATCAGGATATCAGGTTGACCAATGGTGTCTGGACCGTCAATAACAGCTGCAACCACCACTCCTTCTTTTCACAGCAGCTGAGATAGGAGGTGAATTTGGGGTGCTCAAAGAAAGGATAGAGCACAGAGGTCCTCAGAGAAGACACCAGAATCTTCGACAGAAAGGACTACGTAGATAAGAAGAAAAGGGAAAGCCCCTAGTAAAAGTGAACTATTGGGTTTTCATACATGCAGAAGGATGGAAAGTAATTTATTTTAGAAATGATAATTACTGATTTATTGCGGATATTTTAAATTTATGGAGTAAGCTCACTTGTAGATGTTGCAAATGTTAAACTATTGTATGTGCAGAAATTGAGAAGTGCACAGCTGTTGGTGAAGGATGAGAAGTTAAAAAAAAAAACCCTATTGTAATATAAGGTTAATGTTAAGGAATGGCATATGAACGAGAAATAACTAGGACATTCATCAGCAATAAGAGGAAACCTTGCATGCCTCAAAAACAGAGTGAGGGAAACCAATATTTGGAAAAGTCATATTAAATTTGTCTTAATTAGTGATTGAGAGATTATCCGAATCCTGAACTTTGGGGATATCACATTTCAGACTCCATTGCCATTTTCTTTGAAGATTTATTAAGCAGGGAAGCAGGTAAATGGAGAAGAGGAAAGAGAGTTCTGTGGCGCAAACCTCAGTTGTCCTGAACAAAGAACAAGATATTCTGGTCGCCCCAATGGTCAGTGGGGGGTTGAAAGGACCCTGGTGAGGGGTCAAAGGCTGCAGTCCAGAGATCCATTTGAATTCACTCTATGAGTGAGTTACATCCAAACAAATACTCCTAACTGTTCCTCTTTCTTGCACCTTCTTGTCTTTCTGGTTAGGCCGTGCCTCGTTCCAGGTGTACAGAAAGATGTCGACCTGGATATGCCAAGGTGGTTCTAGAAGGAAAGCCCATTTGCTGCTATGCTTGTGCTCGGTGTGCAGAAGGGACCTTCTCCGCCCAGGAAGGTGGGTGACGCCAAGGGGGAAGGTATTTCTGGAGAAAGTAAACACAGGGCAGAAATCCAGTCTCAAACACTTTTTGTGAGATTTCTGCAGACATTGGGGAATGTGGCTCCTTCCTCAACTTCTTTACAATCACCTTCATTACATCCTGGAAGAGAGTTGAAAGGAATGACCATAAGGAAGAAATCTCTAGGATTTCTTCAAAATGTAATCGAGTTCAGATCATTAGTGATGTTGCAGCCACTCTTTTTCTTTTCCCCTGATGCAGAACATTGCACCAAATGCTCAGAAGATCACCATTCAAACAAGGACAGAGATCAATGTGTCCCCAAGATTACCACCTTCCTGACTTATGGAGAATATTTAGGAATGGTGTTAGCTTTCGTTGCCCTCTTCTTATCTATAACAGCAGGCAGGTGGAAGAGATCATCCTGCAATGCAACGAAGGGTCTGTGGCCATGTTCTACGTTGCCCTCGGCTACCTGGGCTTCTTGGCTGCCATCTGCTTCACGGTGGCTTTCCTAGCCAGGAAGCTGCCTGGCTCCTTCAACGAAGCCAAGCTGATCACCTTCAGCATGCTGGTCTTCTGCAGTGTTTGGGTGTCTTTGTGCCCACCTACCTGAGCACCAAGGGCAAGTACATGGTGGCCGTGCAGATCTTCTCTATGTTGGCCTCCAGTGCTGGGCTCCTGGGCTGCATCTTCCTTCCCAAGTGCTACGTTATTGTGCTGAGGCCTGATCTGAACACAAAGGAGCACCTGACAACCAGAAATTAAGGGGACATCTGATTCTTAAAACATTCCATGTTCCTGATGTCCAGAAGTGCATAAAGGAAACACAGATACTCATCCATGTTCCTCCTTTTCCACCTCTGAAAGAGATTGTGTTCCTTCTTAGCCCGGGTTTTGTGTAGTCCTGTTCACATGAACCGTAAGATGGGAGGAAATGTTTTGCTACCTTGCTTTGCCAATGACTACAATGAGTCCTGGTCTACTGCCCTTAGTTTGTAAACTATTATCTTCTAAAAATTTTAAAAAGATTTAAAAGGTTTTTGAGTCTGTTTGCTTTGTCATGACTACCTATTAACCATATCAATTCTAATATTCCACAATACTGTTTGGTTATGCCAGTTCTATGTATTCACTTTTCTATGCTCCCTTTCCCACATTTATGCGCTATCATTCATAAGCTCACTTCACATCATTTCATTCTCCTAAACTTTGTAAATCAATAAACTGAGAAATTCATTTAAGACATCTTCCACAGTCTGTTGGTTTAATTTCTGTATTGTGTAAGCTCTGCTCCCTGATCCAACGAGTAGCAACTGATCTTAGCCAAGCCTTGACTGGGATCCAATGAATTTTATTGCACTGGCCAGTGTTAGGGGCGGGCGAGGCAGCCGGGAAGAGAGGGGAGAGGGAACTTCGGCGCTCACGAGAGTGGCAGGCCGCCTACGCCAATCTGGGCGAGTCATTGTGAAAGGAGGTGGGGCGAGTAGAGCTGGGGAAGGCAATTGGTCGCGAAAGGCAGCAGTGGAAAGCGGGGAGAGGTGGGGCGGGGTTTAGTGGAGAGTGGTCACGCCCACTAGGCAGGGCAAGGCAAAGCTGGGAGGAGCCTCTGGCTTGACTTATTTCATTATTATTACTAATATTAATTATAATGAAATACTAATTTGGGGGGATGTATATTATTATATTATATTATATTATATTATATTATATTATATTATATTTTATATTACATTGGGACGCGGGTGGCGCTGTGGGTTAAACCACAGAGCCTAGGGCTTGCTGATCAGAAGGTCGGCGGTTTGAATCCCCAAGACGGGGTGAGCTCCCGTTGCTCGGTCCCTGCTCCTACCAACCTAGCAGTTCAAAAGCAAGTCAAAGTGCAAGTAGATCCAGCGGGAAGGTAAACAGCGTTTCCGTGCGCTGCTCTGGTTTGCCAGAAGCGGCTTAGTCCTGCTGGCCACATGACCCAGAAGCTGTACGCCGGCTCCCTCGGCCAATAAAGCGAGATGAGCACTGCAACCCCAGAGTCGGCCACAACTGGACCTAATCATCAGGGGTCCCTTTACCTTTAGCGATTATATTATATTATATTACATTACATCACATATTACTGTATTTTCCCGTGTAGAACATGCCCCCGTGTATAAGACACCCCCTATTTTGGGGGACTCAATATTAAGAAAATGGGGGATCCCATTTTCCCCATCTTATACACGGAAAAGTACGATGTATGTATGTTATTATATTATATTATATTATATTATATTATATTATATTATATTATATTATTATTATATTATACAGCGTGACTCATAATGAAGTATACAGTTTCAACACACTATAAAAAAGAATATAATATATCTCATGTTACCTGTGACAGAATTGTAGGGGAATGTTTAAAGTAGTTTCGAAACAGTCACAGATGTTCTATGTATGCACCGTTTGTCACACAACACACATCGCAATTGCAAATGCCGTTGCACAACAAACTCCATTTTGCTCAGTTCAAGAACACAAAACGTCTTCTCCACTGCAGACGCAGCCATTTCGCCTGACTAGTCACGTGACACGCGCACTATCACCTCCATCACTTTATGAGTACATCTACCTCACGGTTCGCAGCTGTTTTCCGTGTTGGCGCCTGTCTTACAGGATCTGGAAACTGTATATTTCATTATGAATCACCCTGTATTATATTATTTCGGTGTCCAATCACAGCATTACTATAGGATTTTTCATTTCAATCAATCAAATCTTTATTACGGTAGTAGACCAACATCAGTAGGGTGGGGTACAGTCATTTCCAATCTGTAAAACGTAAAGCTAAAAAATATTAAAACACAAAGTATACATAAAAGTCTAAAAAAAGCTGAAAGAGGGGTTTCGGAGCATTAAACGGATGTGGAAGAGCATAAAAGGTTAGTATATAAAAGACTATGGCTCTCAATTTCCAGGGCACTCTGATATGAGTGTTCATTAAATCTAGTGTAACAACAACAACAATTTATTTATACCCCACCACTCAGGGTGGCTCCCAATAGAATATTAAAAACACGATAAATACATCAAACATTACAAACTTCCCTGAACAGGGCTACCTTCAGATGTCTTCTAAAAGTCAGGTAGTTGTTTACTTCCTTGACATCTGCTGGGAGGGCGTTCCACAGGGCGGGCGCCACCGCCAAGAAGGCCCTCTGCCTGGTTCCCGGTTTGTGGCACAGGTCATCATCCGATGAATTTAGAGCTTCATTTATTTCTGTGTTTATATTTAAAGAAATTATGCATTTTAACAGTATCGCACCTTGATTGTAATATTAAGAATGCACTTAAAATTACTACGCACAACAATGAATAAGTGATTGCAATGCACACAGAGCTAATCAGTGCAAATATGTGTGAACAATGTTCTTAAAAACATTTGTTAACCAAGTCTAATATTACTATCTTTCTTATTGTGATTATTATTACTTTTATTGCTACTAATACCAGTGGCTTACAAGACTGAGCTCCATTCTGCCTTGGTCAGTCCCCACCTGGAATACTGTGTCCAATTCCGGGCACCACAATTTAAGAAGGATGTTGACCAATGGGAAGAAACCCCTCACCCCCCCAGAGATAGGTTGGCTCAGAGAGCCCCCTGAGCTTAGACTACCAAGCCTCTGAGGGCGTGCAGAGTGCAAATCCCCCCAGGGGCCCCTCTCTCTCCCGGGGGCCCTCCCCCTGCCAGCCTCTCCGGCCCTTGCGGGACTCTGGCCAGCTGGACGGGCTGCAGGCACTGGTGTCCCTGGCGGACGAGGAGGAGAAGGGGCCACCTTCAAAAGGCCCTGCGACTCCCGCCAGCCTCCGCCAGCACGGTCCACACTGGGGGGGGCAGACTTCCCAGCATGCACTGCCAGCTCCGTCAGGCCAATGGTCGATTCCCAGCCTCAATAAATTTGAAATTTACTGGTTTTTCCAGTGTATAACCAAATCAATCTCAAGGTGTCTTTTGTTCGGTTTCACTTATTAGCTTTATTATAAATTATCCTTTATTAGGTTTCATTTCCCTCAGGTCCTTCTTCCCAGCATGCTTTGCTGCCCCTTCTTCTCACAAACAAGGATCCCGTTTCCTATCATTTTATTTTTCTCTAGACGTATTTGGATTCTTCCATTTAAACTTGATGGAGGGGCAGAGCGATGGAGAAAGAGAGAAGGCTTTTCCTCACAGCCTTTCCCTCACCCTTCCCAGGCTGCACTGCGCAACCTTCCTCCTGGCGTGCTAATAAACTAATAATAATCAATAATTATACTAATAAACCCCCATAACCCAGGAAGTCGCGAAGAGACCTTGTCCTTTTCCTCATTCCCTTGGAGGCACCTAGAATGGCTTCCATGTTTTCCCGACGTCCCACGGCTCCTGCGACCTGAACAGCTGTTGCTAAAATGGCGTTGGCCACCCGCCAGTTGTTTTACTTGCAATTTAGAGCTCCAAAAATGCTTTGAATGCATGTTGTGGCTGTGATTTTTATAGTGCTTTTAATATTCTGTTGGGAGCCGCCCAGAGTGGCCAGGGAAACCACTATTATTATTATTATTATTATTATTATTATTATCTCATCACCTTGATTGCAATGAAACCTAAAGGAGACCCATTGAAATGCAATTATTAACTTGGTTTCGGGTTTGCACCAACCATTCTTCTTTTCGCAGTTGAGACGTTATTTCTGACCATTCACTCTGTTCTGATTGGTACCTGATTGATAAACTCATTCTTTAACGTCATCTGAATCTCTTGCTATTGGTTTATATATACACTGGTACCTCAGGTTAAGAACTTAATTCGTTCCGGAGGTCCGTTCTTAACCTGAAACTGTTCTTAACCTGAAGCACCACTTTAGCTAATGGGGCCTCCTGCTGCCGCCGCGCCGCTGGAGCATGATTTCTGTCCTCATCCTGAAGCAAAGTTCTTAACCCGAGGTACTATTTCTGGGTTAGCGGAGTCTGTAACCTGAAGCGTCTGTAACCCGAGGTACCACTGTATGCATATAAATTCAGAACATTATTGTAAAGGTACAAGAAAGGAGATTCCAAACCAACATCAGGAAAAACTTTCTGATAACAATGACTCCCGAATAAAACATGGAAGATGCAGAGTGAAGCCCCGAACAATGGGGGCTCCTCCTTTTTCAAAGTTTCTCCAGGTTACCCCCAACACCTTGTTGGAAGCATCACACACATGCCATGAACATGTCATAGTGTGGCATTGGGGTGAAAACTGATGCCGTGTCAATCAAAAATGTAAGACAAAGGGAAATACCTGCCATCTCTGACCCTCCAGACAATGTCAAGTACCCCCCCTTTGTCTTTCTCGGGATTCCAATACAGTGGTGCCTCAGGTTAAGTACTTAATTCGTTCCGGAGGTCCGTTCTTAACCTGAGTCTGTTCTTAACCTGAAGCACCACTTTAGCTCATGGGGCCTCCTGCTGCCGCCGCGCCGCCTGAGCCCGATTTCTGTTCTTATCCTGAAGCAAAGTTCTTAACCTGAAGCACTATTTCTGGGTTAGCGGAGTCCAGTGGCGTAGCGTGGGGGGTGCCAGCCGCACCGGGCGCAACATCTGCGGGGGTGCGCTCGCACTCGCAGCTCTCTGCCCCTACTAAAATCCACGGGTTAGGGGGCGCAAATTACTTGCCTTGCCCCGGGTGCTGACAACCCACGCTACGCCACTGGCGGAGTCTGTAACCTTAAGCGTATGTAACCCGAGGTACCACTGTACACTGAGACCGGGAGGACATTGTTTCCTGGGTGGGTTTGTGTCCGACCCTCCAAAGTCAGGATGCAGGGCTTAACCCTTATGCAATAGGGCAGGTGGGGACGTGACCATATGCTTCAGAGATTAGGGCAATGCCAGGCTCAGCCCCAAGCCCCTCCTCGGATGGCCACCTTTTCCCTGAATAAGCAACCTTGGCAGGATCAAAACCCGTCCCTGGAATGATTTACAGTGGTGCCCCGCAAGACGAATGCCTCGCAAGACGGAAAACCCGCTAGACGAAAGGGTTTTCCGTTTTTGAGTTGCTTCGCAGGACGAATTTCCCTATGGGCTTGCTTCGCAAGACGAAAATGTCTTGCGAGTCTTGAGATTTTTTTTCGCTTCCCCCCCCTTTATCTAAGCCGCTAAGCCTTTAATAGCCTTTTAGCAGCTAATCCGCTAAGCCGATAAGCCTTTAATAGCCGCTAAACCGCTAATAGCGCTAATCCGTTAAGCCGCTAATAGGGTTGCTTCGCAAGACGAAAAAACCGCTAGACGAAGACACTCGCGGAACGGATTAATTTCGTCTTGCGAGGCACCACTGTATTATGAATTCCTAAAGATTCCTACTAAATCGAGGATTTAGGGGGTTCCCTGCTTTGGCAGCTGCAGTACCAGCGCAGTCGTCGCTAGAGAGCGATGTTTCGCAACTTCTCCTGATCCCGCGCGTCTGATCGCCAAAGGAAAGAGGGCGCTGTCAGGAAGGGCGCTTGTCGATTGGTCAAGCACTTTATGAATGGGGAAAAGGAGGAAACGAAGGGGATCGCTGTACGCTACGTTGCACTGTTTTGATCTACAGACGTGCAGGTCTGCAACACGTGCAAAGAGTCGGCGGACAAAACACAGGATCAAAATTCAGGGCGCCACCGGCGAAGTCCGTCCTCCGTTCTTCTCTTCGGTTACAACCTCCCTGATTTCAGAATGGGGGGAGGGTCACATTTATAAGCCCCCCAATTGATCCACAAGGGCATCAGGCCCCCCACCAAATTCAACCCAGAGGGGAGGGGAGGCCAGGAAGCAAGCCGCCCCCTCCCCTCAGCTGGAAGGGGCCTTTAAAATGGAGAGGGGTCAGAGCCACAGACTTTAAGCCCCCTAAGCTGAAGCTGTTGAGTCTGAAGCTCAACATCCAAAATACGAAGATCATGGCCACTGGTCCCATCACCTCCGGGCGAATAGAAGGGGGAGAAATGGAGGCAGTGAGAGATTTTACTTTCTTGGGCTCCATGATCACTGCAGATGGTGACAGCAGCCACGAAATTAAAAGACGCCTGCTTCTTGGGAGAAAAGCAATGGCAAACCTAGACAGCATCTTAAAAAGCAGAGACATCACCTTGCTGACAAAGGTCCGTATAGTTAAAGCTATGGTTTCCCAGTAGTGATGTATGGAAGTGAGAGCTGGACCATAAAGAAGGCTGATCGCCGAAGAATGGATGCTTTTGAATTCTGGTGCTGGAGGAGACTCTTGAGAGTCCCATGGACTGCAAGAAGATCAAACCTCTCCATTCTGAAGGAAATCAGCCCTGAGTGCTCACTGGAAGGACAGATCCTGAAGCTGAGGCTCCAAGACTTTGGCCATCTCAGGAGAAGAGAAGACTCCCTGGAAAAGAGCCTGATGTTGGGAAAGATGGAGGGCACAAGGAGAAGGGGACGACAGAGGATGAGTTTGACCCAACTGCGGGAGGCAGTGGAAGACAGGAGGGCCTGGCGTGCTCTGGTCCAGGGGGTCACGAAGAGTCAGACACAACTAAACGGCTAAACAACAAGAAAAAAATATGACAAAAAGGGGGGGGATGTACCAAGTCTAAGTCCAAGTCTAATTTAAAGGGTTCCTCAGATAAAATACATTCTCAAGAGACTACACAATGAATTAGATGTTGCAACGGAACTGACCTGCCACAAAGAGAATACAAAAGAAAGATTGTGAATACCACCAATTAAGCCATGTTTCACTGGGACCTGCCACTCCTATTTGACATATAAACATAATCTGAATTTCTTGTAATCATTTACAGGGCTTCAGAGACTGGTTTGTAACCTTCAGCCAAGTATTCTGGGGTGTGTATTTTATTTTTTTACTGCTTTTGTTCCTGTCAGATTGTATTTTTTCCTATGAAATTCACATCATAATACAGCTATTGTGTTGGAAACAATGGTCAACTTAACAGGTAGAGTGATCTTGAGTACAAAAACAGAGGTGGCTTTGATCATAAGATTATTCCATTGTGTTTTTTTCACTCAATCAGTCCCGGAGTGGACTAACTGAAACCAGTGGCATTTAAGTCCAGTCATGTCCATTCCTTTCAGTCAGTCTGGTTCTGAGTGGGTCTGAAGTTGAATGCAACACCCAATTAACAAAACAGTATTTCCCCTGGTTCCATTTTGGAATGCCGCGAGAGTGATCTACTTCTGTGTCAACACTCCCCCCACACGCAAAGAAAAACCCAAAACCTGGAGGACCATCCGGTTGCACTTTTCCTTCACCTGCTTGCAGATAAACCATCCACAAGCAAACTCTGGCCCTCCAGATGTTTGAGACTACAATTCCCATCATCCCAAGCTAACAGGACCAGTGGTCAGGGATGATGGGAATTGTAGTCCCAAACATCTGGCGGGCCGGAGTTTGCCTAGGCCTGATCCAATAATTATAAATGCAATAATTAGTGAAATAAATAAAATAAATAAGAATAAGAATAATAAATTTTATTTATACCCTGCCCTCCCCAGCCAAGGCCAGGCTCAGGGCAGCTAACAACCAATAATAAAAACGAGTTGAATGAATACAACTTAAAAACAAGATTAAAATACAACATTACAACATTGAAACAATTAAAATGCAGCCTCATCACAGGAGGAGAAAGGAAAAAGAAAGAGGGGGAGGAAATCTATTTATATATTTATTTGAGATGTACTTGATTTAAACGTAATTTAATTTATTAATTTTATCTTGTTATACCTGTTCTGCTGTATGATGTATTGAATGTGGGCCTATGGCCGTAATAAACTAAACTTGAACTTGAACTTATATATTTATATATTTATATATGCAATAATCGATCAATCAAATCTATACATGCAATCAAATGAAATAAAATAAAATAAAATAAAATCAATCAATCAATAAATGGAATGCTAAAACAAATTTCCGACAGCACGTGCCAACGAACCCGGAAGCGGCTCAACTGCCAACTCCCATCTCCCCATGCCATTGTCCCTGCCCGAAGGGGCTGATGGGAGATGTAGTTTTAGCCGCTCCCTTTTGGTCCACCGCCCGCGTGCGCATGCGCGAGGAGGCGGGGCGAGGTGACGTCACTCCCCACGCGGTATTTCTTTCCCCCGGCGGACTCCAATGCAGGCGCAGAGGACACTCTCGGCATGGAGCGGGCGCTGCTCTTCTCGCTGCTCCTAACAGCCGCCGCTATAGACGCAGGTGAGCACATCCCGCGCATGCGCGAGGAGCCCCTGTCTGGGCTGGAATGCCGGCGCACGCGGGAAGGGGGGGGCTCCACTCAGGTCCCGCCCACCTCCACCGCCGGCGCCGATTGGCCAGGCGCGCCTCGGCTGTCGGAAAGGCGCCGATTGGACGCTCGCTTGAGCCCGCCCCTCCCCTGTGACCCCGCCCTTTTATTGGTTGCGGGGTAGTGGGCGGGGCCTCTTTGGGGTTGTCATGGAGACGGGGCCTGTACTTTCAGGCTGAGGAGAGAAATAAACAAGAATAAAGCGTGTTTGTTATTAATACATAGGAATTATAATGCTAGGATTTGGGGTCACGTGTTATGTGTTTATACCCCACCCTCCCTCCATGGGTGGGGTAACTTTTCCTGCTTCTTCCCCATTTTTGTTCCCCCCCTCACAACAACCCTGTGAGGTAGGCCACATATTATTATTATTTTATTATTATTATTATTATTATTTATTTTATTGTTGTTAGCCGCCCTGAGACCGGCTTCGGCTGGGGAGGGCAGGATATAAATAAAAATTTATTATTTTTATTTTATTTTTTTTTTTATTATTATTATTATTATTATTTATTATAAAGCTAGTAAAGCCCAAATGGGCCCCAGTCAGCTTCATGGATGAATGGAGGACAGAACTCCCACCTTCAGGGGCCTAGCCAACTTAAGTTCTACCAAGAGGAGAACTTAATGGTCACACGCCGATATTTTCCATTAATTTCAGCGAGAGTAGGACTGAAGCTAGGTGCATCTCTAAAGCATTAACCATTAAGCTATACAGTGGTACCTCGGGTTAGGGCAGATTTGAGGGTAAACCATACACAGCACGGGTTTGCCCCTGTGGCTCATTGGAAGTTGAAACTGCTTCACATGTACTATTACATTGTCGTCTTTATGAGGATATACGTTTGACTTTTATTACACCTGTTTTGCAAAAGTCCAGGAAAGAATCGGAACACCATAGTTTAAAATTACTGCTAGAGGACAAGAATCCCAAGACTACATTAAATGTAGCCAAATTCTGTGCGTCTGCAATTAATCGCAGGAAGCAAGTGGTATCCCATAATGACCAAACCCCCAAATGTTAATTACAGGGGGCACGCTAATAATTAACTTTAATTTTTTAGATTTAATTCCTTGTTATATTCATATTGTCCTCTGTACTTCTGATATTATTATTTTTTATGATCTGTGATATTGTGTGTGTTGACGCTGGTCTGTGACCGTATTAATAAATTCATTCATTCATACCTCGGGTTGCATACACATCAGGTTACAGACTCGGCTAACCCAGAAATAGTGCTTCAGGTTAAGAACTTTGCTTCAGAATAAGAACAGAAATCGGGCTCCGGCGGCGCAGTGGCAGCAGCAGGAGGCCCCATTAGCTAAAGTGGTGCTTCAGGTTAAGAACAGTTTCAGGTTAAGAACGGACCTCCGGAACGAATTAAGTACTTAACCCGAGGTACCACTGTACAGGCAGTAATTGGGCACATATGCATCGTACATCTTATAGCACATGGCTCCCACCCCCCAAAAAAAATTACCCTGGGAACTGTAGTTCACCTTTGTTGAGGTACTGGGAATTGTAGTTCACCCGTTTCGGAGGTGCTATAGATCCTGGGAGTCTTTGGGTTGAAGCTGCGTGCTTCAAATGCTGTCTGAGGAAACTTGCAGCCAGGCTTTTGAATTTGTTGTTGAGTCGTTTAGTCGTGTCCGCCTCTTCGTGACCCCCTGGACCAGAGGACGCCAGGCACTCCTGTCTTCCACTGCCTCCCGCAGTTTGGTCAAACTCATGCTGGTCGCTTTGAGAACACTGTCCCACCATCTCGTCCTCTGTCGTCCCCTTCTCCTTGTGCCCTCCATCTTTCCCAGCATCAGGGTCTTTTCCAGGGAGTCTTCTCTTCTCATGAGGTGGCCAAAGTATTGGAGCCTCAGCTTCAGGATCTGTCCTTCCAGTGAGCACTCAGGGCTGATTTCCTTCAGAATGGAGAGGTTTGATCTTCTTGCACTCCATGGGACTCTCAAGAGTCTCCTCCAGCACCAGAATTCAAAAGCATCAATTCTTTGGCGACCAGTTCTCACTTCCATACATCACTATTGGGAAAACCATAGCTTTAACTATATGGACCTTTGTTGGCAAGGTGATGTCTCTGCTTTTTAAGATGCTGTCCAGGTTTGTCATTGCTTTTCTCCCAAGGAGCAGGCGTCTTTTAATTTTGTGACTGCTGTCACCATCTGCAGTGATCATGGAGCCCAAGAAAGTAAAATCTCTCACTGCCTCCATTTCTTCCCCTTCTATTTGCCAGGAGGTGATGGGACCAGTGGCCATGATCTTAGGGTTTATTTTATGTTGAGCTTCAGACCATATTATCCTTCGTGGTGAAGGGGCTTGAATAACTCAGCGAAGCTATGAGCTATGCCGTGCAGGGCCACCCAAGATGGACAGGTCATAGTGGAGAGTTTTGACCAAACATGATCCACCTGGAGAAGGAACCGGCAAGCCACTCCAGTATCCCTGCCAAGAAAACTCCATGGACAAAGACAACAGGCACACGCTGATATTTTCCATTAATTTCAGCGAGAGTAGGACTGAAGCTAGATGCATCCCTGAAGTGTTAACCATTAAGCTATACAGGCAGTAATTGGGCACATCCACATCGTACATCTTATAGCACATGGCTTCCCCCCCAAAAAATATTTTTTACCCTGGGAATTGTAGTTCACCCGTTTCGGAGGTGCTATAGATCCTGGGAGTCTTTGGGTTGAAGCTGCGTGTTTCAAATGCTGTCTGAGGAAACTTGCAGCCAGGCTTTTGAATTTAATGAATGCAATTATCCCGCAGGGGAGAGGTCAAGGCCGAATAAACGATTCTTCTCCCCGCTCTTTGGCACGACTGATTAGGCTTAGCAAGAGCAACTTGGCTCAAGGTCACTCAGCAAGTTTCATGGCCAAGTGCTGATTTTTTTAAAAAAAATGTATTTGTATTAAACATTTTCTTGATTTGCAAAGGTATGTGCAATGTCTCTCTCGTATTTTTTCCCCCACGTAACACATTTTTTTTAACAAATCGGCTTCATTTGTTGAGACGTTAGGAAGAATAGGGGGAAAGAGGTGGAGGCGGGGAGCCAAGTGTAGATTTGAACCCAGGTCTTATGTCTCCTTAGGCTAGGTCCTATGTTACACCTGCTCAGAGCAGGTCCATTTTAACTGAAATTGTAATAATTGGAAAGGACCCCAAGGGACATCTAGTCCAACCCCCTGCAATGCAGGAATCTACTCTGACTGGGAATTACTGAGTACAACCCACCTGACAACACCCATCCCAACCCTCGGTGTATTCATACGTACATAAGGGTGGGTCATTGCTTGCTTTAGGTCTCCTGACCCTTCCCTGTTCATTGGCATCATTTACTGATATTTCTTTTCCTGCCAAAAAAAGTTACTTGGCACTTAAACCACAACCTTGCTGTTTCTTCATTCCTGTGATATTTCAGAGCTTATTTTTATTACTGCGCAGCTAAAGCCCTCTATTCAAACCCAGTTCCAATAAAAATCCCACCTAGGGATACTGAATATATAACCTTTATTATGCTCAACCGAAAAACACCCCCGCTGCTCCTATTATGAACAAATGTGCAGCCAAAGTCCTCTGTTAAAATCCTGTTCCGATAAGAAAATTCCAACAAGGGGAGTTGGGAAAAATAATCCTAATTGTACCTAGGAAAAAAAAAACACCCCCACCCCACTGTGGTTGAAACTTTTGTCCAGTTCTAATAACATGTGATATTTTTTCTTTGCCCATAAAAATAAGCTGGGTTTAGGAGTTCCAGAGAGTGGCAACACGAGAACAGTTCTACAAGTTCCCTATATGTTAGCCAACTGTCTTTCATATTATTTCTATGCATGGCTGATGACTCTATAGGCGATAGTCACCAGGGAGTTTTGGCTGTTACTATTGTTTTATTTCTTTCCCAAACTTCGAATAGGGCCTTTCTCACCAAATGATTAGTAAAGCCTCATTTGCTTTTATTTTATCACGACCCAGGGCCTTTTCAGTGGTGGCTCCCCATTTGTAGAACGCTCTTCCCAGGGAGGCTCCCCTAATGCCATCATTACATAACTTTAGGTTTTAAGCCAAAACATTTCTTTTTAGCCAGGCCTTTGGCTCTTAATTATCTGTTGCCTCGATTGGGTGAAATATTGCCCCCCTAACCTTTTTTATTTTTCTTTTTGTGTGTGTGTGTGTCCCCAACTTTTATGCCGGCTTCAAGGTACATTCATTTATATGTCATAAGTCGCCTCAAATTAACTTGGTGTGACCAATTTATTTATTCATTTAATTCACAAAAACTTGCACGCCACTTGATAGGTTTCTTGTTTTTTAAAAGGATTGCAAAAAAGGTAAGATCGGGAAGGATTTCCAATAGATTAAAACATAACAAGAAGTTTAAAATGCTGAAGCACATTGAAATGCACACCAGCTTTTCTAAGTGGCTGAACTAAATAAGGACGTTCTTAGCAGGCGCTGAGAAAAATACACTGATCTCAAGCAGGATTTTGAGTGTTTGTAAATCCTGCCTAAGGGACGCGGGTGGCGCTGTAGGTTAAACCACAGAGCCTAGGACTTGCCGATCAGAAGGTTGGCGGTTCAAATCCCCATGACGGGGTGAGCTCCTGTCGCTCGGTCCCTGCTCCTGCCAACCTAGCAGTTCGAAAGCACGTCAAAATGCAAGTAATATACGGTGGTGCCTCGCAAGATGAAATTAACCCGTTCCGCGAGTCTCTTCGTCTTGCGGTTTTTTCGTCTTGCGAAGCACGGCTATTAGCGGCTTAGCGGCTTTAAGAAAAAGGAAACAAACTCGCAAGAACTCGCAAGACGTTTCGTCTTGTGAAGCAAGCCCATAGGGAAATTCGTCTTGCGGAACGACTCAAAAAACGGAAAACTCTTTCGTCTTGCGCGTTTTTCATCTTGCGAGGCATTCGTCTTGCGGGGCACCACTGTAAATAGGCACCACTCCGGTGGGAAGGTAAACGGCGTTTCCGGGCGCTGCTCTGGTTCACCAGAAGTGGCTTAGTCATTCTGGCCACATGACCCGGAAGTTGTACGCCGGCTCCCTTGGCCAATAAAGCGAGATGAGCGCCGCAACCCCAGAGTCGGCCACAACTGGACCTAATAGACCTTTACCTTTTTTAATCCTGCCTCTTTCATAGCTGAGCTGCTGGAGTTGCTCCGATGTTCTTGACCATCCTTTTGGGTCTCCCAAATGACGCTCTTGTGTGTTTGTTTGTTTGTGTGTCTCTCCCTTCACAATTCAGAACGTTTCCTTTGCACCCTCGGGAGTTTCCAGTGCGAGGACGGCGGGCAGGTTCCGCTGTGCCAGCGGTGCGACGAGAAGCGGGACTGCGGCGACGGCAGCGACGAGAGAGGCTGTCGAGCCGCCAACGTCTCGTGCGGACCCCACGGGAGGCGATGCGGCAGCGACGGCCCTTGCCTGCCCTTGGAGAGGATCTGTGATGGCCACGGCGATTGCCCGGACAATTCCGACGAGTCCTTAGACGCCTGCGGGCATCGGGTCGACACGACTTCGCCAGCCTGCCCGAAGGATGAGTTTCAATGTGAACCAGGGGCAGAGTGCTTCCCCCTGGCGTTTGTGTGCGACGGCCATTCTGATTGTCCGGACGAGAGGGATGAACGAGGCTGCCTTCTGGACTTCCCAACGGTTTCGGTAACGCCACCAGCCACCCAGACAGGTAAGCTGTGCAGTAATCTGCTTTAGGGGGCAAACAGGTATCCTGGCAACCATCTCTGCCGTAACCCCCTCCTTTAGCTGACCCAGAGTACTTTTGCTTCCTCCCCTTTGCCTCTGCTTGCTTCACGTTAAAAGGGTTTTTTAAATATAAAGTTGTCCTTGACTCCCCCAACACCACCCCAAATTACTGTATTTTTTGCTCTATAAGACTCACTTTTTCCCTCCTAAAAAGTAAGGTGAAATGTGTGTGCGTCTTATGGAGCGAATGCAGGCTGTGCAGCTATCCCAGAAGCCAGAACAGCAAGAGGGATTGCTGCTTTCACTGCGCAGCGATCCCTCTTGCTATTCTGGCTTCTGAGATTCAGAATATTTTTTTTCTTGTTTCCTCCTCCAAAAACTAGGTGCATCTTGTGGTCTGGTGTGTCTTATAGAGCGAAAAATACGGTATTTGGAATGTAGGGGAAATATCGCTGTACAGTGGTACCTTGGTTCTCAAACTTAATCCATTCCGGGAGTCCGTTCGACTCCCGAAACCGTTCGAAAACCAAGGCGCGGCTTCTGATTGGCTGCAGGAGCTTCCTGCGCTCAATCAGAAGCTGCGTCGGATGTTTGGCTTCTGAAAAACGTTTGGAAACTGGAACACTCACTTCCCGGTTTGCGGCGTTCAGGAGCCAATTTGTTCAGGAGCCAAGCCGTTTGAGTACCAAGCTACCACTGTATATTAGTATTGGCACCATGAAAGTGTCCTAAATAAGAAGCACCATTGTGTCGTGATCTTATTAAATACAAAGTTTTGTGAGGGAAGTAGACTCTGCACATGGCCGTGCATTGAATTTGAGGCTCACAGTTCCTAATGATTATTATCGCTATGCATCATCAACTTCTTTTTAACCCCTTGGGCCTATATTCCCCACCTGCACAGAAATTTATTTATGCGTGTTATTTATTTCACAAAATCTGTATGTTGCTTGATTGTAACCATAAACCGCAAAGCGGTTTGCAGAGAAACCAGAGCAGCGCACGGAAACGCCGTTTACCTTCCCGCCGGAGCGGTACCTATTTATCTACTTGCACTTTGACGTGCTTTCGAACTGCTAGGGTGGCAGGAGCAGGGACCGAGCAACGGGAGCTCACCCCGTCGCGGGGATTCGAACCGCCGACCTTCTGATCGGTAAGTCCTAGGCTCTGTGGTTTAACCCACCGCGCCACCCGCGTCCCATTAAAACAGTTAAAATATGAAAACGGATTTCAATACAAAACCAGCTTTTTTCAAAGCTTGAAATGGAGTTTCCTGGAAGAAGCTGTGGCTGGCCGGGACCCTGAACCTGAATCGCTACACGCTGCAAAATGCTCTCGCAGACCCTGCTTAGCCTTGTTTTACAGTTGGGTGCTATAAAACTGCAGCTTCTGTAGGGTGCAGTTATTGCTGTTGCTGCTGTCGCTGCCAAGTTTTGATGAGACCTTTTATTGTCTGTGGTGCTCCTGTTGTGCCCGGGAGCCCTTTCCATTTATGCCTCGCCTCTGCCAAAAGGGAATGACCGCCGCACCTTCTTTCCTGGCACAATTCTCCCTGGAGTTTCAAGGAAAGGGGTGTGGGCAGCGCTGTCTTTAGCATACGTGCCGCCGGGGTGCAAAGATCCACCCAGTGCCCCCAAATTTAGCTTAGCCCCCAAATTAACTTTTATTATGTCCACTGGTCCCATCACCTCCTGGCAAATAGAAGGGGGAGAAATGGAGGCAGTGAGAGATTTTACTTTCTTGGGCTCCATGATCACTGCAGATGGTGAGAGCAGCCACGAAATTAAAAGACGCCTGCTTCTTGGGAGAAAAGCAGTGACAAACCTGGACAGCATCTTAAAAAGCAGAGACGTCACCTTGCCAACAAAGGTCCGTATAGTTAAAGCTATGGTTTTCCCAGTAGCGATGTATGGAAGTGAGAGCTGGACCATAAAGAAGGCTGATCGCCAAAGAATGGATGCTTTTGAATTCTGGTGCTGGAGGAGACTCTTGAGAGTCCCATGGACTGCAAGAAGATCAAACCTCTCCATTCTGAAGGAAATCAGCCCTGAGTGCTCACTGGAAGGACAGATCCCGAAGCTGAGGCTCCAGTACTTTGGTCACCTCATGAGAAGAGAAGACTCCCTGGAAAAGACCCTGATGCTGGGAAAGATGGAGGGCACAAGGAGAAGGGGATGACAGAGGACGAGATGGTGGGACAGTGTTCTCGAAGCTACCAGCATGAGTTTGACCAAACTCCGGGAGGCAGTGGAAGACAGGAGTGCCTGGTGTGCTCTGGTCCAGGGGGTCACGAAGAGTCGGACACGACTAAACAACTAAACAACAATGCTTATGTCAGACACCATGCTTACGCCTTATTGTTAACAAAAGAAGGGAATAAGAAGAAACAAACTTTTTTATTTGCCCATTTATTTACAATACATTTATACTTAAGTATACAACACCACCACAGTTAAACTTATAAGTATTGTTTAGGCACCTACTTAGGAGAAACATCAGTCGTGTCAAAGAGGCCACTGACCCCGCTGCCGCATAGAAGCATAGCATAGCAGTTACAATACGTAAGATAATACTTTGATGTAAGAGTTCATTTCGCGTGTACGGCGCCGTTGTGATTGACAAACGCCGTCGTTGAGTCTGCCAAGCGCCGCCATTGTGAATGACAAGGGCCACCACTGGCGCAGCGCGTCTTTGCTAAGTGGGCACACAAAGTCGAAAGTCCTTTCGTGAAACAGTAGGTATACATTTCGGTAATACCTAGGTGTATATGTATATGTGCCATTGAGAGCGTGCTCACTTACGGCTTATGTGTGTGGTACGGAAGCTGTACTACCCAGGACAGGATGGGGTTGTGCAGGGTTGTTAAGGCAGCAGAGAGCATTGTTGGCTGCCCACTCTCCACCTTAGAGCAGATTTATGCCACAAGGTGCCATAGGAAGGCACTGGACATAGTAAAAGATCCATCGCATCCTGGTCACTGTCTCTTCGAGCTCTTGCCGTCGGGACGGAGATACAGGACGATGAAGACAAGAACGAGCCGTCTTAAGAACAGCTTCTTCTCCAGAGCGATCTCGGCCCTGAATGGGAAGCCCGGACTTTGAAAGTCATCTAATCTCCCTTGCTGTATTATACTGTATTGATTAATTAGAGTTTTTATGGAGCAGTCAAGTAATTTCGTTGTCCCTGAAGGGGGCAATGACAATAAAGATATTATTATTATTATTATTATTATTATTATTATTATTATTTTATTTTGTTTTTCTAGCTTGATCAAAATTATTTATTATTTCATAACAGGTAGATAGTTAAGGAGACGCGGGTGGCGCTGTGGGTTAAACCACAGAGCCTAGGACTTGCCGATCAGAAGGTCGGTGGTTCGAATCCCCATGACGGGGTGAGCTCCCGTTGCTCGGTCCCTGCTCCTGCCAACCTAGCAGTTCGAAAGCACGTCAAGTGCAAGTAGATAAATAGGTACCACTGTATTATAAGCTTAGAAGTTGGAGGGTCCTCTTTGGGGTCTCGAAACCCACGTTTAAACCCCATCTTGCAACATGAGACTCAAATCTTATTTTTTAAAAATTAACCTGCATATGGTGTGTTTTTTTCCCTTCCCCTTCTTGCCTGCATTTCTAAGATGGTGTGCCTGTCCCTGGAAATGCGATGCCTGCGGATTTGGTGGTTCTCTCCATCGTCGGTGAGTCGTAATTGCAAAAGCATTCTTCCATCTGCCTGGTGTTTAATAGTGAGCCATTTCTTTTCTTTTTTTCTTTTTGTTTTTTTAAATAAAGTTTTTTATTGATACAACAAGAAAAAGGAAAAAAAACACAGATACCAAATTACACACAAGAATAACCATAGACACATAATTTTCTTAGCAAACAATAAAACATCCATTGGTCTTAACACTAAACACTTAACACTATTTCATATTTCAAATTCATATTACTTATTGCCAAGACACACTTTTATCATAATTAAACTTATTAATAAATCTAATTTCTTATATCTACCTTGCAACTATTACTGAATTTCCTCGAATGCTGCAACAGAATTTAAACTACTATATTTATTTTTCAGATATTCTTTTGAAAACTTCCCATTTTGAAACAAATTCCTGCTTTCATTTATTCTTTATTTTTTCTGATAAACCATCTAATTCGGCATATTCTGTCAGCTTTTGGATCCAATCTTGTATAGAGGGAATTTCATTACTCTTCCATTTTGCTGCGATCAAAAGCTGCCACCGTCGCGTATAACAAGATACCCTTCCAATAGTGAGCCATTTCTTATTGAACCCTAAGCCGGTCAGATTTGGCCCACCAGGCCATTTCCCCAAAACCACGTATGCCATTCTCGAACCTGCAGGTTGCTAGCTGCTGCCAAAAACAGGATTGAACCCTGCAGCCTCACCCTGCTTTCAACTTCCACCAATCCTGATCGATATTTGGCCTGCAGAGCCAAATACCGTATTTTCCCGTGTATAAGACGCCCCCATGTATAAGACTCCCTCCTATTTTGGGGGGACTCCAAATTAAGAAAACACCCCTCAGCACTCCCCGTGTATAAAACGAGCCCCAATTTTAAACCTAACTTTTTGGTTAAAAAAACCTAGTCCTATACACGGAAAAATACGGTGGGTTTCCCAGCCCTGCTCTGTGCCAAAGGTGGCTAACCTTTTTTTGCTTGGTGGGGCTGGTGTCATCTCCATCATTTTATTTTATTTATTTATTATTATTTTAATTATAATTTTTATTAGTATTTTCCATGCAACAACAACACGAAAAGTATCGAAAAATAACAATACACAAAACACAAAAACCGACATTAAAAAAACCAAAACAAATCCATATCTTACAAGTTAATACTATAAACACTAAAAAAAAACATTGACTTCCACAAATCCCACAGCACCTCCTTTACCTCTCATTGTGTCTTCCTGTTTTCCTGATCATCTCTATCCTAGCATCCAGATATAAATCCCTCTTTCTTATCCTTTCACTTCACAAGGTTATTCCAGACTCAGCCAGATTTCTGTCCTTGAACCTTGGCTTTTAAAGTATTCATTTAGACACTCCCATTCCTTTTTTCACTTCACTTTTTGGTTTTTGTCTTATTATGTCTGTCAATTTGGCTAATTCTAAATATGCTGTCATCTCCATCTTTGACTAATCCTCTTGGGGCCAAATCGCTGGCACCCTGCATACGCAGACACTCGTTTGCACACGTACCAGATGCACACCCACAGAGCGGAAACCGTTAGTCCTGTTTCAGGCAGGGAGAACAGCCATTTGAATATTTTATTCGCAATGATCTTTCCTGCACAGGAAACCATACCTTGGCCATGGTGATGCAGCTGCCTTTCTGGGGGCTGGGGGAGCTGTTAAAGGGAGTGGGGTACACCTGCTTGCTTTGCCCCATCCTTACTGATGCTGTGCATATCCACATGCAGAAAACTGGGGTGGGGTGGGGGACAGGTGGTCCACCGGGGAAAGCTGTTGCTGGCCACTGCTGCAGTTGCACCTGGCGTTGAAGCTCCCAGTACGTTTCCGAGCACAATTCAAAGTGTTGGTGCTGACCTTTAAAGCCCTAAACGGCCTCGGCCCAGTATACCTGAAGGAGCGTCTCCACCCCCATCGTTCAGCCCGGACACTGAGGTCCAGCGCCGAGGGTCTTCTGGCGGTTCCCTCGCTGCGAGAAGCCAAGTTACAGGGATCCAGGCAGAGGGCCTTCTCGGTAGTGGCACCCGCCCTGTGGAATGCCCTTCCACCAGATGTCAAAGAGAAAAACAACTACCAGATTTTTAGAAGACGTCTGAAGGCAGCCCTGTTTAGGGAAGCTTTTAATGTTCAATAGGTTATTGTATTTTAATATTCCGTTGGAAGCCGCCCAGAGTGGCTGGAGAAACCCGGCCAGATGGGCGGGGTATAAATTATAAATTATTATTATTATCCCCCTCTCTCCTCATTCCGTAGCGTTCCTGGCTGTCGTGGTGGCTGCTGTTTTTGCCTCCGCCTGGAGCCGTGCAAAAGCGAGACATCTGGCAAGCTTCAAGTGGGATCACGGTTCAGAGCAGCTGATCACAAAACAGCAGCCTTGAGAGACTCCTTCCTTCGAGGTACACCTGAGTTATGCATTTGACTCATTTTTCCCCTCTCTCTTCACCTGCAGGCCAGTGCCCTTATTAAACCTGCTTCTTTCTTGAACCCTCTTCCCAGCTCAGCCAGTAGAGCATGAGACTCTTAATCTCAGGGTCGTGGGTTCGAGCCCACGTTGGGCAACAGATTTTTGCATTCCTTGTGGCGCCTTCCAACTCTTCCATCCCGCTGGCTGTCTTGGCTTCCTCTTTAGCCACGCACAACCTCTCCAGCCGGGAGAAGCTGCGCACGGCTTTGTTTTTAGCCCGAGCTTCCCCCGACCCCAGCCCCCAGAATAGGCTGCTATCCGCAAGCCTTCAGAGCCCAGCGGGAACTCCCACCGCGCTCCGAAGGCTTGCGGATAGCTGCCTGAAGCCTGGAGAGTGAGAGGGGTTGGTGCGCACCGGGCTTCAGCGAAAGTCTGCATTCGCTCCATAGGACGCACACACATTTCCCCTTCATTTTGGGAGGGAAAAAAGTGCGTCCTATAGAGCGAAAAATACGGTAGATTTCCCCTCAATTAAGAAATGATTGGTGTTTCATGGATTCTGACTCTTACCAATAATTTCATTTATGATCTCCAGAGCTGGCCTGCCTTCGGAAGTGTGGCGTCTGATTCAACACATCCTCTGAGAAGAACGGTCAGCCTTTTAGTCCCTGCCGGGCTCACTTGCTGCTCACCTTTCAACAGGTGCCTTCAGTCGAGAACTTCAGGCGCACATCCGAGTTAGAAGGTCAATCGCTTTCTCAAGGGAGACCTCCCTGTCGCTGGTCCTTGTCATCTCAAAACGTATTTATTTCTGCCCTCTGGCTCCTTGATCTTCCATGGCAAAGAGCTGCTGAGTTTAGCCACTGCAGCTATGAACAGAGGCTCAAAAGGGTACTGGAAAATGTGGGGCGTGCGTTAATAAAAACAGCATTATTATCCAGTAGGCTTTGGTGGAAACTGCATCAAATGCATATTTGAATTGCCGTTTTAGGTTGTTTTTCCTCTACACTGGGCCATTTGCCGTTTGGCTAAAACCTTTCCTTACATTTTCCCCAGTACACTCGGCTTCTCTTTTCCCACCAACTGTGGCGAAAAACAGCGGAAGAAAATCGCCATGGCACATTCCTTTGCCATGCTAGTTTTGCACGCAGCAAGCATCCTTGTGTGGCAAAAACGGTTTTTTTAATCATCCCAGGCTCAAGCTGTAATTTTCGGTGCTTTGTTCAGGTCACCTTGCCTCGTGCGAACACAGTGTTTTCCCTCGCACAAATCTCCATGGCTGCATCCCTCTCTTGTGAGAATCAGGCCAAAGAGGGGGGAGCCCAGTTTGCTGTTGGGGATAAAAGTCCATAGGTTGTCCTAAAATGTCCCAAAAGGATCTTCTAAAATGTCCTGCTGGAACAACTCCGTTGCTTAAGCGTTTGACACAGAATCAACTCTGGAAACTTGTAAAGGATTAAAAAAAAACATTTTGGAGAAAAAATAACTTGCGAGTTTTGGCTTTTATTCTCTTATTTCTCTATCCCCACCCTGCCAATACATTTTTTGGTTTTTTTACACTTTAATACAAGAACTAAACTACATATAACTACAGTAACTTGCCCAGAGATTTATTATTAACTTTCATATGTAGGTACATAGTACACAAGGAAAACAGTGGCTGGGGAAACTCAGCCAGATGGATGGGGTATAAATAATAAATTATTATTATTATTTATTATTATTATTTCTGGTAGTCTCTCCACAGAGATTCTTTTTTTTTCTTCCATTCATTCGGTTTATTTGTATGCTGCTTTTTCACAAATCATGCCCAAAATGGCTTAGAACAAAGAAACTACAATATTTTTTGCGTAAAACATAGCAAAACATTAACAATTTCATAACAACTTAGCAAAACAAAGATATACTACCATGTTGCTCAGCGTTTCCAATTCTACAATATCCATTTTGAGGATGTTTTGAGGATGGTTGTACTTCTAGCCAGGCTACGTGCTGGAACTGTCAGGGTAACTGGGTGTGAGGTGACCGGAAAACAGAGTTTTTAGCAGGGTGTTCTGGGCAGAAGAAGGAAGAAGAGAGACTGGGATCCATCCACAGAGATTCTTGTGTTGAAGGTTATCTTCCGTCTCATTTATATATATATTTTTAAATGATATTTATTAAGGTTTCCAATAAAAAGAACACATCTATAAAAAAAAAAAAAAAGAGATACACAATTCAAAAGTACACAATACATAATCCAGAAAAAAACAAAAAACAAAAAACAAAGAAGAAAACAGTTAAAAACAATACCACCTTTTCATCTCCATTTTTAAATTTACTTATTTTCTGGACCTCCTCATACCTCCCTCTTTTGTATTCCAGTTCAAATTCTTTGTCCAGCAATTTCTTTCCCTCTTTTTTAATCCCAATCTTTAATCTTAATATAATATAACATTAAATTTTACCTCTTAAAAACCAAATTTCCATTTCGTCTCATTTATAAAGGAAATGAGTTATCTTCCGTCTCATTTATAAAGGAAATGAAAGGAAACCAAGTCTCAAAAAAGTGTCCCTCCCTGATGTTCCTTTAATCACCCTTCTGCGGCAAGTAAGGCATTCTGGGAGAGTGCCACATTCCAAATATTATTTAACCAGATTTCAGTGAGGATTTCCAGTATCGGGCTATTGTTAATTGGGCTGATGGTTACAAAAACTAAACTAAATCTCTGCAATTTACAGTTGTTGTTTAAATGTGGCTCTGATGATAATAAGGTGAGGACCGAATTGCGTGGGGGGGAGGGATTGCTGCGTTAATTTTGGAAATAATGCGAAACACCTTTCCCTTCAGCGTGCAATTCTTCTCTTATTTCTACGATGAGGGGAGGAGTATTGCTTGGAAAGAGGGAGCAGACTGAGACAGATGAGGGATGAATTGTTGCTACAGTGCAAGAGGAACCCCTCGACCGGCCTCTAAGCTTCGTCTCATACATGATGATATAATTTACCTATCAAAATATTCATTTAGACATTAATCAATGACTTCCCTGTGAGTGCCTGGAGGCGGTTGGAGGATGGATGGCGGCTAACAGATTGAGGTTGAACCCTGACAAGACAGAAGTACTGTTTTGGGGGGACAGGAGGCGGGCAGGTGTGGAGGACTCCATGGTCCTGAATGGGGTATCTGTGCCCCTGAAGGACCAGGTGCACAGCCTGGGAGTCATTTTGGACTCACAGCTGTCCATGGAGGCGCATGTATCCATGGCAGCTGTCTACCAGCTCCATCTGGTATGCAGGATGAGACCCTCCCTGCCCGCAAACTGTCTCTCCAGAGTGATGCATGCTCTGGTTATCTCCCGCTTGGACTACTGCAATGCGCTCTACGCGGGGCTACCTTTGAAGGTGACCCGGAAACTGGGAGTGGCTGCCGGGACCACATAACACCAGACCTGAGAGATCTGCATTGGCTCCCAGTACATTTCGGAGCACAATTCAAAGTGTTGGTGCTGACCTTTAAAGCCCTAAACGGACTCTGACCTGTAGACCTGAAGGAGCGTCTCCACCCCCATTGTTCAGCCCAGACACTGAGATCCAGCGCTGAGGGCCTTCTGGCGGTTCCCTCATTGCGAGAAGTGAGGTTACAGGGAACCAGAAAGAGGGCCTTCTCGGTAGTGGTGCCCACCCTGTGGAACGCCCTCCCTTCAGATGTGAAGGAAATAAGTAGCTATCCTATCTTTAAAAGACATCTGAAGGCAGCCCTGTTCAGGGAAGTTTTTAATATTTAATGCTGTACTGTTTTTAACATTTGATTGGGAGCCGCCCAGAGTGGCTGGGGAAACTCAGCCAGATGGGCGGGGCATAAATAATAAATTATTATTATTATTATTATTATTATTATTATTATTATTATTAATTTATTATTATTCCCTTCTCTTTCTGTGCTTCATTTTGCATACCATAAATCCCTCCGTATTTTACATCGGGGTCTGCAAAGTTTTTGTGGCTTGGGCCAGTCCACGGTCCCACAGACGCCACGGTGGGCCGGAGCGCACACGCACACATGCGCAGACGCCATTTCCGGTGCTCCTTCCGGCATGGAGGAAGCGCGCACAGCTTCCCATTGGCTGCAGGAGCTTCCTGCATTGCAGGGGGTTGGACTGGATGACCCTTGGGTTCCCTTCCAACTCTATGGTACTGGAAGTCGCACATAACTATCGTGACTGGTTGGGCAGAACCCTGAAACCTGACAGCTGTCATACTGCTGCCCCTTCCTGGATTGATTGATTGATTGATTGATTGATGGAAGGCAGGCAGCAGAAGCCTCTGTGCTGTTGAAATACAACTCGCATGAGCTCCAGCTAGCATGGCGAATGGCCAGGGAGAAGTTGCATCTAGAGCAGCGGTTCTCAACCTGTGGGTCCCCAGATGTTGTTGGACTACAACTCCCATCATCCCTGAGCTCTGGCCTTGCTAGCTAGGGGTGAGGGGAGTTGTAGTTCAACAACATCTGGGGACCCACAGGTTGAGAAAGGCTGATCTAGAGCATGGGTAGGCAAACTAAGTCCCGGGGGCCGGATCCAGCCCAATCTCCTTCTAAATCCGGCCTGCGGACGGTCCGGGAATCAGCGTGTTTTTACGTGAGCAGAATGTGTGCTTTTATTTATTTATTTATTTATTTTTAAATAATTTTTATTAAAGTTTCAATAAAAAGTTGAACAGAAAAAACATAAAAAAGAAATACACAAATACGCAATACAAATTCCAAAAAAAGAAAACAAAAACGAAAAGCAAAAAACAACAAAAAAAAGAAACAGAAAAATTAAAAACAATATCACTTTTTCATTTCCCTTTTTTAAATTTACTTATTTTCTGGACTTCCTCATACCTCCCTCTTTTGTATTCCAGTCCAAATTGTTCCTCCAGCAATTTCTTTTCCACTTTTTTAACCCCAATCTTTATTCTTAGTGTAATATAGCATTAAAAATTTACCTCTTAAGTACCAAATTTCCCTTTCCTTTAACTTATTTACTCCTAATCTTTAATCTTGATGTAATATAGCATTAAAATTTTACCTCTTAAGTACCAAATTTCCGTTTCCTTAAACTTCTTTAATCCTGATCTTTAATCTTAGTCTGTCTTATAATTTTATCCTGTACAGCTGGAAACCACTTATTTTCAATCCAACATCACTCTAACATTCCTTAATTTTGCAATATTTCTGTAAATAGTCTTTGAATTTCTTCCAATCTTCTTCCATCGCCTCTTCTCCCTGGTCTTTTATTTAAAATGCATCTTTGGGTTATTTGTGGGGCATAGGAATCCGCTCATATATTTTTTTCAAAATATAGTCCTGCCCTGCACAAGGTCTGAAGGACAGTGGACCGGCCCCGTGCAGAAAAAGTTTGCAGAGAGCAAGAAGTTCTCCACACCTGGCTTTAAAGTCCAACAGGTTGGGGGCAGGTTTTATGTACTGGAATTTTTTAAGGATCAAAAGCACTTAAAGGATTGAGTGCCCATCGTGGGAGATGGGAGCGTCCGATAAATCAAAGGAAGACCCGGCTTCCAAAAATAGCTTCTTAACTTGAAAGGTTAACCCCATAAGCTTATTAACGTTTTAAGAAGCTTGGCCATAGCGGCTTCCAGATAGACTCAGTGTCTCCATCGCAGAAGCAGCCGGGGGGGGGGGAACGCTCAGGGGGTTAAGCCAGACTGTGCACACAAAGTAGCTGATAGGAGGTGTTTGACGTGTCCCCCCAACAAGCGCTCGTTGAATGGGAGCAGGACCAGGGAGCCCCGGAACTGCTGGGGGACCTCAGTCTGTAAGCACCACTCAACAGCGATGAGGAAGCCCATAAACAGGCGATCCAGCCTTTCGGCCAACTTGAAAATCGGCGACTACAAGAAATGCTGCCTGACTCCCGAGGAGGAGGAAGTCTACATCCCCTTCGCTCAGGAGAGGCTGGTCAAGCAATGGGGGTCGATGCACAACGTAGCAGACAGGGCCCAGGAACGCCAGAGCATCCCTCCCCGCAGGAACCGCTACTTCCTGAACCTCAACGTCGGCGGGAAATGCTTCCAGATCGCATGCAAAGTGGCCGCCAGGTACCCCGTCACCAGGATCGGCCAGCTGGCCGTTGCCACCGACCCCATGAAGAAGCTGCAGCTATGTGACGACTACTCGGTCCCGAGGAACGAATACTTCTTCGACCGCGACCCCCTCATCTTCCACTACGTCTTCCACTTCTACCGCAGCGGCGTCATGTGGATCATGCAGGAACTCTGCCCGGCCAACTTTGTGGAGGAGATCGAGTACTGGGGAGTCCACATGAAGTACGCCCAAAGGTGCTGCCGTATCCTCTTTGAGGAGAAGCAGGACGAGATGGCTGAATACCTGAAGGTCCAACGGGAGCTGGAAGCAGAGCTGGAGCCGCTGGAGAGCGAGGTGAACTTTGAGGGCATGTTCCTGGGCACGTTCCGGAAGGCCATTTGGAACCTGGTGGAGAACCCGTTCTCCTCCATCCCGGCCAAGATCATCGCCATCATGTCCAGCGTCTGCGTGCTGGTCTCCATCGTGGGCATGACGCTCAGCACGGTGGAAGAGATGCAGCACAAGACCAGCAAGAAGTGCATGGAGCGCGTAGAGACCGTCTGCGCCATCTTCTTCACCCTGGAGTACCTGATGAGGCTCATCTCCGCCTCCTCGTGCCAGCAGTTCCTGCGGGCGGCCTTCAGCGCCATCGACCTGGTCTCCATCCTCCCTTTCTACATCCAGCTCCTCTTCGAGAACCTGGGCGAGGGAGACACGGAATACCACGAGGAGTTGCACAAGATGCGCAGCGTCGGGAAGCTGGGGAAGGTCCTCAAGCTCATCAAGCTCATGCGCATCTTCCGCATCCTCAAGCTGGCGCGCCACTCCACGGGCCTGCGGGCTTTCGGCTTCACCATCCGCCAGTGCTACCAGCAGGTCTGCTGCCTCCTCCTCTTCATCGCCATGGGGGTCTTCACCTTCTCGGCGCTGATGCACTCCGTGGAGCACGACGTCCCCGGCACCAACTTCACCAGCATCCCCAGTGCCTGGTGGTGGGCAGCGGTGAGTAGAGTGCCTCTGGTTACCTGCTCCACAGGTGGGGGAACCTCCATTCTTGTGGGGGGTTCCGGTTTGGCCGTTTCCCCCAAACTACGCCCCGCTGCCAATCACTAGGTGGCGTCAGCCGATGGTCACGGGGTCTAACCCTGCTGGGTGCTGCTTCAAAGGTAGCCCCACGTAGAGCGCATTGCAGTAGTCCAAGTGGGAGATAACTAGAGCATGCACCACTCTGGCAAGACAGTCCGCAGGCAGGTAGGGTCTTAGCCTGCGTACCAGCTGGAGCTGGTAGACAGCAGCCCTGGACAGAGAATTAACCTGCACCTCTATGGACAGCTGTGAGTCCAAAATGACTCCCAGGCTGCGCACCTGGTCCTTCAGGGGCACAGTTACCCCATTCAGGACCAGGGAGTCCCCCACATCTGCCTGCCCCCTGTCCCCCTGTCCCCCCAAAACAGTACTTCTGTCTTGTCAGGATTCAACCTCAGTCTGTTAGCCGCCATCCATCCTCCAACCGCCTCCAGGCACTCACACAGGACCTTCACTGCCTTCACTGCTTCTGATTTAAAGGAGAGGCTAAAGGTCCCCGCCTCCCGCCCCCCCAGCCATCAGTCTCCTCCTCTCCAGGGTTCCCCCCCCCCAAGCAATCGGAGACTGTGCCTGCGTGCCTGTCTTTGCTCCTCTCACTTCATGCCTCTGCTGGTTCTGGGACACAAAGGAGGAGGGGAGCTTGTCGCAGCAGGAGGGAGAGAGACCTGTGTCTCTTCACCAGGTTGACTCATCTCTGCTTCTTGGCCTCCCTCCTCCTCTGCTTCAGCTTCTGCCTCTGATTTTGGACTTATCTCTGTCACAGACTCTTCCAGCTCACTGAACCCTGTTGCCTCTTCAGCTTCCAAACCTCCTCACAGTCTTCTCTGACCACTCACTGCTGTCCCACCCCCAATCCCCAGGCTCTGAAACTTCTTCCCTTGCTGGATCCTCCCAGCATTCCTCTGCATCCTACCAATCCCTGACACCCTAAGCCTGTGGGTCACCTTTGACATGGGTCAATCAGGTGATGGATGAGTAGCCCTTGCCCACCCGTCTCAACCTCCCCCTGCTCCTGATTTAATCGTGTGGAATCAGACCATAAGCCCACCCAGCCTTGCCCCAGGTACAGGCAACACACGCTATGCCCCTGCCAACTGCAGACCACAGCAATCTGCTTGGTGCTTAAGGGATGCTGAGCAAAACGGGTCTAGGGATGCAGGTGGCGCAGTGGTCTAAACCACTGAGCCTGTTGGGCTTGCCAATCGGAAGATCGGCAGTTCGAGTCCGCAAACAGGGTGAGCTCCCATTGCCCTGCTCCTGCCAACCTAGCAGTTCGAAAGCACACCAGTGCAAGTAGATAAATAGGTACCGCTGTGGCAGGAAGGTAAACGGCATTTCTGTGGGCTTTGGTTTCCGTCACGGTGTCCCGTTACGCCAGAAGCGGCTTAGTCCTGCTGGCCACATGACCAGGAAAGCTGTCTGTGGACAAACGCCGGCTCCCTCGGCCTGAAAATGATATGAGCGCTGCAACCCCAGGGGTCCTTTACCTTTACCTAGTGGTCTGGCTCTGGTCTGTGTGAGCAGAAAAAGGCTTAGCTCACTGGGTGCTTAGGGCACGAGATGGCAGGGAACAAACCAAGCTAATTTGGGTGCATTGTCTCATAGATTTGCAGGCTTGGAACGGATCCCCAAGGGTAAAGGTAAAGGGACCCCTGACCATTAGGTCCAGTCGTGACCGACTGGGGTTGCTGCGCTCATCTCACTTTACTGGTCGAGGGAGCCGGTGTACAGCTTCCGGATCATGTGGCCAGCATAACTAAGCCGCTTCTGGCGAACCAGAGCAGCGTACGGAAACGCCATTTACCTTCCTGCCAGAGTGGTACCTATTGATCTACTTGTACCAGTGTGCTTTCGAACTGCTAGGTTGGCAGGAACTGGGACTGAACAACGGGAGCTCCCCCTGTCGCAGGGATTCGAACCACCGACCTTCTGATCGGCAAGTCCTAGGCTCTGTGGTTTAACCCACAGCGCCACCCGCGTCCCCAAGGGTACCAGGAATCCGGGGACTTTCTGGCATGCTCTCGATGAGCCGCAAGGCAGGCGTGCATCTTCGCTGCTTGCCAATGAGGCCCAATTCTGTTTCGGTTCTGTGTCATTCTCTTCCTCCTCTCTAGGTCAGCCTCTCCACGGTGGGCTACGGGGACACCGTTCCGGACACATTTCTGGGGCGTATGGTGGCCTTTGGCTGCATCTCCTTTGGCATCATCTTGAACGGCATGCCCATCTCCATCCTCTACAACAAGTTCTCCGACTACTACGCCAAGCTGAAGTCCCACGAGAACGAGACCACCCTGTCGCTCAAGCTCTCGCGGAAGCTCAACCTCAAGACCAGAGCCTGGAGGAAGTTCAACGAGTGCTGCTGCGCTGAGTACATCATCCCTGGCCAGCAAGCCTCACATCAGGCCCATGCCCGCCACGGGTACCATCCTGTCCATCAGGGGCACCCCGTCACCCGCCAACCTGGGCACCCTCACCCCCAAATGCCCCATTCTCCCATCCACTGCTCAGACCACCTCGCTCCCCAACCGCATGCTCACCATGCCCACCCAGAGGCTCTCAACACCCACCTTGCGCCACTGTCGGGGCGGCCCACCCCTCAGCCGTCGCCGCGGCCGCCCTCCAACGCCAGGCGAGGGAGCCAGTAGAAGAAGCAGGCGGAGAGAGGGTTTTGTGGTCTTTTTAGGAGGTTATGCTTCGTTTGCAAATGGCCACGTTTATTTATTATTATTAGAGCCAGTGTGGTGTAGTGGTTAAGAGGATGGACTCGTAATCTGGTGAACCGGGTTCGATTCCCCGCTCCTCCACATGCAGCTGCTGGGTGACCTTGGGCTAGTCACACTTCTCTGAAGTCTCTCAGCCCCACTCACCTCACAGAGTGTTTGTTGTGGGGGAGGAAGGGAAAGCAGAATGTTAGCCGCTTTGAGACTCCTTCGGGTAGTAATAAAGCGGGATATCAAATCCAAACGCTTCTTATTCTTCTTACATATTGAGTTTATATACTGCCCTATACCTGGAGATCTCAGAGCGGTTTACAGAACAGGTCACAAAATGCCATCAGAATAAAAACAACAACCCAATAACACAAATAATTCAAAATTATTGGGAAACGATTTATACCGAACTTTTAAAGGTAAAGGTAAAGGGACAGGGACCCCTGACCATTAGTTCCAGTCGTGACCGACTCTGGGGTTGCGGCGCTCATCTCGCTTTACTGGCCGAGGGAGCCGGCGTTTGTCCGCAGACAGCTTCCAGGTCATTTGGCCAGCAGGACTAAGCCGCTTCTGGCAAAACCAGAGCGGCACCTATTTATCTGCTTGCACTTTGACGTGCTTTTGAACTGCTAGGTGAGCAGGAGCAGGGACCGAGCAACGGAAGCTCACCCCGTCATGGGGATTTAAACCACCGACCTTCCGATCAGCAAACCCAAGGCTCAGTGGTTTAGACCACCGAGCCACGCACGTCCCTTTTTTAAGAAGTATATTAATAGTGAAATACAATTAAGAAGAATATTAATAGTGAAATAATTATTAAGCTCTAACTTAAAATGCAGGGACGCGGGTGGCGCTGTGGGTTAAACCACAGAGCCTAGGGCTTCCGGATCATAAGGTCGGCGGTTCGAATCCCCGCAATGACAGGGTGAGCTCCCGTTGCTCGGTCCCTGCTCCTGCCACATCAAAGTGCAAGTAGATAAATAGGTGCCGCTCCGGCGGGAAGGTAAACGGCGTTTCCGTGCGCTGCTCTGGTTCACCAGAAGCGGCTTAGTCCTGCTGGCCACATGACCCGGAAGCTGTACGCCGGCTCCCTCGGCCAATAAAGCGAGATGAGCGCCGCAACCCCAGAGTCGGCCACGACTAGACCTAATGGTCAAGGGTCCCTTTACCTTTACCTTACAATTCCCATCATCCCTGACCACTAGTCCTGCTAGCTAGGGATGATGGGAGCTGTAGTCCAAAAACAGCTGGAGACCGAAGTTTGGGAAACCCTCCTCTAAACAACCCCATGTTATCTGCCTCTCCTGCCAAACTTCTGTTGCTCTGAAACTTTTGATGTGCTTTCGGACTGCTAGGTTGGCAGGAGCAGGGACCGAGCAACAGGAGCTCACCCCGTCGCAGGGATTCGAACCGCCAACCTTCTGATCAGCAAGTCCTAGGCTCTGTGGTTTAACCCACAGCGCCACCCGCGTCCCATGATGGGAATTGTAGTACACACACAAAAGGCTGGGGACTCAAGTTTGGGAAACCCTGGAGTTAAAATGTAAATGGTGGCATTTCACCCCTTTGGCAATGTGCTCTTGCAGGGGTCGTCCAGCCCCGAGACCCACCTCTGACCCCATTTCACCTAGTCACTTAATAGGCACATTGCTAGTCTTGGAAATGGCACTTTTCCAGATACGCACAGTGCGACCTTAGAATCGCCGCTAAATGCAAACCATCAAGAAATTCTGATGCCCTTCTGCATCCCAGAGAGCCACTGAAACAGACTAGAAAACCTGTGGAAAGTGACTGGTCTCGATAATATCAACATTTTGGAACTTTCGCAGCGGCAAGCTAAAGTCTGCATCGGCTGAAAGAGGGAGCAAGCTGGAGCGAGCATGCTAATCTAGGATTAAATGATTAAATGTCTCGACAGGTCAGGGTTTCTGAGCCGTAGAGCCTGACTACAATGTGGCTGCCAGGATCTTTTAATTCCCAGGTGAAGGAGAAGAATCGGGGGAGTCACATTCTCTGGGTTCAATTCCAGGATCTTTTATGTCTCTCTTAAAATTGTTCCTTTTTCCTCCTTTCCCTCCTCCCCTTTTAAAACTTTTTTCTGTTGCTGCTCCTGCTGTAAAGATTTCTTCTAAATTAAGCTTGTATTGTTGTGTAAGGTAAAGGTAAAGGGACCCCTGACCATTAGGTCCAGTCGTGGCCAACTCTGGGGTTGTGGCGCTCACCTCGCTTTATTGGCCGAGGGAGCCGGCGTACAGCTTCCAGGTCAGGTGGCCAGCATGACTAAGCCACTTCTGGCGAACCAGAGCAACGCATGGAAATGCTGTTTACCTTCCTGCTGGAGCGGTACCTATTTATCTACTTGCACGTTGATGTGCTTTCGAACTGCTAGGTTGGCAGGAGCAGGGACTGAGCAACGGCAGCTCACCCTGTCATCGCGGGGATTCGAACCGCCGACCTTCTGATCGGCAAGTCCTAGGCTCTGTGGTTTAACCCACATCGCCACCCGCGTCCCTCTTCTAATATCTAAAGAGCATCTAATATCTAAAGGGCTTTCACGTGAAAGAAGGGGCAAGCTTGTTCTCTGGTGCTGCAGAAGGCCAGACCCAAACCAATGGGTTCAAATTGCGAGAAAGGAGATTCTAGAGAACTTTCTGACCCTTCTCAGAAGGTGGCGGTCAGGGTTTCTTGAGCTGTGATCCTGCATTGCAGCGGGCTGGACTAGATGACCTGGGGTGACCCCACCCAACTTTATAATTCTATGTTTCTAGAATTTTTTTGGTTTGTTGCACTGTTTGAATTTATTTAGGTGAGCAAATAGGGCTCACCAAAAGTGCCGGGCAGACCATAAATCAGTCACGGGACACCAGCTGTTGAAATGCCAATACACTACCCCTCAGTTTAGGGACGCGGGTGGCGCTGTGGGTTAAACCACAGAGCCTAGGACTTGCTGATCAGAAGGTCAGCGGTTCGAATCCCTGTGACAGGGTGAGCTCCCATTGCTCGGTCCCTGCTCCTGCCAACCTAGCAGTTCAAAAGCACGTCAAAGTGCAAGTAGATAAATAGGTACCACTCTGGCGGGAAGGTAAACGGTGTTTCCGTGCGCTGCTCTGGTTCGCCAGAAGCGGCTTAGTCCTGCTGGCCACATGACCCGGAAGCTGTACGCCGGCTCCCTCGGCCAATAAAGCGAGATGAGCGCTGCAACCCCAGAGTTGGTCACGACTGGACCTAATGGTCAGGGGTCCCTTTACCTTACCCCTCAGTTTGGATTTAGATCTTAATTTACCTTTGCAGTTTCACAAATCCTCGTGAATCACCTTCTCGCCTGTCTCAACCCCCACTTAAGACAAGAATACGATTTAGAGAAGAAGAAAAAGTCTAGTTTGGTCTTTAATAGGAAAACAGTACCACATGAAACACAGCACACGCCAAAATAATAATGAAAGCCATAACAAAATATTTTACAAATATTTACAAGTGTACAGGGAGCATCCAGTATTTGTATCCAACTAAATCCTACTCAGAGTAGGCCCTCAGAAAACGATGGGCTCTCCTCCATCGGTTGTCAACAAGCAGAGGTTGGGTGGGCATCTGTCAAGGATTCTTTAGCAGAGATTCCTGCGTGTCGGGGTCAGACTAGATGACCACGGGAACCCCTTCCAGCTCTATGATTCTAGACCCAAACCCATCTGGGTGTGCCTTGCTAAATTCCATTGGCTTCAGCTGGTCTACTCTTTGAGTCTGACGTAGCTGAAAACAACATCATCTGTACATACACACACACAAACATATATATTTATATATTAACACTTTGTGGATATTTACAGTATAGTACATTCTGTATCGAGAAGATCCTTTGGCCAGAGACCATGTTTTGCAACTAACTTCTTTTTGCTTTACACCCACCCACTCCTTCCTCGCTTTCCCTCACCTCTCCCCAAAAAGGAAATTCCATTCAATGGCAGGTTTATGAATACACAACACTCAATTCCAGAACGCTGACTTTCCCTACAAGCCCGGGAGAATGGAGGTTGCATGCAGGGGTTGGCGACGGGGCCAAATCAGACCTGGAGAACAGGCGCCGGCTGGCATTTCTAATGCGGGGGCCACCAATGGTGAGACACGGCCCATGCTCAGCAACATGAGGGATGTGATACATAAGTAGCAGTCAAGTACGACATTCCTTGTTTTCCTAGAGTGCCCATGCAGGGAAATGTTTGGTCCAGCCAGTCGAGAACTTCCTGTTTCCTCCTGGCTGGGACATACTTCTTTTGCATGTGACTAGAAGTGGGCGTGGCCTTACCTGCCCAGGTAACAAAAGGGCAAGGCACACCCCCTCTTTGATTCCTCCTTTTCCATCTTCCTTTCCTCGTGAGAACTGCCAGGATTAAACCCCCATATGGGGTAGATCCACACGTACCTATTTGTAACTAAGTCTACCTTCAGGGATCCAACTGTGAACTGATGATGTGAGTAAATTTCTTTCGTATACTTTACACAAGATTGTGGCGCGTTTATTCTTTTAAGAGGGATATAAGGGAACTTACCAGGAACCTAATACAGTGGGTGCTCGGGTTGTGACCATGATCTGTGCAGGATGCACGTTCGCAACCCGCAGCGTTCGCAACCCATGTCTGCACATCTGTGCATGCGCGGGTTGCGATTTGGCGCTTCTGCGTATGCACAAAGCACGATTTAGCACTTCTGCACATGCACGGCCGCCAAAACCTGGAAGTAACGCGTTCTGGTACTTCCAGGCTTTGGCGGTCCGTAACCTGAAAAAACGCAACCTGAAGCATCTGTAACCCGAGGTATGACTGTATTGAGAGGCTTAAACAAGCCTGCAACCAGCTATCCACTGTGCATTTAAAAGGGGAATGTAAAACTCTGCTAGAGTGCAAAATATGGTCTGAAGCTCAGCATCGAAAAAAACTAAGATCATGGCCACTGGTCCCATCACCTCCTGGCAAATAGATGGGGAAGAAATGGAGGCAGTGAGAGATTTTACTTTCTTGGGCTCCATGATCACTGCAGATGGTGACAGCAGCCACGAAATTAAAAGACGCCTGCTTCTTGGGAGAAAAGCAATGACAAACCTAGACAGCATCTTAAAAAGCAGAGACATCACCTTGCCAACAAAGGTCCGTATAGTAAAACCTATGGTTTTCCCAGTAGCGATGTATGGAAGTGAGAGCTGGACCATAAAGAAGGCTGATCGCCGAAGAATGGATGCTTTTGAATTCTGGTGCTGGAGGAGACTCTTGAGAGTCCCATGGACTGCAAGAAGATCAAACCTATCCATTCTGAAATAAATCAGCCCTGAGTGCTCAGTGGAAGGACAGATCCTGAAGCTGAGGCTCCAAGACTTTGGCCACCTCAGGAGAAGAGAAGACTCCTTGAAAAAGACCCTAATGTTGGGAAAGATGGAGGGCACAAGGAGAAGGGGACAGCAGAGGATGAGATGGTGGGACAGTGTTCTCGAAGCTACCAGCATGAGTTTGACCCAGCTGCGGGAGGCAGTGGAAGACAGGAGTGCCTGGCGTGCTCTGGTCCAGGGGGTCACGAAGAGGCGGACACGACTAAACAACAACAACAACCAAAAAACTCTGCTAGCCCAAGTTAACAAGGATATTAATAAACAACATATCCTCTCCTGCCTCCCTGAACTTTCCCACACGACGGAGGCGTGTGGCTCAGTGGCAGCCGCAGCTCCCCGCCACCATGTCGTCGTACTGCTTAAGCACCACGTTTTCATCGTCGTCAAAGTATAGCAGGTTGATGGAGAACAACTTGTCCGGCACGCAGCAGGGGCCGCTGACTTCCTGGCTCAGCTTCAGGGCGTTGATGATGGAGAGGACAGTGGCGTGGTTTGTGGGCCTCATGTTCTCCCCCAGTGGGAAGGGGCAGGAACCTTTGCAATGGTAGGCGTTGTACCCCCGGGGGGAGATGATCCAGCCAGACCACCCGATTTCCTCAAAGTCCACGGAGAGCGGGAGCCTCTGGCAAGGGAGCTGGTTGTCCACTGAGCGAGGGGTCCGCGTGCCGTTGGATTTGGGGGCCGCCAGGTGCCCAGGAAGGGCAACATTCTGATGTGACAGTTCTAAGCAGGAGAGAACGAGATCGTAGTTGTAATAAAAATAATAATAATTTCTTATTCATACCCCGCCCATCTGGCTGGGTTTCCCCAGCCGCTCTGGGCGGCTCCCGATAGAATATTAAAAGCACAATAGAACATCAAACATTAAAAACTTCCCCAAACAGGACTGCCTTCAGATGTCTTCTAAAAGTCAGAGAGTTGTTTATTTCCTTGACATCTGACAGGAGGGAGTTCCACAGGGCAGGCGCCACCACTGAAAAGTCCCTCTGCCTGGTTCCCTGCAACCTCACTTCTCGCAGGGAGGGAACCGCCAGAAGACCCTCAGAGCTGGACCTCAGTGTCCGGGCAGAATGATGGGGGTGGACATGCTCCTTCAGGTATACTGGACCAAGGCTGTTTAGGGCTTTAAAGGTCAGCACCAACACTTTGAACTATGCTCGGAAACGTACTGGGAGCCAATGTAGGTCTTTCAGGACCAGTTATATGGTCTCAGCGGCCGCTCCCAGTCCCCAGTCTAGCTGCCGCATTCTGGATTAATTGCAGTTTCCGGGTCACCTTCAAAGGTAGCCCCACGTAGAGCGCATTGCAGTAGTCCAAGCAGGAGATAACTAGAGCATGCACCACTCTGGCAAGACAGTCCATGGGCAGGGAGGGTCTTAGCCTGCGTACCAGATGGAGCTGGTAGACACAGAATTGACCTGTGCCTCCATGGACAGCTGTGAGTAGCATGAAAGGCCAGTTGAGTAGATTAATGTTTGCTTATCTTTCCGAAAACGTTTAGATGCCGCCCTCTCGCAGTCATTTAAAAAGTGCCACGTTGCAAAATAAAGTTTAAAGTGTTGTTGGCATCCACCTGTCTCGAGAGAGAATGGAATTGCACCTCTGAAGGTGAAATGGTGAAATGACCTCCCTGGGGCACAAGGACCCCCCCCCCCCCGATGTGGACCAAAGGAAAGCAGAGCAAGACTTTTGGCACCAGTTTGGCCGCAGAAATTGCCGGAAGGAGCTTCACAACCATCTTAGGGACTCTGCTCTGGATTTGTGAAGGCCCAGGGTTTACTTCTGAGCCTTGTCTTCTCACAGCAGAGATTTAGGACCAGACTTTTCCTTCTAGATCAGCAGTTCTCAACTTGTGGGTCCCCCAATGTTGGACTACAACTCCCATCACCCCTGAGCTCTGGCCTTGCTAGCTAGGGATGATGGGAGTTGTAGTCCAACCACATCTGGGGACCCACAGGTTGAGAAAGGCTGTTCTGGATGATCTACCTTCCCAGGTGGATGACCCCCACTTTCCCTTCCCTTCTCTCTACAGCACATGCAGAAAACGGCCTTCTTGACCATCAGAGTCACTCTTGGGTGGTCTGCTGAAAAATTACAGTCACGGGAATAAGGTGTGTCCTGAAAATGGATATTTCAAATGTCAAGGGGTGTGGAGGACATGAGCGTACGATGGAAACTAGGTGATGAAAATGCATTATTCCTTGGACTATATGGAACTTGCCGAACTGACTCCGAGACCAGAGAGAAGAGACGGTGGAAGAAGATTGGAAGAAATTTAAGGAATATTTGGGGGGGGGGGAAATGTTAATATTTAAATCTTAGAATAGCTTTGGAAGTGGATATAGGCTGTAGGGTTAGAAGTAGGAGATAGTGTATTTTTAAACAGTATTATCTGTAAGTAATAAAATGTGAATATTTTTTATGGTTAAAGCAAGTGCGATAAAAAAAATATGGGTGGAAATTATGATATATGTAACTGCTAAAGATGAGGTAAAATGAAAATCAGATGGGGGGATTGGGGGAAGCCCACCTAACAATGTTTGCGGGGCGGAAAGGACAAGACAAGAATTTGTTTGTATTGTTGGTTTTTCTGTTTGTGTTGTTTATTTGTGTTATAAAATGAATTTAAAAAATCGGTGGGGTGTGTGCATTATTCCAAGTTCACTACAGATGCTACAGTCTTTTATGTCCCCTTTTATTACAGCAATGTCCTTGATCCTGCCACACCGATAGACAAAAACACGTATTTCTTTACTCACCTAAGAAGGGGTTGCTGGGCAACAGGGCCCCTCGACGCCCGTCGTCAGTGAACAAAACCAGCATGGGCCTTTTGCTCTCGTGGTGATCTCTGCCCGACGCGAACTGCACGGCTCCATCGTCTAGGGGTGCCCCACCGAGGGACCGCACAGTGACCAACAGCCCCTGGTTACTGCTCTCCTCGTCCATCCAGGAGCGGACCTGCAACGTCACGTCAGACCGGTTAATGTTTTGCACGCAGAGACGTGTGGCTCGAGAGAGCGAGCCAAATATGGAACTGGCGGAAATGACTGGTAGAATCCGTGACCAGGGAGAAGAGTCGGTGGAGGAAGATTGGAAGAAATTCAAAGACTATCTTCAGAAACATTGCAAAATTAAAGAATGTTAGAGTGATGTTGGACTGAAAATAAGCGGTTTCCAGCTGTACAGGTTAAGGTTAATGATAGATCAAGACTAAAGATTAGGATTAAAGATGTTTAATGAAATGGAAATTTGACAATTAAGAGGTAAAATTTTAATGTTATATTACATTAAGACTAAAGATTAGGTTTAAAGAAGTTGAAGTTATATATTTCAATATTATATTAAATTAAAGACTGGGATTAAAAAAGTGGAAAAGAAATTGCTGGACAAACAATTTGGATTGGAATACAAAAGAGGGAGGTATGAGGAAGTCCAGAAAATAAGCAAATTTAAAGACGGAAATGGAAAAGAGATATTGTTTTTTTAATTGTTATGTTCTTTTTTTATTGTTGATTTTTGTCTTTTGTGTTTTTTTTATTTTCTCTTTGAGATTTGTATGGTGTATTTGTGTGTGGTTTTTTTGATGTTTTTCTTTTCTTTTTTTGGTTGTTTAATTTTTGATTGAAACTTTAATAAAAATTATTATTAAAAAAAAAAAAAAAGAGCGAGCCAAGCCGCGCCCGGTGGCAGAGGTGAGGATAATTACGGTTCTCCTTTTCTGAACTTTTTCCCAACTCTACAGTCTCCTCTTTTGGGACCAGAACTGCACACAGTACCCCAAATGCAGTCGCACCGCAAACATAAATTCACAGTTCTAAAAATACACATTGTGGGTTGTACCCGATGTAGCACTAAGTCAGGCACAGGCAAACTCGGCCCTCCAGCTGTTTTGGGACTACAACTCCCATCATCCACAGGACCAGTGGTCAGGGATGATGGGAATTGTAGTCCCAAAACATTTGGAGGGTCGAGTTTGCCTATGCCTGCACTAAATGCAAGGATATTTGCTTGTGGTGCTGTACTTTACAGGGGGCAAGGAGCCATGTTACGGATTGGTTACGATATCACAAGTTACATGAAATGTTTAAATTAGGTAGGAAAAAAAAGGTTTTCTGGACCAAAGCTTACAATTCTAAAAATAACTTTTACAAAACAAAGAGAAACTTTTGTCCAAAATGTACAATTTGTTATCAGAGTGGGGAGCAAAAGAGGAGTTTGTTAAAGCCTAAAGCGACACACTGGGCAATAGATAGATTTTTAACCTCTGGGAAAAACTCTGGTGACGTGACTTGAAGTTCACAGCATGTTATTCTTCGAAGGCGAACTACTTGAAAATGATTCACAGATGGTACTTAGCTCCGAGTAGGCTTGCTAAGATGTATAAGACTGAATCAGATAAGTGCTGGAGATGCAAAGAGGTTGAGGGAACATTCTTTCATATGTGGTGGACTTGTAAAAGGGTAAAAGAGTCTTGGGAAATGATCAAAAGTACCTTCCCAAAAAAGCCCAAGTCCTTTCTGTTGGGGATAATTCAGACTGAAATTCCCAGGTGTCAAAAAAGGTTACAGTGGTACCTCGGGTTACATACATTTCAGGTTACAGATTCTGCCAACCCAGAAATATTACCTCAGGTTAAGAACTTTGCTTCAGGATTAGAACAGAAATGGTGCGACGGCAGCGGGGCAGCGGTGGGGGGCCCCATTAGCTAAAGTGGTGCTTCAAGTTAAGAGCAGTTTCAGGTTAAGAATGGACCTCCAGAATGAATTAAGTTCTTAACCCGAGGTATTTATGTATGCTACAACTGCAGCCCGTGTTTCGTTAGCCCCAAAATGGAAAATGAGTGAGGTCCCAACCAAAGAAGAATGGCAACTTAAACAGATGGAATATGCACAGTTTGTGGACTTAACATATAGAATAAGAGAACAAGAAGAACATACGTTTAGAGAAGACTGGAAAACGTTTATTGAATATATGGGAAATAATGGTGTACAGCTGAAAATACTGGCAGCATTAGGATAAATTCAACAGTGTAAACAAGTTTAAAAGGTAAAGGTCCAGTCGTGACCGACTCTGGGGTTGCGGCACTCATCTCGCTTTATTGACCGAGGGAGCCGGCGTACAGCTTCCGGGTCGTGTGGCCAGCATGACTAAGCCGCTTCTGGCGAACCAGAGCAGCACACGGAAACGCCGTTTACCTTCCCGCCGGAGTGGTACCTATTTATCTACTTGCACTTTGACGTGCTTTCAAACTGCTAGGTTGGCAGGAGCAGGGACCGAGCAACAGGAGCTCACCCTGTCGCGGGGATTCGAACCGCCGACCATACGATCGGCAAGTCCTAGGCACTGAGGTTTTACCCACAGCGCCACCCGCATCCTAAACAAGTTTAGATGGGTGCAATAATGGAATACTGAATGGTTTAGTTTTTTGTAAAATATGCAGGGATTTATGATATGTAAAATGAACCATGGAAAGAGAAGAGGGGAAGTCATCGATATTTTAAGGATGTAGAAATGAGTATTTTAAATTGTAAAAAGGATATATAGGATCTCTGCTTGCGACGCATTATTGTTCCTGCAGCCGGGTTCAAGTAGGGTCTGTATAGACCAGAAACAGCTGAACTTGCCGGATTCCTGCTCTGAGGCAAAGACCAAACGCAGAACCAGTTGCGGCATGGAAAACATTTGCTCAGCTGCAATGCTGGAAACCTCTGTCGTCGATTTTGGGTATAATATTCAGCTGAGTGATTGGGTAAGACTATGGAAAGAAGGCTTAAAATTTACGGCATGCAATGCCCTAAAAGAAAATGTGATGAAAATGATATATAGATGGTATATTACACCCGTTAAATTAGCGAAAATGTATAAAGTAAATAATAAATGTAGGAAATGTAAAGAAAAAGAGGGAACATTTATCACATGTAGTGGGAATGTAAGAAGGTGAAAAGCTTCTGGGAGATGATATATAATGAGATGGAAAAAATGTTGAAATATACATTTATAAAGAAACCAGAAGCAGTTTTACTGGGCATTGTGGGGAGTGATATAAATAGAAAGGAATGTAAGCTTTTTTTATATGCAACAACAGCAGCAAGAATATTATTGGCCCAAAAATGGAAGCAAGAAGAATTACCGACGATTGAAGTTAATGGGCTATGCAGAATTAGATAAATTAACAGGAAAGATTCGAAACCGGCGGGACCAGAATTTCTGGAGTAAATTCACGGACTATTTGAAAAGTATTTGTGAAGATCAGACGATGTTTGTAGGTTTGCAAGAAGTTTTGTGAGGAGGAGTATTGGAATTATTACAAAAATGGATAAAGGGGGGGGGGATGATTCGTTAAGAGATTTAAAAATAATATAAAATTGAGAAATGCAGAAGAAGTGATTACAACGGTGGATTTTCAGAGGTGCTGATGGAAGTCTAAAAAGACTGTATAAGTGATAAAGTTGTGTGGTACATTTTATAATTTACATGTTCAAATCAATAAAAATTATTATTATTATTTTAAAAAAGAAACCTCTGTGGTCAACGTAGAGCAGACTCTAAAAAAGGCATCGAAACAAACTCACCGCTTGCGTGATGGCGAAGACCTCCCAGCCAGTTCCTTGCACGGCAAGGAGTTTAGCAGACAGTAGCTTCTTTCCTTCAGGGCTATCCATGCTGTCTTTGTCAAGGACCTGATAAATGCTCACCTGAAAGGATGGAGAGAGAAAGTAAGGTAAGCTAAAGGAACCAGGTCTTGCTCACACCAGCCGCAAAGTGCTCCAGTTTGTAAATGTCCCTTCGAATCGAGCCTGTTTAAGCAATTCACGTGAAATCCCACCCCGAGGTGCGGCAGGGAGGGAAAAGCACTCTGCACATGCTCTCTGGAAACATAATTTGCAACTTCTTTCAAAGCTCTGTGGGGCAGCGGCAGCAGCCCCCAAGGCTTGGAAAGAGGATTTGGATGTCAACAGTTGTATAATAATAATAATAGTAATAATATTTATTTATACCCCGCCCTCCCTGGCCAGAGCAGGGCTCAGGGCAGCTAACACCAATAAAATCACAGTAAAAACGTAAGGGGGCGGGGACCGATTTAAAATAAAGATTTAAAGCAGCCTCATTTTAAAAGTAGCCCATAGATCAAGACCATAAGGGGAGGGAAACAGAAGGGTCAGACCGAGTCCAAACCAAAGGCCAGGTGGAACAGCTCTGTCTTGCAGGCCCTGTGGAAAGATGTCAAGTCCCGCAAGGCCCTAGTCTCTTGTGACAGAGCGTTCCACCAAGTTGGGGCCAGTACTGAAAAGGCCCTGACCCTAGTTGAGACCAACCCAACCTCCTTGTGACTTGGGACCTCCAAAATGTTGTCATTTGTGGACCTTAAGGTGCTCCATGGGGCATACCAGGAGAGGCGGTCCCGTAGGTACATGGGTCCTAGGCCGCATAGGGCTTTAAAGGTCAAAACCAGCACCTTAAAGCTGACCCTGTACTCCACCGGGAGCCAGTGCAGTTGGTAACGCACTGGGTGAATGTGATCCCGCGCCAAGAACCCCGTAAGGAGCCTCGCCGCGGCATTCTGCACCCGCTGGAGTTTCTGGGACAGCTTCAAGGGCAGCCCCGCGTAGAGCGAATTGCAGTAGTCAAGTCTGGAGGTGACCGTCGCATGGATCACTGTGGCCAGGTCTGGGCGGGAAAGGGAAGGGACCAACTGCTTCCAGACTCAAACCAGGTTTTGGGGGGGAGACAAGCAAGCAGTGGAGGGCTGTGGGCGATAGTTCATTCAGTAGAGCATGAGGCTCTGTCACAGGGCCATGAGCCCCACATTGGGCAAAAGATTTCTGCATTTTAGCGGGGTCAGACTAGATGACCCGTGTGGTCCCTTCCAACTATGATTCCGTGATATGTTGCGCACGAGGAAGACTTTTTTATTTTATTTTATTTTATTTTATTTTATTTATTTTATTTTATACGGGAGAACGGACTGCCTACTCCTCCTTATCATAATCAATAAACATGTCTGGAATATTTTTCTGCAAAGATTTTCAGACCATACATACCCAAAGCCCCACTTCTCTTAGGCTGCCAGACCAATCAGCCTAAGAGAATTTTTTTAAAAAAAAAACATTTTAAAATTTTGGCTTTCACCATGTTTTTCAATTGATGTGTCTGCTCACTTGACAGGTGTTGATTATTAAAAGAGCAGACAACTTGACCTTTCATTTCAAGGGCTGTGTGTACCATCTTGAATTCTGCCAGAAAAGTCCTTCAACCAAAACGAAACAGCAAATAAGAATATCAGCGGTACCGTAGAGGACAAAACTTAAACATGGAAAGTGCTGAAACAGTAAATCAGCAGAACAAAACAAGTTTCCTGTTTATGCTCGACTGCCGTGTAACTTCGGCTATTAACAGAAAACGAGACCAGGAGGGAAAATGTATGAAACAACTTTTAAGCAAGCGCAAAGGTACTGTGAAAAATCATGAATATTGTCCAAGTTCCCTGCCAAAAATTGACGAGGGCACATTTTGAAGGGTTTTGGGTTGGTTTTTTTTACTAGATACTCGGAAGCTTCTAATGTTCAGCGCACGAGGAAGACTTGTCCATTATTGACCCAGCTTCTATGGGGAGTGCGATTCCTGGCAACTGGGTCTTCAGAAGTCAAGAGTGCCTCTGGGCATGGAAAGAGCGGAGCTCTCGGGGAAGGCTTTGGCCATTTACCTGGCAGAAGTGCTGCCTTCTGGGAAAAGGTCCATCGGCTGCCCTCGCCCGCAGCTTGAAGAGGTGGAGCTCAGCAGTGAGGACTCTCTCGTTCTTTGCCACGCTGGACAGGATGAAGAGGAATCGCATCTGGTCACCGTGAGCTGGAGAAGGAGGAAGGGAAGGTTATTTAAAATGTCCTTTTGTCGCTCTCAAGGCTCATCCACACTCGACTGCCATTTGTTCAGATTCAGTGCTACACAGTGACTTGTGATCTTGATCACACGCAATCTGTAGTCCGCTGGCAGTAGGAGTACAATATAGGCATGTCTTTAAGTTAACATCTTACATTAAAAACCTGACAGTACCATGAAGGTACATTCTTTCACCTTTGGTGGACGTGCCCAAAGATTAAGGCTTTCTGGGAAATGATATATAATGAATTGAAAAAGGTATTTAAATATACCTTCCTGAAGAAACCAGAGGCCTTTTTTTTGGGCATTGTCGGCCAATTGGTGCCAAAGAAGGACAGAATTTTTTTTTGTATGCTACAACAGCAGCAAGAATACTCATTGCAAAGTATTGGAAGACACAAGATCTACCCACTCTGGAAGAATGGCAGATGAAGGTGATTGACTACATGGAATTGGCAGAAATGACTGGCAGAATCCGAGACCAGGGAGAAGAGTCGGTGAAAGAAGACTGGAAGAAATTTAAAGTCTATTTATAAAGACTATTTACAGAAATATTGTAAAATTAATGAATCTTAGAAGGATGTTGGATAGAAACTAAGTGGTTTCCAGCTGTAATGCTTTAAGAGATACGAAAAAAGGTTTACAAATGGGTAAAAGTTTAATGGTAAGGATTTGCTGAACTAACAAACTGAACTGGAATACAAAAAAGGGAGGTACGAGGAGGTCCGGGAAATAAGTGTAAGGAAGATATGCTATGGAAAATTAATGTGTTCTTAACTGTTTTTATTTTGTATGTTTCTTTTTATTTTTCATTTCTTTGTTATATCTTAATAAGGGTTTTTTTTATTTTTCTTGCTGTATTTTGTATTTTCTTGTATTTTTACTTTTCGTTTTTGTGTAATTCTTGTATTCTTTGAAATTTTAATAAATATCATTTAAAAAAAAAACAAAAAACCTGACAGTACCAAACTATCGAAGGCTTTTCACCAAAGCCAGATTAAACGTCTTTCCTTCTGCAGTGTTGAGAGGAGTACCCTACCAGGACAGACTTTGCTCGTGTGCTCAAGACATCGATCCCATAAAACATATTTTGTTGCACTGTGCGAAATATGAGCAAGCCAGGGCTGAACTGATACTACCCTCGCTGGTACCTTTCCCGGGGAAATCAGAGGCTCGCTATGTCAGGTTCCTATTGGAAGACCGGACAAACGCTAGAACAGTGGCCAAGTTTTTATCGGTGGTTGCAAGAACCAATGATCCCTATATTCTGAACAAAATGCTTGTTTAACCTGGAGGTAGGCTGTATGAACTGTGTATTGCTTTGCAACGATTTGTTGGGTCTCTGGACCGGAATAAAGATCGTTGTTGATGATGATTCAGTGCTAAAAGAGCATGGGTAAACAGAGATGTTGGGAAAGTCATTTTTTTTCTGCAGCGCTTTCCGGCAAATAAAATAAAATCTGGGTTCAGATCCTGGCTCAGCCACGAAATCCACCTTTCTCTCAGTGTAGCTCATAGGCAGCATTTCAGGGCTCAAAACCAGAAAAGGGAAGCAGTGGGTGAGAGAGAGAGAGAGAGAAACTGAATAAAGGATAGCTGGTAAATGCATCGAGGGCTTGGTCAAGATTCGAACTCGGCTCTCCTGAAGCCCAACCATTCCGAAGCACAGGTTAACGCTTTGCAGAGGAAGAAGGATTGCTCCAGTCAGCCCTAGCGAATGTCAAGACGGAAAGAATTTTCCCAAAGGAAGTGTATCAAGGGTCCCGATCCCAGGTAAAACAACAAAAGCCTGGTGGGTTCATTGTACCAGCGCTTTTGTGTGTTTGAGGCAGGGACCAAGCCTGCTTTAAGCCTTGAAAATGCCACTTGTGAAAAAAGGCGAAAGATTTATACGATCTGAAGAGAACCCAGAGTATATTAAGAATACCATATAGTAAAAGGCCAGAGGCATTCCTTTTAGGAATTATATTCCAAAAGACAAAACTAATTTTTTCATATACGCAACATCTGCAGCAAGAATCCCGGTGGCTAAGTATTGGAAAGGGAATCAGTTACCCACTAGGGGAGAATGGCTATGTAAGCTTTCAGAATGTTTAGAATTAGCCAAATTGACAGATATAATAAGATGAAAACCAAAAAGTGAAGTTAAAAAAGAATGGGAGTGCCTAAATGAATACCTCAAAAGTCAAGGTTCGAGGGCAGAAATCTAGCTGAGTCTGGAAAAACCTTGTGAAGTGAAAGGATATGAAAGAAGGATTTATATCTAGATGTTAGGATAGAGATGATAATGAAAACCGAAAAACAGGAAGACACAATGAGAGATAAAGGAGGTGCTGTGGGACTGGTGGAAGTCAATGTCTTGTTGTTGTTTTAGTGTTTATAATATTAACTTGTAAGATATGGATTTGGTTAGTTGTTGTTGCTTTTTTTAGTTTTCGAACGTTGATTTTTGTGTGTTGTGTATTATTTTTTGATATCTTTCGTGTTGTTGTTGTTGTGTGGAAAATACTAATAAAATTTATTTTTTTTAAAAAAATGCCACTTGTGGGGAGCTACAGAGAAAACACACACACACACACACACACACACACACACACACACACAGCAACAGCAGCATATGCCCAAATTTCTGCAAGGAAAATTGAGCACTTGAATGTTGAGAATCTCCTTTCTTTCCAGGTGCTACCGAAACATGCATGGCCACCTAACAGAGCTATGTGTCGCCTCCTACGTTAAAAGGTGGTTTGCAGTGGCTCATGAGGGGAAAAAAATCCATGTTTGGGCAATTCCTAAATTAGACATTTTTGGTGGGATTGTCCGTTAGTTAATGAATTCTGGGAACAGATTGGTATAGAAATATTGGGAATTGTGGGTAGGAAGGTGGAAATATCTAAATTAATGGTTCTTATTAGCACCGAGTTAGAAACAAAAGAGGAATGTAAATGGGTAAATTTGATGGTAATTGCAGCCAGACAGGTTATAGCGAGTAATTGGAAAAATGCAGAAGAGCTGGGGGTGAACCAATGGAGGGAAAAAACTGAATAATATTATAATTTCAGAATATCTAACTGTGAAGATACACAAAATGAAAGGGTTTAAGGTCAGTGAGAAGGAGGAAGATTGGTTTGAGAAGATAGTTGGGCAGGTTTGAATAATTTGGGGCAACTAAAATGTTAAAAGTTAAATAAACCTTGTGGAGGGAGGAGTGTTAAGGTATATAGAATTGTACATATGGTTGATTTGAATATGTTATTATTGATTATGTATACCCAATGTATCAGCCGCCTGGGGGGTTTCACTGTTTGTGTTTTGGTTGTTGGTGAAAAAAATTAAAATTAAATAAAAAATCCTAAATTAGGCTGGCAAAAAGTTTACGGGAATAGTGAGCAAGCTTTCACGTTCTCCAGAACTCTTCACCTCGCCTGAGGAAGAGCTCTGTAGGACTCTAAAGCTTGCATGCTGATCATGTAACATTTTTGGATGACCTGGTAAAGAAATGTCCTAATATGGAATTTTTTTTGATGGGGCCAACACAACTACGTTTATTTTTTGTGTTACCTGGACATAACTTGAGTGCAGAAAGTGGACATTTAAAAGAGTGAGTTTCAACACTTATTTTGGTGTTAACCTCACCCCCACTCCTAAAAATAAGAGAAAATGGGTTGCATTTGATGTTAGCCCTGTCAGAGCTGACCTGCTGAAATTAACGGATACGAATTACTTGGGTCCATTAATTTTAAAAGGTTGACTCTGAGTAGATACAACCCAATTTGTTTAGGTGCGCTAAATGTGAAATATTTTGGAAAGCTAACAGATGCCAGAAGGCTGTTATTTTTGCTGCAACTGACTCTGCAAGTTAAAATGCATGTTTGCAATTGTAAGTGAATCACTGGTTCGCTAGTAAAACAGAATTACTGTGCTGCAAAATGATGCACGTCTAAAAAAGTGTGTCCTCAACGTGAAAAGTTTGGAAAGATCTGATCTGGTCCAAGACACTTGCAATGCAGGAATATGTAGCGTTCCCATATGGGCATCAAACCTGCAACCTTGCCATTTATCAGCGCCACACTCTAACCAAATGAGCTATCCTGGCTCCAAGGAATCATTTCCTGATCTGGATAAAATATAAAGATATTTACAGTAAGAAGGAAAGGCAGTTTGCTTTGTGCGTAAGAATCCCACCATCTCTGCACAGCTGTGCTGAATTTTTACAAAACAGTGTGCAAGCTTTGAAGTCCTTCAGAAAAACTGGAGGAGAGGTTTGTGTGAAGATCAAACCCCAAAAGCCAACAGGGACAGAACTACCTAAACTATATAGAAAATTATTCATGTATGCTACTACAGCGGCAAGAATGTTACTCACACAAAAATGGAAAGAAGCAGAAATTTCAGCAAAAGAAGAATGGATACAAAACCTTATGGAATAAGCAGAAATGGTGAAACTTGCCGGAAGAATTAGAAATCAAGACAAACTTTTTAGAAAAGAATGGAAATGGGTTAGTGAATATTGACAGATAAATTGTAAACAGATAAGGACATTGGCAGGAATATTGTAATAACCTGCAGAACATATTTAAAGTTGTTGAATAAGTGGGGAAATTAAGTTAATTTGGATATGCAGAAAAGATGTTAAGAATAAATTTAAGGAACCGCAGAAAGAGGGGGGAGGAAGTTGAGTTTGGAAATGTTAAAATGGTTGTAAAATTAATGGAATGTATAAACCTGAAAAGCAAAAATAAAATAAAATAACAGGCCAAATGCCTTCATCACAAGGAAAGGTGTCAGATTTTAGGCCAGCTGTGGGCCTGTGTGTTTTTAGGCCAGCAACATTTCCAGATGTTGCTCAGCTGCAGCTTCCATCAGCTCCAACAGACCCAGGGATGGTGGTGATGGGAGTTGTAGTTCATCACGTCCAGACGGTGCAAGGTTCCCCATGCCTGGGCTTTAGACAGCCATCCTAAAGGCACTGCTTTTAGGGGTTCCGTGGGAGGGAAAGTTTGCAGCACTTGGTGGAGTCCCTAACAACAACCGCCCATCACCTCCCTCCTGTAAACCTTGCCAAGAAAGCCTGCTTCGTGCCCCAGAGACCCTGGCACCCCTCTTGCCAATGCCCCCTCTTACTTTTGTCCAGAAAGCTGCGCACTGTATTGCCTTCCAAGATGTCCGGATCCTTGGTGACTCCATCGTCATCGGCCACCGTGTTGTAGAGGTCCACCATGTATTGGGGAGGCCGGATGATGTGCTGGGGAGATTGAGGGGGGTCCCCGATGCCGAAGACCTCCAGCAGTCTCTTGAGGGCCTGGGCTCTGGTGTCCTCAGAGCCCCCTGCCTCCAGATGGGCAGGAGAGGAGGGTCTGCAAGGGAAGGCGGGCATCCATGCCAGGAGAAGCAAAAGCTGGAGATGGAACATGGCTGATTTCTCTCCCTCTAGCATCTTCTTCCATTTGGCTGTCCTCCAAGGCTGCACTTATAACCAAGGCTGCTGCTCATCTCTTGGCCCCACAATGAGGTCCATGGATTAGGTCCCCCTGCTAATGGGCCACTCAGGAAGGGCTAATTGCGGCGCTAACAAGGTGCGAAGGAACACACAAGCCTTTTCTGGGGAGGGTTGTGGATTCTCTCCCTTTGACACCCCTTTCCAGAAAAGAGGAGGATGAACCTGGTTTGGCAGGAAGGAGAAGGGAAACCAGCTGCCAAAGTTTATTCAGTAGGCAAAGGCTAGGTTTGCTCTCCCTGGGAGGCTAACGGGTGTGTAATGGGGCCATTAAGGTGGGGATTAAGGCAGCCTTTCTGCACGAAGGCAGGAGAGGAAAGGCTAATACACAAGCAAGAAAAAAAACGAGGAGCCAAGCAACCTTATTTCCCCGTACATCATGGATTTGGATATAGATGCACAGAGATACACAGAGGGACAGAGATGAAAACATGCTTGAAACCCAACTGTCAGTTCCATCAAAACACCACACACTATTATGTTATCCTGTAAAGTTGTATGAAAAGCCGAGGGATCGATACTTAAATTGCTTGCCACCCTCAGTAATATCAACAAAATCAGGTATTTGCTGTCTTGCTTGGCCAAACTAGCCATGCCTCAAGACAGTGGAGTTTGAGGCAGAAGCCTCCCAACTTAGGAAAACCTCAGGAGTCCACCCTTACGCTTAATAATAATAATAATAATAATAATAATAATAAATTATTTGTACCCCGCCCATCTGGCTGGGTTTCCACAGCCACTCTGGGCGGCTTCCACAGAGACCAAAAATACACTAAAATATCACACATTAAAAACTTCCCTGAACAGGGCTGCCTTAAGATGTCTTCTGAATGTCAGGTAGTTGTTTATCACTTTGACATCTGGTGGGAGGGCGTTCCACAGGGCGGGTGCCACTACCGAGAAGGCCCTCTGCCTGGTTCCCTGAAGCTTTGCTTCTCGCGATGAGGGAACCGCCAGAAGGCCCTCGGTGCTGGACCTCAGTGTCCGGGCAGAACGATTGGGGTGGAGGCGCTCCCAGAGATAAGAGATAAGAACCACCTGACTTATTATAAGGATTTGTTTTTTTAAAAAAATGCTTCTGAGATTGTGCACTCACTGCTTTCCTTTTCTTCCTTTTCTGCTTTTTGGCTTTAACCTGTCTTTGGCTGAGCAATACAATTTTGTACGTGCAAAATATTATTCCTACGATTGTTGCACTATTATAGGAGCAAAGGACGCTAGCCTCGTCACACCAAGCTCAGTATCCTCTACTCTCTGCAGACATCCTAGTCTTCGTTGTCCTGAATCAAGGGCTAATGATGCCGTGTGTCCACCCAGGCCTAAGATTGCCTGTGTGGCCTGACAGAGACTCGCCAGCGTTTCAGGCAGAAATTTATCCCAGCCCTGCATCCAAACTGCGCATCTAAAATACATTCGCAGCAGTGACCTCCCCGGGGTGGAAGCCTGGGCAGCGTGCATGGTGGTCTTGGGCTGCTCAGACGACAAGACCCCCCCTTTCTCGGCCTCGTTGGTGGGGTCCAAAGGAAAGCAGAGCAAGACGTTTGGCCCCAGCTTGGCTGCAGGAGTTGCTGGTACAAGGTGCCATACAAACCACCTTAGGGACTCCGCTCCAGATTTGTGTAGGGTTCACTCCAGAGCCTTTCCTTCCCCCAAAAATATACCACAAGACAGGAGGTTTAGTATCCGAGTTTTTCTTTTCCTAGATGGGCTCCGTATAGTTCAAGCTATGGTTTTCCCAGTAGTGATGTATGGAAGTGAGAGCTGGACCATAAAGAAGGCTGGAAAAAAAACTTTTTTTTCCCAACACAATTAGGGTTTTATTTTTAGCACTCACATGGGTATGTGTTTTATGCATGTGTCTTCTACCATCATTCCAGGGAGACCCTTGCCTTGTTTTGCCAATACCAGCCTGCAGAACTGGCAAATTGTGTTCACACAATATGAGCCCCCCAAAAGGACCTAGCTTCAAAGAAATTATGTCCACAACCAGAATCTGTCAGTCAAGGTTATCCTTAGCCGAAACACACACGGCCAATGGCCATGAAATGAGACAGCAGCTCAAATCTTTAGAAGGTTCTGCTCACGATTAGACCAACTTGGGAATGGGCTTCTGCTAGCTTGTTCACACCAGCTTGTTCACACATAAGGTTCTGGAAGGTAAATCAAGCAAATATGAAAATGTACTTGGGTAAGGTAAAGGTAAAGGGACCCCTGACCATTAGGTCCAGTCGTGACCGACTCTGGGGTTGCGGCGCTCATCTCGCTTTATTGGCCGAGGGAGCAGGCGTACAGCTTCCGGGTCATGTGGCCAGCAGGACTAAGCCGCTTCTGGCAAACCAGAGCAGCACACAGAAATGCCATTTACCTTCCCACTGGAGTGGTACCTATTTATCTACTTGCACTTTGACGTGCTTCCGAACTGGTAGGTTGGCAGGAGCAGGGACCGAGCAACGGGAGCTCACCCTGTCATTGCGGGGATTCGAACTGCCAACCTTCTGATCGGCAAGCCCTAGGCTCTGTGGTTTAACCCACAGTGCCACTCTTTTATCACTTGAGCTGTTGTGGTTTTTGCAACCAGTCACTCTTCACAGAGCACTGTAGTTCCAGGAGGGAAAGAGGGATCGTCAAATGACGGTCGGCCCTTGTAACAAACCATCAAGTTCCCAGCATTCTTGGGAGGAAGCCATGTGCGTTTGAAGTGGCATGAAACTGCTTTAATTGCATGGTGCAGATGTGACCCTCTCTCTAATAATATGGGACACTTTCGACACTTCTAGGTTCAGTCAGAGTTCAGTCTTGTATCCCGGCTGCGACATCATCAAATGACCACTCTTTGCCACATTGGCATGTTTTTGTTTTTAAAAGGAAAAAAAGCCTTTTTAGCATTTATTACCAATTCACTCTGTAAAAAATCTGACACACATAAAACCAATGAGAGATAAGGAATGGAAAGTGACCCCACTGAAAGAAACTTGACAGTACAAATTTAAATCCATGCAATTTAAATTGGCTTAATCCTGAAGTGTAATCCAATGAGACTGAAGACGAGAAACTTGAGGTCCTGGACAAGGCAGTAAAACACTCTTTGACTTTCTGGATCCTTGGATTGATTTACATCAATAAGAGAAGCAATTTTTGATGTGGTAAAAGAGATGTGTTCACCACCAGTTACAATTTCAAGCTCCTGCTGGCCATCTGTCAGGATGCGGCCATAAGGCATCATCTTCTTTCGTGATTTCACTGTCATCGATTATCCTCTTCTTCCATCACACTTTTGTGTACTTAAGATCCTTTTGCCTGTTGTCTTTGTCCATTGTAGTCATATATAGTCATATTGTAGTTAAAGCTATGGTTTTCCCAGTAGTGATGTATGGAAGTGAGAGCTGGACCATAAAGAAGGCTGATCGCTGAAGAATTGATGCTTTTGAATTATGGTGCTGGAGGAGACTCTTGAGAGTCCCATGGACTGCAAGAAGATCAAACTGATCCATTCTGAAGGAAATCAGCCCTGAGTGCTCACTGGAAGGACAGATCCTGAAGCTGAAGCTCCAAGACTTTGGCCACTTCATGAGAAGAGAAGACTCCCTGGAAAAGACCCTGATGTTGGGAAAGATGGAGGGCACAAGGAGAAGGGGACGACAGAGGACGAGATGGTGGGACAGTGTTCTCGAAGCTACAAACATGAGTTTGACCAAACTGCGGGAGGCAGTGGAAGACAGGAGTGCCTGGCGTGCTCTGGTCCAGGGGGTCACGAAGAGTCGGACACGACTAAATGACTAAACAACAACAATGGTTAAAGAGTACAAAACATGGACCCAGTTATACCAGAGGAAAGTTATTAAAGTATTAAAATGCCCTGAGTCACTATTTCAGGCATATTTGATCATAGGTTGAGGGGGGGTCTGTCCTTGGTCATGTCCCTCCTTGCTTACAGACGAAATAAAGTCGACCAAACAGGTCCTAAAACATCCTTTTTCCTTTGGTCCAGCTTATTAGTTTCCCCAGCAGGACAATATCCCAAACAGGAAGCTTGGCCCCGTCTAAACTTCTCCCCAAAACATGCAATGATCATTCTAGCTGCTTATAAGTAGGTGCACTATTAAGTCTTGAAGGCTGAAATAACTGAAACATCCCCCCCAAAGAACTATTTATTCATGTATTCGCCACCTCTTGACAACTACATCTGGGGGAGACGTTGGCTAGCAGAATCCTCCTCCCTTTGGCTTGTTAAATTAAACCTTGTGTTTTGTGGGGCACCCGTTCCAGACCCTTTAAGACCCTGCATTTGCAAGCTCGGACAGCAAAGACGGTGCGGAGCTCCCCTCTTCGGCTCCGGAAGGTATTTGTCTCGTATTGGTGAGGGATGCAGGAGCTGGAGATGTCTTCATGCCAAACAAGGCACTTGCCTCGGCTCTGAGGGTCCCTGTGTTGAGAAGAAGAAGAAGAGTTTGGATTTGATATCCCGCTTTATCACTACCCGAAGGAGTCTCAAAGCGGCTAACATTCTCCTTTCCCTTCCTCCCCCACAACAAACACTCTGTGAGGTGAGTGGGGCTGAGAGACTTCAGAGAAGTGTGACTAGCCCAAGGTCACCCAGCAGCTGCAGGTGGAGGAGCGGAGACTCGAACCCGGTTCCCCAGATTACGAGTCCACCGCTCTTAACCACTACACCACACAGTTGGCCGTGAGAGCCAGATTCAGGCTAGGGCGTCCTGTTAAACCAGCCTGGCTCCTTCCAGGTGTTGTAAGGCTACAACTCTACATGGGGCCCGATCCGGAGGCTCCCTCTTGTGCAAAACACCGAGTCCAGACTGCAATCCCCGGCGTGCAACTCGCTGGCTCCATCTGGTACGCAGGCTGAGACCCTCCCTGCCCGCAGACTGTCTCGCCAGAGTGGTGCATGCTCTAGTTATCTCCCGCTTGGACTACTGCCATGCGCTCTACGTGGGGCTGCCTTTGAAGGTGACCCGGAAACTACAACTAATCCAGAATGCGGCAGCTAGACTGGGGACTGGGAGCGGCCACCGAGACCATATAGCACTGGTCCTGAAAGACCTACATTGACTCTCAGGACGTTTCCGAGCACAATTCAAAGTGTTGGTGCTGACCTTTAAAGCCCTAAACGGCCTCGGCCCAGTATACCTGAAGGAGCGTCTCCACTCCCATTGTTCAGCCTGGACACTGAGGTCCAGCTCCGAGGGCCTCCTGGCGGTTCCCTCCCTGCAAGAAGTGAGGTTACAGGGAATAGGCACAGGGCCTTCTCGGTGGTGGCGCCCCCCTCTGCACTGTGCATTTTAAAGCAGTATCATACCCCCAAAGAATCCCAGGAACCATAGCTTGTTAGCATAGGGCGCAGGGATGATGGCAATTTATATTCACAAGCCCCGCTGAATTCAACAGGGTTTTCTCTCAGAATTGCACAGCCTCAGGAGCGTTCAACAGCAATCCATGGAAAACCCTATCATTTGTTCTGATTCAGTGCTAAAGCACGCTGCAAAACATTGACACAGGTCTGAAGTGATATGGACACTGCTGGATTTTCGGGGGTGTTAACTACGGACCCTGTGCTTCATGTATCAATTACTTGGCTTACGGAACACTGCAAAAAATATATATGGGGGTGTGTTTTGCTGCAAAAAGGCTGCAAAACTTTGGCACGGGTTTAGGGGGGATCCTAAATGTTGGGGTCCATAGTTCATAATCCCGGGCAAGCACATGTGGCCTTTCCACAGCAAAAAGACGGATACTGATGAACTGGAAAAATAAAATATTGGAAATAAAAACACTGGAATAAAAAATACTGGAATAAAAAACTGGAAAAATAAAAAACGCGGCTCCCTTCTACAGTTGGATTGAAGACTTTTGCCAACTCGCAACATATGAACAACTTGCATATAACCGCAGAGTTGCCATGGACAAATAATTCTACAATATCTGGAACCCATTCTTACAAATACTGTAATAGGTTAAGATCTGGTGAGGTACAATTAAAACCTTGTAAAGTATATATAGTTTTGGGAGTCCGTCCCCCCTTTATTTTCCTTTCTACACAGATTCCGTTTCTTTTTTTCTTTTCCTCTCTCTTATATTTACGTCTCACCATGTTTAGTGCGCATATAATTAGGTACTTTATAATTATATATACTTGATGTACTTTATAATGATCTCTTTCAGCTTCTGCTTCTGGAAGAAGATACAGGGTTATAAAGACTAGGACTAGCCGCCTGAGAAACCGTTTCTATCCAAATGCGATTTGGGTTTTAAACGCAGTGTAAGGTAGCCTCTGTGGGAGTATATTGTATTTAATTATGGGGTATCAGAGTTTTTAGGGGGTTAACCAGGCTGGGATTGCAGGCTTGTTGGTTTTTGAATGTCTGATGTAGATTTTTTCCAATTTCGTTGTTCTGTATGGGACAACGACAATAAAGATTATCGTATAATTATATATAAACCTTTGGCACAGGTTTGGAGGGGTTCCCAATGTTGGGGTCCCTAGTTCATAATCCCCAGCAAGAGCAAGTGTGGATGAGCCCAGCATTGGGGGGGATGTGTGTGTACTGATTGAATGAGCCATTTTACACCTCTAGAAACCTCCCTTGGGGAATCTCTTTCCCCCAGTCTGTCGCTGAGCCCAATCCACAGAAATTAACAGGAACAATCTATTTAGATTCAGCTCTCAGGTGTTGCCATTGTGTGTGATCTCCTGTGCTTGCGCACCTTCCCCTTAGAGCAGTTTGTGGGCATTGCATTTAGAAATGCAATTGTCACTTTTTTTGGGATGTGCAGCTAGCACCTGCGCTCACACCTTTGGGGCAGTTGTGCTTACCTTAGCAGGCAGGGACTTCCAGGGTCACATTGCCCTAAGCATCTTCCAACATCAATTTCCTGGAAGATTTGAAACACAAAAGGAGAAGGGGAAATCACTTGCCAGTCTCCCACTGTCTTTGACAGGGTGGTGGGAATTCAAAAGGATATGTGTCATTCACAAATACACCTTCTGGGACCACCCACCCCCACCATGGAAGAAGGAAAAAACAGCTTGTCTTTGCAAGAGGAAAACTGGGGGACACATTTTGCCAAACATCATTTCCAGAGAAGTTATTATTTTGGAGTTTTATCGCTGCAGAAAACAGCACACAGAAGAGGAGAATCCTTAAAAGCTGAGCGCGTAACACTAAACTGGGAGGGGTAGCTCAGAAGATAAAATCCAGATACAAGCTGACTTTAGCTGATTGGGAAATTGGGCCCAGGCTAACAAAATGAATTTCAACAGGGACAAATGTAAGGTCCTTAGAAATAAACAGAGGCACAATAATAGGATGTGAGGGGCTGGGGGAACCTGGCTTGACAGCAGGACGTACGGAAATGAACTAGGGGTTTTAGTCGACCATGAGCTTAATGTGAGCCAACAGCGAGATGCAGCAGCAAAAAAAGGCGAATGAAATTCGAGGCTAGCATGGCGTCCAAATCGAGGGAAGGAATAGTATCCCGCTCTATTCTGGGCTCCCCGGTTTAAGAGGGATATTGACAAGTTGGAAGGTGTGCAGAGGAAGGCAACCAAGATGATCAAGGGTCTGGGAAGCAAGCCTGATGAGGAACGGTTGAAGGAGCTGGGTATGTTTAGCCTAGAAAACAGTAGAGGAGATATTGTCAGGTGTGCATGCAGGAGCCAGGCTTTGCAGGACTGGGGTCTTCCTAAGTTTGTTCTGAAGAGGCAAAGCAGTCACACAGGTGAGGCCGATTGGTAACTCACAGCACCTGGTTGCGAGAGCCAGGAAGGGATATAAGGTCAGTGTTTCCCTTTGGCTCTTTGCCACAGCAATACGTTCCCTGCCTTGCTGCGTTTGGCTCCTTGACTCCTTGCTCCTAGGTCCTCAGACCCTTGACTTCGTGACTCCTTGCTTCCTGATCCCCAGACCCCTGACTTCATGACTCCTTGCTTCTTGATCCTCGGACCCCTGACTTCGTGACTCCTTGCTTCCTGACCCTTGGACCCTTGCTTCTTGACTCCCAGCTCTCTGACCCTCGGACTCTTGGCTTTCTAACTCTCAGCTTCTGGACTCCCGTTCCTGCTCCCACCCCGCCATCTTGACCCCGGTTCCAACAGTCCCCAGCCGGGACTTCGATTGCCCGTGAACTGGACCGTGACAGATATGATAAGTAAAGGTAAAGGGACCCCTGACCATTAGGTCCAGTCGTGACCAACTCTGGGGTTGCAGCGCTCATCTCGCTTTATTGGCCGAGGAAGCCGGCGTACAGCTTCCGGGTCATGTGGCCAGCATGACTAAGCCGCTTCTGGCAAGCCAGAGCAGCGCACGGAAACGCCACTTACCTTCCCGCCGGAGCGGTACCTATTGATCTACTTGCACTTTGATGGGCTTTCGAACTGCTAGGTTGGCAGGAGCTGGGACCGAGCAACGGGAGCCCACCCTGTTGCGGGGATTCGAACCGCCGACCTTCTGATTGGCATGTCCTAGGTTCTGTGGTTTAACCCACAGCGCCACCCGCGTCCCTTGACAGATATGATAGCCATCTCCAAATATCTTAAGGGCTGTTCTTTTGCCTTGGTAAAAAAACACCTGGAATACTGTGTCCAATTCTGGGCGCCACAATTTAAGAAGGATGTTGACAAGCTGGAAGGTGTGCAGAGGGGGGCGACCAAGATGATCAAGGGTCTGGGAAGCAAGCCTGATGAGGAACGGTTGAGGGAGTTGGATAGGCTTAGCCTAGAGAAGAGGAGACTTGCTTTCCATTATCATGTTGGTTGGCCGGGGCTGATGGGAGTTGGAGTCCACCCTATTAACGTGAGTGGGCTTTGCAATGGAAGCAGGAAGGAGAAGCATTCGCACCTTAATCAGCTCCAGTTTTTCTCCCTCAGAGTTGAGCACCACCTCGTAGTAGTATTCCATGTGGGAGACCCGGTAACAGGGCTCCCTCAGCCGGCAGCTCCCCACAATCTGAACCAAACGTTGCCCGTTTGGGGTCTTCATCAGAACGGAGTCGAAATCCGTGGGCAGGCAGAAAAGCCCCTCTGAAAAGAGATCCGAGAGGGAAAATTATTATTATTATTATTATTTAGACCCCGCCCGTCTGGGCGGCTTCCAACAAAATATTAAAATACAGTAATGCATCAAACATTAAAAGCTTCAGGTAGCATTCTATTCATGTTGCGAACGGGCCTCCGGAACGGATCCTGTTCGCAACCAGAGGTACCACTGTAATAATAATTTATAATAATAACTTATTATTTACACCCCAGCCATCTGGCTGGGCTTCCCCAGCCACTCTGGGCAGCCTCCAACAAGACACTAAAATACAATAACCTATTAAACATTAAAAGCTTCCCTAAACAGGGCTGCCTTCAGATGTCTTCTAAAAGTCAGAGAGTTGTTTATATCCTTGACATCTGGTGGGAGGGCGTTCCACAGGGCGGGTGCCACCACCAAGAAGGCCCTCTGCCTGGTTCCCTGTAGCTTTGCTTCTCACAGTGAGGGAACCGCCAGAAGGCCCTCGGAGCTGGACCTCAGTGTCCGGGCTGAGCGATGGAGGTGGAGATGCTCCTTCAGGTCTACTGGGCCATTTAGGGCTTTCAAGGTCAGCACCAACACTTTGAATTGAGCTCTGAAACATCCTGGGAGCCAATGAAGATCTTTCAGGACCAGTGTTATATGGTCTCGGCGGCCACTTCCAGTCACCAGTCTAGCTGCCGCATTCTGGATTAGTTGTCATTTCCGGATCACCTCCATCTCCACCCCTCCATCCCTCACTGCGAGAGGTGAGGTTACAGGGAACCAGGCAGAGGGCCTTCTCGGTGGTGGCGCCCGCCCTGTGGACCTCCCTCCCAGCAGATGTCAAGGAAATAAACAAGTATCTGACTTTTAGAAGACATCTGAAGGCAGCTCTGTTTAGGGAAGCTTTTAGTGTCTGATGTTTTATTGTGCTTTTAATTCTGTTGGGAGCCGCCCAGAGTAGCTGGGGAAACCCAGCCAGATGGGTGGGGTATAAATACTACTACTACTACTACTAATAATAATAGTCTGTTGTTGTTGTTGTTGTTGTTGTTGTTGTTGTTGTTGTTAAGCCCTGTTGGTTTCCCCGGTAGATGACATCCTTGCTCCTGCTCTGAAAAAAGTCCCGGAGCTCCAATCCGCAACACCTCTGCCTTGCATTACCTTCGGGATGTTCTGGATTGGAACACCTGCCGACGTCCAAGGTCTGCTCCAGAGGGGAGTCTGGGAAGAAGGTTTTCAGAGACGGCAGCCGAAGACATTCAGAGGGGCTAGCGTTGCACTGGCAGCCCTCAATGACCTCCACCTGTCGAACGCCTTCCAGAAGCAGGAGCTCTTGCACCCGGACACTGCTGGGCTCACAGTGGTAATTCGCCCGGCAGGAATGCTCCAACCTGGTAGAGGGTTCGGATCCTGAGAGAGAGCTGGGAAACCTCTCCTGTAGCTGGAAGGAAGAGCAAGAAGAAGAAAGCAGGGAAAGCTAAGATTTTCGGGTATTATATACAATTTAAAGCATGGGAGAAGTTATGGAATTGGGATTTGAAATTTACAGCATGTTATAAAGGTAAAGGGACCCCTGACCATTAGGTCCAGTCGCGGACGACTCTGGGGTTGCGGCGCTCATCTCGCTTTTTTGGCTGAGGGAGGCGGCGTACAGCTTCCGGGTCATGCGGCCAGCAGGACTAAGCCGCTTCTGGCGAACCAGAGCAGCGCACGGAAACGTCGTTTGCCTTCCCACCAGAGTGGTACCTATTTATCTACTTGCACTTTGACGTGCTTTCAAACGTTGGCAGGAGCAGGGACCGAGCAATGGGAGCTCACCCCGTCCCGGGGATTCGAACCGCCAACCTTCTAGGCTCTGTGGTTTAGACCACAGCGCCTCCCATATCCCCATACAGCATGTTATACGTTGAAAGAAAACTATATGAGGTATAAAACAGGGTCAAATATATGTTGGAAACGTAAGAAAAAAGAAGGCACCTTTTAATCATATGTGGTGGATGTGTAAGGTAGTAAAAGAATTTTGGGAAATGATATATAATGAACTGAAAAAAATGTTTAAAATAACTTTAGCTTTAAAACCTGAAGTCTTTCTTTTAGGAATTCCAGGTGCTGAAATCCCAATGGAGCAGAAAAGATTATTTGTGTATGTGACCACGTCTGCACGGATGTTATTGGCCCAGAGATGGAAAGAAGATAAAAGTCACTACCAGGGAAGAATGGCAGATCAAGTTGATGGATTATGCTGAAAGGGCTAAAATGACCGGAAGAATCAGAAATCGGAAAGAACAAAATTTTAATAAGGAACGGGGAAAATTTATAGCTTACCTTAAAAACCACTGTAAACAGTTAAAATCGTTAATAGGATTGGAATAACACTTGTAATTTGAATTTTGGATATAATAGAGATGTAAAAGATTTGGAATGGGACGCGGGTGGCGCTGTGGGTTAAACCACAGAGCCTAGAACTTGCCGATCAGAAGGTCGGCAGTTCGAATCCCCGCAACAGGGTGAGCTCCCGTTGCTCGGTCCCAGGTCCTGCCAACGTAGCAGTTCGAAAGCACGTCAAAGTGCAAGTAGATAAATAGGTACCGCTCCAGTGGGAAGGTAAACGGCGTTTCCGTGCGCTGCTCTGGTTTGCCAGAAGCGGCTTAGTCCTGCTGGCCACATGACCCGGAAGCTGTACGCCGGCTCTCTCGGCCAATAAAGCGAGATGAGCGCCGCAACCCCAGAGTCGGTCATGACTGGACCTAATGGTCAGGGGTCCCTTTACCTTTACCTAAAAGATTTGGATTGTATTATAAAAGACACAGGAGGAAATGACTAAAGAGTAGGACCCACAAAGGGGACGAGGGAAGTCCGGGAGATTTTATGGAACCTTGTTTTTATGTTGCATGTTGGATATGTGATTCTAAAACTTTAATTTGAGAAACCAAATAAATAAATTTATTTGAAGAAGAAGAGGAGGAGGAGGAGGAGGAGGAGGAGGAGGAGGAAAGTGGGAGATGCTGGGCATCTTCTGAAGATATCCCGCAAGGTTTAGGGTCAGAGGTTTAGGGTCAGCGGAGGTTTAGGGTCAGAATTTTCCTTCTCCTACAGTAGCTGGGCTCCCTTCCACCTGCCCCAGCTCCCTTCCAGCAAACTAGAGTTCTCAGGGTTCTTTGATGTGCTTCAAACGCACGGCGTTTACAGAGCTGTCGAGTGTCAGCAATGGTCACCCCCTGCCCTGATATTTTCCTTTAGTTTCTTTTCGAGAGTAGCCGAGCACCGGGTGGTATCAGAGCTGACTGCTGAGTTTTCCACTGAGGAGGAGGAAAATGTCAGCCAGGGCTCTGGTTGTTAAGTCGCCCAAATGGACCAGTGTCCACTGGCTTCCTGTGCTCTTAAAACAAAAACAGACGCCGTACCTTTTTGGTCTTGAGGAAGTCCAGCATGGAGGATTGTCGGGAGATGCCGGCGAAACCTGATGCGCTCCTTCTGTGGGTACCACCACAGTGCGGCTGGCAGAAGCCCAAGTCGATGATCACCGGGCTGCCAGAGAGATCTGGGCAGAAAAACAAGGGAAAGGATGTTTGAAGAAGAATACAGTGGTACCTCTGGTTATGTACTTAATTCGTTCCAGAGGTCTGTTCTTAACCTGAAACTGTTCTTAACCTGAGGTACCACTTTAGCTAATGGGGCCTCCTGCTGCTGCACGATTTCTGTTCTCATCCTGAAGCAAAGTTCTTAACCCGAGGTACTATTTCTGGGTTAGCAGAGTCTGTAACCTGAAGCGTATGTAACCCGAGGTACCACTGTACAGTCATACCTCGGGTTGAAGTAGCTTCGGGATAAGTATTTTCGGGTCGCGCGCTGCGGCGACCCGGAAGTAACGAAGCACGTTACTTCCAGGTTTCGCCGCTCACCATGCGCAGATGGTCAAAATGACGTCATGCGCAAGCGCAGAAGCGGCGAATCGCGACCTGCGCACACGCAGACGTTCGCTTCTGGATGCGAACGGGCCTCCGGAACGGATCCCGTTCACATCCAGAGGTACCACTGTAATAATAATAATAATACTTTTATTGTCAGTGTACAGACTGTGTACAATGAAATTAACCGAGCCTTCCCGCCCCCCTGCAAACACTCAATCTCATTGCACTCTGTGTGTTTGTCTTACAACACACCAACCCCAAAAGTTAGTTGCACTATATTATTTTCCGTTCAGCAGCCCAACAGCCCACGGATAGAAGCTGTTTTTTAGCCTGTTGGTACGACTGATTATACTTTTATATCTCCTGCCCAAGGGTAGGTAGACGATTAAAGAGGTGCTGGCCAGGGTGTGAATCATCCCTGAGAATTTTTCTCGCTCAACTAAAGCAACGATCCCTTGCGATGTCATCTAGCCCATGTAGGACCAGTCTGGATGGTGAAGACTTGACGTTTTTATCCCCCAAAAAGGTTTTTGATTGAGTTCCACTGAAATAAGGCTGCCTTTTGAATGTTTTAGTGTTGTATTTTAATTTTGTTTTTAAGCTGTATTCTAATCAATTGTTTTTATGTTTGGTGTTAGCCGCCCTGAGCCCGGTCTTGGCTGGGGAGGGCGGGGTATAAATAAAATTTATTATTATTATTATTATTATTATTATTATTATTATACCCCACCCATCTGACTGAGTTGCCCGAGCCACTCTGGGCGACTTTCAACGTATAAAAACATAATAAAGCATTAAACTTTTAAAAACTTCCCTATAGAGGGCTGCCTCCAGATATCTTCTAAAGGTTGTATAATTACTTATCTCCTTGGCTCGGAGGTTGCATAACTCCACACCCTCCAACATTTTTCCAATGAAAATAGGTAAAGGTAAAGGGACCCCTGACCATTAGGTCCTGTCGTGACCAACTCTGGGGTTGCAACGCTCATCTCGCTTCCTAGGCTCTGTGGTTTAACCCACAGCGCCACCAGCGTCCCCCAATGAAAATAGGGATGTCCTAAGGAAAAGCAGGGGCCGCGGGTGGCGCTGTGGGTTAAACCACAGAGCCTAGGACTTGCCGATCAGAAGATTGGCGGTTCGAATCCCAGCGATGGGGTGAGCTCCCGTTGCTCGGTCCCTGCTCCTGCCAACCTAGCAGTTTGAAAGCACATCAAAGTGCAAGTAGATAAATAGGTACCACTCTGGCGGGAAGGTAAACGGCATTTCCGTGCACTGCTCTGGTTCGCCAGAAGCGGTTTAGTCCTGCTGGCCACATGACCCGGAAGCTGTATGCCGGCTCCCTCGGCCAATAAAGCAAGATGAGCCCGCAACCCCAGAGTCGGTCACGACTGGACCTAATGGTCAGGGGTCCCTTTACCTTTACGGAAAAGCGGGACATTCTGGGATCAAATCAGAAACCGGGGCAGCTTCTGTAAATCTGGGACTGTCCCTGGAAAATAGGGACACTTAGAGGATCTGCCCCAAGCCACTGCTTCCTGAGTGAGTAAATTCTGTAGTTCAGCTGAGTGCTGAATCAATACCCATATTGCGCCTATTAAACAAGGGTGAAACTATAGTTCCCAGGTTTCTTTGGGGAAGCAATGCACTTCGGTTGAAGGACAAGGTTAAAAAAACACGATGTACAACACATAAAAAATAGTTATTAAAACAAACAAACAAAAAACATCCAGACATTTCACCTAAGACCAGTTTGCGATGACTATTTACCATTCCTTTCACTGTCTTAGCTGTGTTAATAGGGTGTGAGACCAGTACCAGGTATTAGATTAGCAAACCAGTGGGAGACCGTAATCTGCAAAGTGTCAAATAGACAAAAGGATCAGATCTGGCAGGGGCTGGGGCCTGGGGAGCAGAGATGAGCTTGCAAGGACATCTCTGAATAAAGGTTTTCTTGCTTCTGCCCTTTCAGTTTATGATGAAGGAGGCTAATGCCCAAAAATACCAGCTAAGGAATGTACAGTTTTCATCCTCCTGTTGTTGGTTTTGTTTTGTTTTTTGTTTTTTGGCACAAATCTGACCAAGTGATTAAGGGGGTGGGGGAGAGAAGCAATTCAGGGCAGCGCTATAAAAAAACGGTGTTCTGAAATGCCGTGAATGTGTGGCCTTGCTTTCTGCTGAAAATGTGGATTTTTTAAAAAGAGCTTGCAACTGCTGGAGCGAGGCCACCAGATGTTAGCACAGAAAATAAACTGTGCTGGAGTCTCTAGGCGGTTTTTGTGTGTGTGTCTAGGAGATAGGCAAGTCACTTGTTCTGGTTGTAGCTCCTCTGAAGGGCCTGGTGTGTAGCTTGGCGGGGGTGTGGGCGTTCTTTCGTAGAATCATAAACTTGTAGAGTTGGAAGGGACCCGAGGGTCATCTAGTCCAACCCCCTGCAAATTGAAATACTTCTTGAAATATCAAGAAGAATGGAAGAAATTTACCAGCCCTACAGAGGCAATTTGATGAACATAAGTTGACGCTCGCTATGACTGAATTTAAGGAAAAACAGACGAATTTGAGGATTAGAGTTCACCTTTGGTGGACATGCCCAAGGATTAAGACACTCTGGGAGATGATTCATAACGAAATGAAAAAGGTATTTAAATATACCCTGTTGAAGAAACCAGAGGCCTTTCTCCTGGGCATGGTCGGTCAATTGGTGTTAAAGAAGGATAGAATTTGTCACATGTATGCAACAATAGCAGCAAGAATACTCATTGTGAAGTACTGGAAGACACAAGATTTATCTATCCGGGAAGAATGGCAGATGAAGTTGATGGACTATATGGAATTGGCGGAAACAACTGGCAGAAATCCGAGACCAGGGAGAAGAGTCGGTGGAAGAAGACTGGAAAAAGTTTAAGACTATGTATAGAAATATTGCAGAAATAATGAATGTTAGAAAAATGTTGGAATGAAGTTGTATGGCTTTAGTAGAAATGCTATAAGGAATTAAGTATAAATAGACTAATAGAGTATTAAAGGGAAAAATAAGATTAGAATATGTTAAGATAATTATAGGATAGAAAACAGAGGAAGATGGAAAGGAATTGCTGAAACAATTAATAGAAGTGGAATATAAAAAGGGAGGTGTGAGGAGGTCGTGGAAATAAGGGAATGAAAGTTAAGACATTGAAATTGTTTCGTGTTTTAAATGGTTTGCGTCTTGTTTTGTTAATCTTATGCTTTTTCTCTTTTTCTTCTTTGCTTTTTCTTTTTTGTTTTTTCTGTTTTATTGTGTTTAAATGGTTGGAAAGTCAATAAATATTATTTTTTTAAAAAAGAATGGAAGAAATTTAAAGATTATTTAGCTAAATATGTTAAGATAACTTAAACAGAATTACTTGTGAGTAACAGATTGGCCTAGGATTTAAATATGGGAAATTGTATAATACCACGGATAGAAGTTAAAATGAAAAGAAAGAAAGATGTTAATTGAACAAGTAAATCTTATATGAAAATAGTGTTGGAAACTGCTACAATGAGCTATATGGAAACTCAGCTAGGGGATTTGTGGAAGTCACCCAACAATGATAACAGAAGTGGGACTATAACAGTTAGGATAAATGTTTGTTTGTTTGTCTGTTTGCTTTTCGATATTGTAATGTTTTTCTTGTTTGTTGCTATGTTTGTTATAAATTTGGAAAATCAATAAAAAAAAATTGGGAGAAAAAAGAATCATAAACTTGTAGAGTTGGAAGGGACCCAAGGGTCATCTAGTCCAGCCCCCTGCAAATGGAAATACTTTATTGTCACTTGTACAACTTGAATACAGTGAGATTACACAAGCACCCCCCACTCATCTCTCTTAGTCTTAATTCCCCTCGTTTACTGACGCGCACCCACCAAACCCGAAAGTCAGTTGCCCTGTTGTTATCTTTTTTTTTTCTTGAATATTTTTAATTAGGAATTTCAACATAACAGTTTATCAAAAATACATCCTCCTCCCCCCCCATTTTTCCCTCCCCCCCTAAAAAAGAAAAACCCACCCTTCCCCCCCCCCACCAGACTTCCCTCAGCTCCTCTCTCTGGTTTCTCAACACATGTTATTCTCTGCATATTATAAAATTGTAAAGATCCTTAATTTATCTATCTGTATATTACCAATAGGGACGCGGGTGGTGCTGTGGGTTAAACCACAGAGCCTAGGACTTGCCGATCAGAAGGTCGGAGATTCGAATCCCCGTGACGGGGTGAGCTCCCGTTGCTCGGTCGCCTGCTCCTGCCAACCTAGCAGTTCGAAAGCACGTCAAAGTGCAAGTAGATAAATAGGTACCGCTCCGGCGGGAAGGTAAACGGCGTTTCCGTGCGCTGCTCTGGTTCGCCAGAAACGGCTTGGTCATGCTGGCCACATGACCCGGAAGCTGTACGCCGGCTCCCTCGGCCAGTAAAGCGAGATGAGAGCCGCAACCCCAGAGTGATACTTCAACATCAACTTTGTTGGACTGGCCATGTTGTTCGGATGCCTGATTATCATCTTCCAAAGCAACTACAGTGGTACCTCGGGTTAAGTACTTAATTCGTTCCGGAGGTCCGTTCTTAACCTGAAACAGTTCTTAACCTGAAGCACCTGTTGCTGCCACGCCACCGGAGCACGATTTCTGTTCTCATCCTGAAGCAAAGTTCTTTACCTGAGGTACTATTTCTGGGTTAGCGGAGTCTGTAACCTGAAGCGTATGTAACCTGAAGCGTATGCAACCTGAGGTACCACTGTACTCTATTCCAAACTTTAAAATGGAAAGCGTAATGCTGGTGGTCAACAAAAGAGGTTTAAAGACTGTCTCAAGGCAAATCTTAAAAAATGTAGTATAAACACCGACAACTGGGAAACACTGGCCTGTGAGCGGTCCAGTTTCAGAACAACCTTTGCCAAAGGTGTCATGGGCTTTGAAGACACTCGAACTCAGGACAAAAGGGAGAAACGTGCTAAGAGGAAGGCACACTTGGCAAACCCTCACCGTGGTCAACTCCTGCCCAGAAACCTACATCCTCACTGTGGAAGGACGTGTGGATCCAGAACTGGCCTCCACAGTCACTTATGGATTCACTGTTAAAACCGTGTTCATGGAAGACAATCTTACTCGGCTACTAGGGATCGCCAAAGAAGTAGTAGTGAAATCTTGGCTGCTGGGAGACAGAGGTACAAAGGCTGCCCTTATCCTTTGGGCTAGCTCCATCTTCTGGTGGCAAAGATAAACATAAAGCAGTGATGGCCAAACTTGGCCCTCCAGCTGTTTTGGGACTACAGTTCCCATCATCCCTGACCACTGGTCCTGCTAGCTAGGGATGGGAGTTGTAGTCCCAAAACATCTGGAGGGCCAAGTCTGGCCATCACTGGCATAAAGGAATGACAGTCCATTCCTGATCAACTCCGAACTGGAGGAAACTTCCAGACAGAATCTTCAGGATTCAAGATGACCTTAACAGGTCAGAGAAGACGGTCCATTATCCGACTGTCGACTCAGGACCCTAAACTGTGTTCTTATATTTAATTTCCATTTTCTTCCATGTATATTACAATGTTCTCTTGTTGCTACAGCCGTTGGCTGAGGCGAATAAAGTTTCTCTTGATTGATTAACAGATGGGAGACCTGCGTTTTCAGGCTGGCAAAATGAATTTCAGCGGGGACAAATGTAAGGTCTTGCACTTAGGCAGGAAGAACGAAACGCACAAATATAGGATGAGGGAAATGCAAAGATTGCTCCTGAAATATACTCAGAGTCGCAAAGTGATTTCATGCTCTTTATTCAGTTCATAGTGGTGAGGAGGAATGAATGAATGTCCCCTCACAGTATCTGCTTTATATACATTATTTACACAATGGGCTGCACATGATTGGCTAATTCCGGAATTCTACTGTAAGCCAATCAGGTTGTGGATTCACTTCTATCTGGAGCAGGATTGGGTGGTTCCTGCCAACCAATCATACTGCTGCATTGTTCTAGGACCAATCAGACTGCTGCATTCTGAATCCTATTGTTCTAGGACCAATCAGACTGCTGCATTTTGGATCCTATTGTTCTAGGACCAATCAGACTGCTGCAGTTTGGATCCTATTCAACTCAGTACATAACAGCTCCCCACCTCAAAACCCCCACAAACAAACCCAAAGGGTCTGAATTCACACCTGATTCTTAAGAAGACCTAGAGGGGTTGGTGTTTTTTTCTGTTTTTGTTTGTTTTTTGCATTTCTGACATCTGCAATGCAGATGTCAAAGCAACAGCTGGCAGCTCTCACCTTTATACAGGAAATGTTTCTAAAAGTTCTGGATAAGGAAGACCGAAGCCTTAAAACTGTCAAGATTCGGACTTTATTATTATTATTATAATTTTTAAAAAGGAAAATTCTTCCCAGCACTCTATGGGCCTCCGCATTTGATCGCTCTTTTGCTCTTCTTCCATTTATTCTAAACAAAAATACTGTACCGGAACAGACAAGCAAACGGAATATCACACGTATTTAAAGCACGGGAGTGTAAGAGATGCGACTGAAATGTTACACGTGCCATCGTTCAAGGCTGCAATCCTATGCGCACTTAACTTTGAGTAAGTCCCAGAGAAATCGGTGGGGCTTACTCCCGAGTAGACATGTATAAGCCTGCTCTGAGAAGTAAGCTTCCCCTGACTAGAGGACTACAGGTGGGAGGGGGCAGGAGGAGCCTGTTACAAAGCATACACAGAGTGTATGCATCTAAACCAGTGGTTTGACTTTATTTGACCGGTCCATCAATCAATTGATTGCATCTAAAAGGTAAAGGGACCCCTGACCATTAGGTCCAGTTGTGGCCGACTCTGGGGTTGCGGCGCTCATCTCGCTTTACTGGCCGAGGGAGCCGGCGTCCAACTTCCGGGTCATGTGGCCAGCATGACTAAGCCGCTTCTGGCAAACCAGAGCAGCGCACGGAAACGCCGTTTACCTTCCCGCCGGAGCGGTACCTATTTATCTACTTGCACTTTGACGTGCTTCGAACTGCTAGGTTGGCAGGAGCAGGGACTGAGCAACGAGAGCTCACCCCATCATGGGGATTCGAACCGCCGACCTTCTGATTGGCAAGTCCTAGGCTCTGTGGTTTAACCCACAGCGCCACCCGCGTCCCTTGATTGCATCTACAACATGCCAAATTTTCCCCTATGGAGCTAAATGTGATTTATATGGTTCTCCAGCTTCTTCGTTAAATCCCACAACAACCCTGTGAGGGGGTTTAGGCATAGAGCGAGTGACTGGCCCAAGCTTAAGGGCAGAGTGGGAATTCGAACCCACCTCCATGTTCAACTACTGTACCACATCGGTTCGCCCAGCCGTTAAAAGTGACGCCTATTCATGAATCGTTGCATTTTTAAATCCGTAATAATTAACATTTGATGGGCAATATATTTTCCTGCTCCTTGCCTGTTCTGTTTTCCCCCCTCCCCATATTTTTAATGTTGGCATTCATTCATCCATCCATTTTTTTTAGAAAGGGGAGACTTTCATTTTTCTCTCAAGGCTGTTTCCTTGGTTGCGACCACCTCAAAGCCTTGCAACGTTCTTTAAAGTCAGAGATCAAATCCACACTATGCATTTAAAGCACACAGTCTTCTTCCCCTGAAAATTTTTGGGAACTGTAGTTTCACCAGACGCAAACTATAGCTCCCCGGATTCACGTCCTTCAAAGTGCGGGGTGAAAAGCAGGATATGAAAGTTTAAAACGAAACAAGCAGAGGAAACCAGAAGACAGAGCAGCTGGAAGAGAACCTGGCTTTCCAGACGACTCACCATGTCCAATGTAGGCGGACCGCACTCGCCTTTTGCAACATCCGTGCTTGCCAAAGAGGTTCCTTCCTTCGTGGAGCTCGCTGGCGGCTCTCATGCCTGGAGTTAAAAATCACAACATTCAATTTGCGCCAGCTTAACACCCAGGAAAGCCTTTGCAGCCCTTCTCAACCTGTGGGTCCCCAGATGTTGTTGGACTACAACTCCCATCACCCCTAGCTAGCAAGGCCAGAGCTCAGGGGTGATGGGAGTTGTAGTCCAACAACATCCCACAGGGGACCCACAGGTTGAGAACAGCTGCTTAAGGGAAACTAAAGGAGCAGCTCAGTCGGCAGAGCACGAGACTCTTAATCCCAAGGCTGTGGGTTTGAGCACCAAGTTGGGCAAAAAATGGGGTGGGACTAGAGAACCCTTATGATCCCTGCCAACTTCCAAGCCTTGTGATCCCTTCCATACAGGGCTGGATTTAGGTTTGATGAGGCCCTAAGCTACTGAAGGTAATAAAGGTAAAGGGACCCCTGACCATTAGGTCCAGTCACGGATGACTCTGGGGTTGCGGCGCTCATCTCGCTTTACTGGCCGAGGGAGCCGGAGTACAGCTTCCGGGTCATGTGGCCAGCAGGACTAAGCCGCTTCTGGCAAACCAGAGCAGTGCATGGAAACACCGTTTACCTTCCCGCCAGAGAGGTACCTATTGATCTACTTGTACTTTGACGTGCTTTTGAACTGCTAGGTTGGCAGGAGCAGGGACCGAGCAACGGGAGCTCACCCCGTCGCGGGGATTCGAACCACCGACCTTCTGATCGGCAAGTCCTAGGCTCTGTGGTTTAACCCACAGCGCCACCCTCGTCCCAACTGAAGGTAATGTGGCCCTTTATATGTCCAGCTGTCCTTTGTCAACAACAAATTGTCGCTGCTTTTTGGTTTGAATATATGCTATATGACAATTTGTGGACCTCATAGGAATCTAAAGCCATTTACACATGTTGCCATGCAACCAGTCCCTGTACATTTCCTAAATATAAGATAATAAACTAATAAAATAAAACAGACATACAGCAACAGTGTTTTGTGTTGTGTAGGCTCCTATGATGTAAGTCATGGGCGCCACCTGCTAGCCTGCTCCCTAAAACATCACTGGTTTGCTCCTTTCTATATATAGGGTGCCTACATTCTGCTATTTATAATTATTAGCAGTTTGCATCATATTATTATTTCATGTTCTAGCAAGTTTCTAGAGGCTAGATTATGAGCCTTTGTAAACTGTGTTTCTAAAGGAACTTTTGTCATTGCCCAGAGTTTGCATTATTAAGTTTGTTATGAATAAAAAAATCATTTTAAGTTACAGCTTAACAATTATTTCACTGTTCATATACTTCTTAATTGTATTTCACTATTCATACACTTCTTCTAAATTGTATTTCAGTTCAACAAGGACTTTGGTAAAATACGTATTTTGTTATGTGCAAATGGCTTTAGATCTCTATTAGGTCCATAAATTACCATACAGCAGTGGTAGCCAAACTCAGCCCTCCAGATGTTTTGGGACTACACCTCCCATCATCCCTAGCTAACAGGACCAGTGGTCAGGGATGATGGGAATTGTAGTCCCCAAACATCTGTAGGTCCAAGTTTGGCCACCACTGCCATATAGCTTATATTCAACACACAAAAAAAACAATGACAATTTGTTGTTGACAAAGGTCAGCTGGACATACCGGTATTTGTTGTTGCTGTTTAGTCGTTTAGTCATGTCCGACTCTTCATGACCCCCTGGACCAGAGCACACCAGGCATTCCTGTCTTCCACTGCCTCCCGCAGTTTGGTCAAACTCATGTTCCTAGCTTCGAGAACACTGTCCCACCATCTTGTCCCCTGTCATCCCCTTCTCCTTGTGCCCTCCATCTTTCCCAGCATCAGGTTCTTTTCCAGGGAGTCTTCTCTTCTCATGAGGTGGCCAAAGTCTTGGAGCCTCAGCTTCAGGATCTGTCCTTCCAGTGAGCACTCGGGGCTGATTTCCTTCAGAATGGAGAGGTTGGATCTTCTTGCAAGTCCATGAGTCTCCTCCAGCACCAGAATTCAAAAGCACCAATTCTTCGGCGATCAGCCTTCTTAAAGGGCCCCATTACCTTCAATAGCTTAGGGCTTCATCAAACCTAAATGCAGCCCTATGCTGCATCACTTGCGAAGGTATCTCCCTGACCCCAGCACACCCCAAAAGGAAGGAGTAAAGAAGACTTACTGAGAGAGCTGGAGAGACAAATGAACCAGGAGAGAAATAGCATCCTTCTGGGCTGGCAGATTCTCTGCTATAGGGATCTCTATCTCCTGGGTCAAGCAGAGGGCTGCTAAGAGAGGGCAAAAGGGGGCTGGAACATAGCAGGAAAGTGTTATCTCTGGAGGCACCTGAGACGGGATGGAGACACGTCTGGAGGGAAGATCAAAGGAGGAAAGGGCAAGCTACCTCTCCAGGAGCGCTCACTTGAAAACTCATTAAATTCTCAAGTCCCTGGAGGGATGCTTTCAAGTAGTAGATGGTTTGAAAGGGGATTAAAGCCGGCATGTCCAAAGCCTGATTTAGGGGCCTAATCCAGCTCCCGTGGCAGTACATGTTGTGGGGTAAAATCCTAAAAGAAACCCTCAATAACTTTGGGGTAAAAATTGCCAAAAAAGTTCAGCAACTTTGGGGGGTAAAATTGTAAAAAAAGCTAAACAACTTCATTTTTAAAAAAATAATAATTATTGAGTTTTCTGTATTTGGTTACATTTCATTACACGAATCTATAACATAAAGCATTGCTCAAACAGAGCACCGACTTCCTCCCCTCCCTCTTTCTGTCTTCCAAACATCTATTAATAATTTTTTGCATTTCTATAACCGCTTTTTTACTTTAAATCTTCTTCTTTTTCATAAAAAATACTTCCTTAAATGTGAATCGGTTCCTTATTTTCACATTACAAAGCATTTCAATTCAAACCTACAAACGTTTACAATTTTCTTTCATATAAAATATAAATCTGGACGGAGTGGACAGAGGAAACCTCCTCCCCCCATGAACCGTGAACCCCAAAATATGTGATCCCCTTTGCATGTTTTGCAGCGTCCCACATTCGAGTAATGGCTACATCAAACCGAGGTTCATAGTTAACACCCTAAAACCCAGCTTTGTCCAATTCACTCCAAACCAGCGCCAAATTTGGGGAAAAGTTTTACAGCGAAAAACCCCCATTTTGCAGCACCCCACAAACAGAACCTCAAACCTGGGGGGTGACGAGGTCACCCAAACACCAACACTATCCAATTCACTTCAAACTGGCACGGGTTTTTTTGCTGAAAAACAAAGCGAAACTTTTGCCAAAGTTTGGCACAGGTTTGGCATTGCATCACACCAGATCACCAGAAACTATTTCGATCTCATTGTTTCAGAGCTGCCCACAGGGAAGGCTTTTACAGAACTGTGATTTTATGTCACACCCTCTGTGCTTTTTCACAAGGCCATTTTAACAAAATGCCTGAGGATATTGTTCCTTAGGGGGACGCGGGTGGCGCTGTGGGTTAAACCACAGAGCCTAGGACTTGCCAATCAGAAGGTCGGTGGTTCGAATCCCCGCAATGACGGGGTGAGCTCCCGTTGCTCAGTCCCTGCTCCTGCCAACCTAGCAGTTTGAAAGCACGCCAGTGCAAGTAGATAAATAGGTACCACTCTGGCAGGAAGGTAAACGGCGTTTCTGTGCGCTGCTCTGGTTTGCCAGAAGCGGCTTAGTCCTGCTGGCCACATGATCTGGAAGCTGTACGCCGGCTCCCTTGGCCAATAAAGCGAGACGAGCGCCGCAATCTCACTGCAACATTCAAAGGTCTCATGCATCCAGCTCCTATGCAACGTGGAAGTTATGGTAGAGAAGTAGACCGTGGCAGTAGATGCAATTTGATTGCAATCTAGAGACAAGCAGTTTTGAATTCTGCCAGAAGAGGGCAACCCAGGAAGAGCTTTCTCCCTTGCAGGATTTTGACAGACAGGCTTCCTGGTGTTGCTCTGCTTAAGGACAGGTATTAAAATTCTGCAATACCGCATGCAGAACTAAACCCCAAGGCAGGCCCACCAATGAGGCAAGGTGAGGGGGCTGCCAAGGGAGGGAGGATGCAGAAAGGTCGTGTTTGAGGAGACCCAAGAGTCCCTTCCACTGTTCGAAAAGCTCTTACTGATGTTTAGTCGGGATCTGCTTTCGTGTAACAGGGAGAAATGTAAAGTATTGCACTTGGGCAAAAAAAATGAGAGGCACAAATACAAGATGGGGGACACCTGGCTTGAGAGCAGTACATGTGAAAAGGATCTAGGAGTTTTGGTTGACCACAAACTTGACATGAGCCAACAGTGTGACGCGGCAGCTAAAAAAGCCAATGCAATTCTGGGCTGCATCAATAGGAGTATAGCATCCAGATCAAGGGAAGTAATAGTGCCACTGTATTCTGCTCTGGTCAGACCTCACCTGGAGCACTGTGTCCAGTTCTGGGCACCACAGTTCAAGAAGGACACTGACAAACTGGAACGTGTCCAGAGGCTGTACCTTATGAGGAACGGCTAAGGGAGCTGGGCATGTTTAGCCTGGAGAAGAGGAGGTTAAGGGGTGATATGATAGCCATGTTCAAATATAGAAAAGGATGTCACATAGAGGAGGGAGAAAGGTTGTTTTCTGCTGCTCCAGAGAAGCGGACACGGAGCAATGGATCCAAACTACAAGAAAGAAGATTCCACCTAAACATCAGGAAGAACTTCCTGACAGCAAGAGCTGTTTGACAGTGGAATTTGCTGCCAAGGAGTGTGGTGGAGTCTCCTTCTTTGGAGGTCTTTAAGCAGAGGCTTGACAACCATATGTCAGGAGTGCTCTGATGGTGTTTCCTGCTTGGCAGGGGGTTGGACTCGATGGCCCTTGTGGTCTCTTCCAACTCTATGATTCTATGATTCTATGATTCTATGATTCTATGAATAATAATATTTTTTAAAAAAATAAATTTTATTAGTATTTTCCACACAACAACACGAAAAATATCGAAAAATAACAATACACAGCGCACAAAAACCAACATTTGAAAACTAAAGAAAGGAACAACTAAAATAAAAAATAAAAATAATCCATATCTTACAAAACTATAAATGCTAAAACAACAACAAGACATTGACTTCCACCAGTCCCACAGCACCTCCTTTATCTCTCATTGTGTCTTCCTGTTTTCCTGTTTTCCTTATCATCTCTATCCTAGCATCCAGATATAAATCCCTCTTTCTTATCCTTTCACTTCACAAGGTTATTCCAGACTCAGCCAGATTTCTGTCCTCGAACCTTGACTTTTGAGGTATTCATTTAGGCACTCCCATTCTTTTTTTAC